TTGATCTTGGGGTCATGAGTTCGAGCCCCACGTTGGCAGTAGAGTTTACTTTTAAAAAATTAAATTAAATTAAAACTAAAAAATGAATAAGTAAATAATTAAGTGCTTAGAATAATGACCTGGCATCTAGTAAATCTCAATATATGTTGGTCACTTGCACCATCACAGGTAGGGGACAAGAAGTCATTGGGGATAAGCGGCAGGATTGGATTTGAACACAAAGCTTGTGCTCTGAACTAGGGAGCTTGGGACTCTTCACTAGCATGGGTGCCCCCTGCCTTCCTCTTTTCAACCTTAACTGACCATAATATGAAAATTAAGTGCATGCATGTTGTATTCACCAAATATTTTGTTTGCTCTGTTACTCATTAATAAAGGGTGTGCATGTAATACTTTCTGGTTCTCTTTCCTAAAAACAAATTCTCTAAAATGACTAGTACATGGTGGTAGACATCACCTCCAGCCCCTAAATCCGAAGTCTGCGGCTGGGTTTACCAACAGCAACAAAACTATTCTTTCCCTCTCCTCTGCTGCCACCATGTGGCCAAAACCAAGTTAGACCTGGCATTTCCTCTTGGCTTTGGCCCAGCTGAGGGTTTAATCTGAATTTGTAATCTGGTTCTCAGAGAGCATAGGTAGTACACCTCTGACCAAAAATATGTAACATTTCTGGAAAAGCAATATAACAGAGAACCTTCTACCTTAATGTGAATTCCAGCCTACTTCAGCCTTGGCAATTTTCCCCACTTAAGCAGCCAACATGCGCTTCTATCAATGCAGATCAGAAACCTGAAATGACAAGATACAGACCCTGTCCCCAAATACTTCATAGTATTCTGTGTAAACAAATACTTACAATTCAACTGGGGCAACCACACATGCTGAAGATGGGGTTACCCTACAGGAAAAGGAGACAAGGTCATTCAAGCCACCAGGATTTCCACATCTCACACTTAGGGAAAACCTTACGTTTCTCATTAAACTAAATACAAAATGATAGCATGAAAACAACAGAAGATAACTTACTGAGATGTTCCTATGTGTTAAACAAAGTGCCAAGTACTTTACTGGTATTAATTCATGGGCCTGTCACGCAAACTACTGTTATCCCACTAGGTAGGTGGGAAAGCAAAGCCACGCATTGAGCCCTCAAAACTTTTTTTTTTTTTTAAGATTTATTTATTTATTTTAGAAAGAGAAAAAGTGTGTGAGCTGGGGGAGGGGTAGAGGGAGAGGGAGAGAATCTCAAGCCGACTCCCTGCTGAGCACGGAGCCCTACATGGGGCTCGATCTCACAACCCTGAGATCATGACCTGAGCCGAAATCACGAGTCGGATGCTTAACCTACTAGGCCACCCAGGCACCCCCCTCAAAACTTTTCTTAACCAATGTTGTCATAATCCATAGAAGCACCGGGAATGGTGTGACTGCTTCTTCCTGAAGAGACAGGAAAGACTTATCAAGGTTCCACAAAAAAACAGAGATAGAGCAAGTTAGCAGTAAAATGTTATTGGTAAAACTAAGTGAAGGGTATACAGGTATTAACTGTAATATTCTTTTAATTTTCCTGTAGTTTTCAAAATAAAAGGTGATTTTTAAAAATGCATGAATTCATCAAAGTTGAGAGCCAGACAGATATTAAAAGAGCATATAATTTACCTCTTATTTTACAAATAGGGAAACTAAGGCCTAGGGAGAGGAAGAGGCTTGTCTGAGGGAACACAGCTGGCTGCCAGGAAAGCTAGAGTTCACGTTCACTGTTCTCTGGATCATTGCCACCTGCAGTGGACATGGGTGGGCAGTATGGTTCTGGGGGGACAGATCAGACAGGCTTTGCGGGGAAGGACTTTGTGGAGTCCTGGCAGGGAGGGGAGGACCCCTCAGCGGGTCACAGCCACAGCCCGGATGGGTGGAGGTTCTGATGTGAAACGCAGGCAGGACCAGGGGACCCGGGCTCCACCCAGCTTAACTCCTTTTTCTCTTTAAATTCGCTCCCTAATTTTCTTTCTCCAATCTATTCTCTCCACTTTTTTTTTTTTATCTTTTTTAAGATTTATGTATTTACTTTGAGAGAGAGAGCTCATGTGGGGGCACAGGGGGAGGGGCAGAGGGAGAGAGAGAGAGAGAATCGTCAAGCACACTCCCCACTGAGCAGGGAGCCGAATGCTGGGCTGGACCCCAGGACCCCAAAATCATGACCTGAGCCAAAATCAAGAGTCAGACGCTTAACCGACTGAGCCACCCAGGTGCCCCCACTTTTTGTTTTTTAAATTGATCTGTTTTACTGTCACTTGATCATTTGCTTTCTCCACGCAGAACTAACACGACATTGGAAATGGTATAAATTTTGGAAATATACAGACCAGATTTTATACCCTGCCCTGTCCATAAGCTGGAGTAGTCACTTAACCCTGCTAAGTCTTGGTTTCTTCATGTCTGAAAAGTTACTATTTATTTCCTACCTTGAAACAAGCCTCCTGGTATTCAGTGGTTTATTTTATTTTAATTTATTATGTTCAGTTAGCGAACAATGTTCATTATTAAATGTTTATTGATCCTTAGCAAGAGTCAGGCACAGTAGTGGGCACTGGGGATGATAAAAACTTATTTGAAGGCGGTGTTCTGAATATTTTATATGAAAGGACTCACGTTCCTCATCCCCATTTCACAGACGAGGACACTGAGGCACAGAGGGGTTCACAAAGCTAGTAAATGTTAGCCTACTATTCTTGGAGTGAACAATGATCGTGCCAGGCACTGGGAAGAAAACAGAGCCTGTGTGTGGGACTCTCGTGCTGGAGGCAAGTGAAATCTGGAATACTACAGGGACATAGTCTGTGATAGACAAGTAGCAGTTTCTTTCCTTTCCTCAATGCCATGGCTAAAAAGGAGACTCACATGAAGAGGAAGAGAAGAGCTCTGAGCATTTGGGTTCAACTCCTTCCCTCCCTAACTCAAATAAGCTGGTTTGTGATCATTGCTGTCATTATCTTAATCCATACACCAGTGATTCTCACACCTGAACAAGCCTCAGAGTCACCTGGAGGACTTGGAAAGAGTGTGCTGGGCCACTCCCGGAATTTTTGATGCGGTGGGTCCGGGGTGGAGCCTGAGAATCTGCATTTCGAACAAGTTTCCCAGTGAGGCTGATGCCTCTGCTGTGGGACCACATGTTGAGAACCGCTATGACCGAAGAGATGAAGCATACCGTTCCCATTGCAGAGGTGAGGAAACTGAGCTTCAGGAAGCCTAGGTACCGGGCGCCTGGGTGGCTCAGTCGGTTGAGCGACTGCCTTCGGCTCGGGTCATGATCCTGGAGTCCCGGGATCGAGTCCCACAACGGGCTCACTGCTCGGAGGGGAGCCTGCTTCTCCCTCTAACCCTTCCCCCTCTTGTGCTCTCTCTCTCTCATTCTCTCTCTCAAATAAATAAATAAAATCTTTAAAAAAAAAAAAGATAAAATTACATTTGTTGGGGGCGCCTGGTGGCTCAGTTGGTTAAGCGACTGCCTTCGGCTCAGGTCATGATCCTGGAGTCCCGGGATCAAGTCCCACATCGGGCTCCCTGCTCGGCGGGGAGTCTGCTTCTCCCTCTGACCCTCTTCCCTCTCGTGCTCTCTCTCTCTCAAATAAATAAAATCTTAAAAAAAAAAAAAAAAAAGAAGCCTAGGTACCGGGCGCCTGGGTGGCTCAGTCGGTTAAGCGACTGCCTTCGGCTCAGGTCATGATCCTGGAGTCCCAGGATCGAGTCCCGCATCGGGCTCCCTGCTCGGCAGGGGGTCTGCTTCTCCCTCTGACTCTCTTCCCTCTCGTGCTCTCTCTCTTTCTCTCTCAAATAAATAAATAAAATCTTTAAAAAAAAAAAAAGCCTAGGTACCTCACTAGGAGCTATACCAGTGACAGGATTCGAACGCGGATCTTTCTTGACTCCCAAGACCGTGCTATTTCTGCTATACCTGAGTAAGAGATTTAATACTCGAGGATTTCCCCATTCCATTTCTGTTCATTTTATTCTAGAATCTCTGTTCTTGAAAGGCAAAGTGAAGGTTCTGCAAGTGGCTATTTTCATTTCCAATAGGAACAGAAGATGTTTTCTAAACGCTATTTTGTGGGGCGCCTAGGTAGCTCAGTCGGTTGGGCATCTGGCTCTTGGTTTCGGCTTGGGTTGTGATCTCAGGGTCTTGAGATCAGGCCCTGCGTTCTGTGCAGAGTCAGCTTGGGATTTTCTCTCTCCCTCGACCCCTCCCCCTGCTATGGCAGTCTCTCTCTCAAATAAATAAGTAAACCTTAAAAAAAAAAAATCTATTCTGTAAATGTTCTTGCCCATCCACCCAAGAATTCCTCTTCTAGAAATCTATACTAGGAGAACAATCCAAAATACAGCCCCAAATGCAAAGATGCTAAGTGTTTTAATGAAAAACTGGAATCTAAATACCCAATATTGGGGCGCCGGGGTAGCTCAGAGTTAAGCGTTCAACTCTTGGTTTCAGCTCAGATCATGATCTCAGGGTCACGAGACCGGGCCCACATCAGGCTCTGTGCTGGGCGTGGAGCCTGCTTAAGATTCTCTTTCTCCCTTTCCCCCTCCCCCACCACTCATGCATGTGTGCTCTCTCAAAAAAAAAAAAAACAAACCCAATATTAAGGAACTGGTCAAATAAATCATGGTATATCCATATGATGGAGTATTATGAAGCCATTAAAAATTATTTATTTAGAATTTTTATAACAGGTCAAAGTATTTATGATATAATATTAAATAAAATAGAACACAAAACTAAATCCAGTAAGCTCTCAATGTTATTAAAAATACTGAAAAAAAGACTGAGGGAAATAAACAGGAACATTGACAACAGTTGTCTCTGCTTCTTCTACACTTTCTACAGTGAGCTTTTTAAAGCAGATAAACCATGCACTTTCTTCCTACTGACAAACCACAACAGATATTTTCAAGACCCTTTTACAGTTAGTCCACTCCTGAATAACCAGAAAAAGCAAAAATGAATTTTAAAGTTAATCTTTTAATTCCAGATTACATTTTCCCTGACCTTAGAATTACACTGTTTTAAGTAAAAAAACAAGTGAAATACATTCAAATGACAGTCATTATTATAAATAAGAATACAAATAGAAACGACTAGAAGGATACCTATAAAAATGATAATGCGGATAATTTTTTGTTGGCGGAATTATAGTAGGACTTTTAAAATCTCTTTTTTAGCTTAATAATTTTTATTACATTTTCTACAATGGACACCTATTACTTCTGTAGTAAAAAGTCTTTGCTCTTTTTCCTTTTAAGAGACAACCACCAAGCAAATTACAGCACCAACTACACAGTGAAATATTAATGACCATTTTTAAAAACGTTGCAGATTACTTAATAACATGAAAAAAGTTTGATCTATATTAGCTGACCATACTATAAAACAGTATGTTCAAAATGATCCCATTGTTTTGTTTAAACACAAGCAAATGTCTACATATACAAAGGAAATACAATGGAAGGATATATGCCAAAATATTAATGGTGTTTTACCCTAGACAATAGGATTAGATATTATTTAACTTTCTTATTTTCACTTCCGTATTTTGGCAAATGTTCCTCTGTTAAATATTACGCTTCCAGTATGCAAAAAAAAAAGAAAGAAAGAAAGCTTTTTAAAAAGCTACATTACAACGAAAAGTTACATTGTTAAGTACGAGAAAGACAAAGAAACGAGCAGGAGTATCTTATTGAAAGATCAGGCTTTCCCAGGGAGGCTGATGCCTCTGCTGTGAATCCTGGGCTCGTTCCCACAGCTGGGAAGCCTTTAAAAAGGCTTCCCAGCTCCAAACCAGCTCTGACTTCTAAATCAAGCCGGCCTTCCAGCATCAGGAGGGCAGTCAGCATCAGCCTTCCTTCCTACTCAAGACTGAATAAGGCTTGAGCGGGACACGGGCTCCAGCAGCAGACGTCACCCCTCTTGATGGGCAAACGTACACTGTCTGGAACCTTTACACGAGACGCTGGTAGAGAACAGGGTCTAGGGTAAAAACATAACTGCCTTCCAAGACTATGGATCTGATTACAAGTAAGTGTAATTTATGATCACTGATGAAGGAGACACACAATTTATGTTGCAAAGAGCACATTAACTATAGAATTATACTCCCAGGCCTGGCAGAGACCTCTGAGATCATCTGAAGACAATTTCCAGGACGCTGTCTTTGGGATGCTATGTAAATACTGACTAGAAACAATAACAGAGATGTCATGCTGGAGAATCTTAAGTAAACAGTTCAAAAGCCTGGCTTCCTGTTTATACAATTTTGAGTCACTTTACTGCTAGCCACAAGGTGATTCAGCATTCCAACGGAATCTAAGAATTTCTTGACTTTACATATACTAAAAGGGACTACAAAGAACAGCTGAAAAGCCACACAACACAGGAAGGGACAAAAATAAATACACAGCCATGTGTCTTCCAGCCCAAACAATGCGAAATCTATGCAATTAGACTAGCAGTTCAATCTATTTCCAAATCGCTATCCTCACTGTGGCAGGTGCCAGAGTTACGCACAGACGTCAGCACCAAGACTTCCTTTTCGGGGAGCAATCCAAATTCCTGCAGAAAAGCTTCAAGGTCCACAGCAAAGAAATCTTCCCCCAGCTGGTCAGTGACACGAACAAAATTGCCAATCAATTCACCTCCCTTGTAGATCAGCAGGGCAGGGAGGGCATTCCTGGTGAAGCGACTGCTGGCCCCGAGAACCGAGCTCTTCACCCGGCAGAATTTGACAGCTGGGTACTCGGCAGCAAGGCAAATCATGCAGCCGTTCATGGCTTCGGCCCCCGGAATGCCATCCTCATAAATATGGACCATGATGAGGGTGCTTTTCTGCTCTTTATCAATCATGTCTAAAAACCCTTCTCCACTGGGGATCTCAAAAACCTGCTTGAACTGGGGCCCTTTGTGAAGCTGCTGCCGCATCTCTTCCATTCTCTGCTTCCGGTACCGCTGGAGGAACTCTTCGTCATCTTGGTCCTCATGCATCATGGCAAACTCCTTCAGAGTCATCTGCAGGACGACCGCAAAGTGAGCAGACGCAACGTGAACCCAACTCTGCGGTTATAGTTAGTAAGCACCCCACGCGTCTGGGATGCGAGGAACCCTGCTAAGTGCTCTGTACGCATTAATGCCCACAGAAATCTTATGATAACCCCACCGGGAGGGAACTTTTATTGCCCTCATCTTACAAATGAGATCCGAGGACTTGAGATTATTGGCGCCAGTTCACGTAGGTACGAGCCCAGGATTCAAACTAGATTTTTTTTAAAAACCCGATCTTTTAACTACTGCGTTACGATGCCTCTCCATCCAAAAAGGTGGTTAATATCACTTCATGAGCGTGTTTCTTTTGGTCAGTCTTGACAGTGGATTAATTATTTTATCCACTATGTCAATTTTGGTAAAAAGACAACAGAATATTAAGGACTTTCAAAAAGAACACTTGCAATTCTTGCTCTGCACGCTCCCCACACAGTCACATACACTCTCTAAAACTGGATGTTGGGCGCCTGGGCGGCTCAGTTGGTTAAGCGACTGCCTTCGGCTCAGGTCATGATCCTGGAGTTCCTGGATCGAGTCCCACATCGGGCTCCCTGCTCGGCAGGGAGTCTGCTTCTCCCTCTGGCCCTCCCCCTCCTCATGTGCTCTCTTTCATTCTCTCTCTCTCAAATAAATAAATAAAATCTTTAAATAAATAAATAAATAAATAAAACTGGATGTTGCTCTTTATTACAGTTGCAAGCTGAAATCATTTTTGCTTTTTTAACAGCAGCTGTTGGGTGTACCAATTAAGCCATAACCTGCTTTTGCCACTTGGCATCATTACATCATAAATATTTCCTCGCATTTCTAAATATTTTTTTTTTTAGAATTACACATAATGTGCCATATTTTGCTTAACTTCCCAGTTTCTGGCATTGAGCCATTTTCCAGCTCTGCTCCACAGCACACAACCCAGCAGGACACGGACAGCTTCTCTCAACTGCCCCATGTGGTCATGTGATATGTTCTTCATCTGCTCTAATCTCAGTATAAGGAAGCCTTGTGAGCAGTGGGCACGTTGCCCTGCAGCCAGCTTATGTTACAAAAGTATCTTCCTTCTCCTGGCCTGGAACGGAGCCTAGCTCTGCCCAGTACAGCACCAATTAGAGGGTGGGCCAGGGAACAACAGTAGATCAGAATGGACATTTCTGCATCACGGCCAGCACCATCCTTCCCCCCCAGCTCCCAACTCTCCTGTCTATCTTGGTCTGCCAGAGTGGCTCTTTCTGAGCCATTATGGTCAGAAAGTCTCCTGCCCCGAAATCCTCCTCCTGCTCCAGGCAAATGACTCCTCACTCAATCCTCTTATGTGCTCCCTGATCCTGGCTGGTATTGCCAGCCAAGAGCTGCTTTGGACCATGGCCAAATGATCTCAGGCACTCCTCGACATTCATCCATGTTCAGAGGGCAGGTGGGGGGATTAGATGGTCCTTTTGATATGGGGGAAATAAGAGAGTCAGGGACCTAGTCCCAAATATCTTCCAGAAGCAAACATATGCCCATTTGCTTCTACTGTGTTGCCTTGTTCTGCTAAATTCTCATGAACAGGCTTCAGGTGAAACAGAGCAGAATCATGGAAAGAGCAAAAAAGTCTGGCTGAGACTCCTACTTCCTATTAGCATTTACTGGTTGCACGCCCTGAGCCAAGGCCCCTCTCCTCTCGAAGCATCTGTTTCATTGTCGGTAAAACAGGGATAATGCCACCAACCTCAGAGGGTTATTCCTGGCCCAAGGCCTCAATAAAGGACAGAAAACTCCCGTTTACTGAGCACTGTCAATGGGCCAGGCACTGCACTGGGCTTTGCACCCAGAGAGCACTGTGAGGTAGAGATGCCGACCTCACCTAACCCGTGACAAACCGGACTCGGAACAGAAGACACATCCCCACGGGAAGCCGGTGGCCGCGCTGAGAGAAGCCTGGGGGCTGCTAATTACCTTCCCACTGAGCTTCTCCTGGAGGTCCTTCTGCTTGTGTTGCTCCTCCTCTTCATCCAGACGGGACCTGCAGGTCATCGACAGCTTCTTGACTAGCCTTTCCATCTCCCGGCACTGCTCTCCTCTCTGCTCTGTCTCCAGCTGTTTGAAGCGGCGCCAGTCATTTATCACCCCTTTTGGACCTGAGTGGGGGTGAATGTGGAGGTGACCAAGAAGAGTGGGCAGAGGATTACGGGCCAGCTCACATCCGGCTAGAGCCTGCTCCATCGGCTGCACGGGGACATGCACACAGGCTCGCGTGGCTCCCACACAGTGATGTCCGCTGCGGCATGGTCGCGTAATTAAATGGACGAGCTAAGGCCCGACATCAGGAGGGGCACTAAATAAATCGTGATTCATCTACTCAAAGGAAAATAAGGTGACTCGTACAAAGAATGAGGTAGCTATATGTTTCTTGCCATGAAAGATGTTCAAATATATTAGGTCAAAAAAAAAAAAAGAGCAAAATGCAGAACAGCATCATGGGACGGTCATCCAATCTTTAGAAAAGAAATTGTATGTGTATGTATATATATGTACAGATATCTGCTTATGCACATGTACCTTTGTATGTTCATAGAAAAAGGACTAGAAGGAAATGTCAACAGTTAACAGAGGCTGTCTCTAGGTAGGGGGATCCAAGGGGACTAGTGAGACAGAACGGCTACTTTTTTCTTTCTACATTCATACATTCTGTATTATCTGGATTTTTTTTTTAATATTTTATTTATTTATTTGACAGAGAGAGACACAGTAAGAGAGGGAACACAAGCAGGGGGAGTGGGAGAGGGAGAAGCAGGCTTCCCGCGGAGCAGGGAGCCCGATGCGGGGCTCGATCCCAGGACCCTGGGACCATGATCTGAGCAGAAGGCAGATGCTTAACGACTGAGCCACCCAGGTGCCCCTATACTGTATGGATTTTTATAAGATTGTGGCAGGTTGTTCTGTTATTCAAGTTACCCCCAAGCCTCGCTGCTCCTATGCTATATATCCCTGACATGTGATTTGTAGGACCTTTTATGGGATGAATATATGCATCCCTGGCTCACTGATGTTGGGCTTGGCCATGTGACTTGCTTTGGCCAATGGATTCTGAGCAAAAGATTTTTTTTTATTTTTTAATTATTTTTTATTGTTATGTTAATCCCCATACATTACATCATTAGTTTTTGATGTAGTGTTCCATGATTCATTGTTTGTGCATAACACCCAGTGCTCCATGCAGAACGTGCCCTCTTTAATACCCATCACTGGGCTAACCCATCCTTCCACCCCCCTCCCCTCTAGAACCCTCAGTTTGTTTTTCAGAGTCCATCATCTCTCATGGTTTGTCTCCCCCTCCGATTTCCCCCCTTCATTCTTCCCCTCCTGCTATCTTTTTTTTTTCTTAACATATAATGTATTATTTGTTTCAGAGGTACATATCTGTGATTCAACAGTCTTGCACAATTCACAGCGCTCACCATAGCACATACCCTCCCCAGTGTCTATGACCCAGCCACCCCATCCCTCCTGCCCCACCCCCCACTCCAGCAACCCTCAGTTTGTTTCCTGAGATTAAGAATTCCTTATATCAGTGAGGTCATATGATACATGTCTTTCTCTGATTGACTTATTTCACTGAGCAAAAGATTTATGAGCCATTAATGTTTCCAACAGTCCTCTCTTGCTCACTAGACTTGGTCATGAAAAGGCATGTCCCAATCAGGGGTTGCTCCTTCAACCCTGTCGCTATAATGACAGGATATATGAAGAAGAGGCAGGCTGCTGCTCACCCACACAAGCAGCTTTGAGGAATACACCTTCACTATCATAAGCCACTGAGGTTTGGAGGTCATCTGTTACCGCAGGAAAAAAATATAAAAATCTACATGAAGATGGGGCACCTGGGTGGCTCAGTCATTAGGCATCTGCCTTTGGCTCAGGTCATGATCCTGGGGTCCTGGGATCGAGCCCTGCATCGGGCTCCCTGCTCAGCGGGAGGCCTGCTTCTCCCTCTCCCACTCCGCCTGCTGGTGTTCCCTCTCTCGCTGTGTCTCTGTCAAATAAATAAAAATCTTAAAAAAAAACAACAAAACTTTAAAATTCTACCAAGAAACACAAAGAAGGATCTGATTAAATGGAAAAGCAATACCATATTCCTGACCAGGAAGGCCCAATATCACAAGGGTGCCAATTAACCCTAAATTAATCTATATATTTAATGCATTCCCCTGTATGCATGCTCCTAAATTTGTTTTGGAAAAATAAGAAAGCAAAAGTTAAGGGGCACCTGGCTGGCTCAGTCAGTAGAGCGTGTGACTCTTGACCTTGGGGTTGTGAGTTCAAGCCCCACACTGGGCACAGAGCCTACTTTAAAAAAAAAGTTGGGAAAATGGTGACACAGAAGAGTATTGAGGGAAAACCAGCCCCACCAGATACTAAAACCTGTAATACAGTAATTAAAAACAGTGTGATAGAGCACAATAAAAGACAAATCAATGCAAGAGACTACAAAGTGCAGCTAAAGACACAAATAGAGACAGGAATTCAGTACATGATAAAACTGACATTTCAAAGCAAAAGAGAAAAAGATAGTTTATTCACTAAATGGTGCTGAAACCAGTGGGTAGCAATATGAAGACAAAAAGGGAGCCCTACCATATACCTTGCACCAAAATGAATTCCAGATGAATCAATATTTAAGTGTAAAAAGAAGAAAGAAAGAAAGAACGAAATCATGAACATACCAAGAAAAAGTATGGGAGAATCTTTTTATAATCCTGAGTGAAGACCGTTTCAGTAAGAAAAAAAAGTAAGAAAGTATTAAATAATGCTTTCAGACACATAAAAATAAAAGTTTTATGCCAGGAAAAGAACATAAAGTCAAAAGACAAACAACAAATTGGTAGAAATAGTTACAGCTCATAACACAGATGAGTTTCCTTACTAGATAGCTGCCTAAAAAGCAAAAGACCAACCACCAATTTTTAAAAATGAGTAAAGGCTATGAAAATATCTCTTAAAGTTCAAGAGGCTCAACATCCCTCTTGAAAAAGATAGAAAATAAAACTACAATGAGTTACCATTTGTCATCCACCAGGAGGCAGAGATCCCAGAGATCTCTGATAACACAGCAGGAGGGCAAGTGTATGGGGAAAACCCTACTGCTGGTTACGTATGAAACAGCGCCACCTCAATTGCCACAATTTGGAAATATGAAAATGTGAAAGTATTAATATGCTATTTCTAGGGGTTTATACTACCACATAGGATACCACCATGTACTATATGCATACCTATGACTTATGTGATATCAAACCACTATTAATTTGAGAAGCCAGATGCAAAAGCAAGGCCGTCTGTGTTAACTGTGTGTGTTCGCAGTCTACGTACGCTGTGCACACCTGTTGGCTTTGTGCACTGAGATGGCTAGAAGCACGCAGAGGGACATGATGACTCGAGGCTCTCTCTGGAAGTGAGACTGTAATTAGAAGTGATCAGGAGACTTCTAACTGATACATATTTAATGGACATTTGTTAAAGCTGATCCCAGAGCTCAGGGATTCCCAGTACCTGTGTTAACTGAGATGCCTTCGCCCGCCAACTCAGCATCTGCAGGTGTCGAACTCCCGGCCAGTGCCGCCCTGCCTCCGTCCTTGTCCTCGTGGTCGCTGTCCTCACCCTCACTGCTGCTGTAATAGTATTGCAGCTTCTCCCCCAGCAACTTGTCATCCAGGGTCGTCATGGTGCCTAAGAGAGGCAACGGATCAGGCTCTTTGTTGGTATGAACCAGACAGACACAGACTAGGGGCTCACTTATGCTGAGATCCTACAATTTACAAGACCCGAAAAGTGATTTTTTTCATAAGCAGGATCTCAGCAAATCCATACCATCATCCCGGGTGACAGGGTCAATCACGCTCTTTTTGTCGAAGGTAAAACTGAAGCTCAGACAAGGGAAGTTTCTCTGCCAAGCTTTACAGCAAATGGTGGAGCTGGGATCAGACCCCAGGGTGCCTGACTCCAAGACGCGGAAGGTGTGAGTCACTGTCTTCCGTACACCATACCCTGTACTGGCCTGTTGGCTTGGAGGAATCTACTTACTGGCTGGAGGTTTTACCTACACATACTTTTAGGTTTTCCTATCAACTACGACTGCTGGGTAATTGAAAATTGGGTAAGAATCCTCAGGAAAAACTCCAAAAAGCAGCATCAAGAGTATTATGCTGAGTCACTCTTTGTTTAAATCAATCACTCATGTGTCCCTTGCCTCCAACTGCCCCTAACACACACTTACGGTGAGGACGGATGGGCTCTGAAAGCCCTACCAACTTTGGTTAAAAGATGGGCCCCTGACAAGATCTTTCTAATTCCCAAGAGTTTAAACGGCAATGGTTAGAGCCAAGACTGCATCAGAAGAAACCAAGGGCACTTGGGGAGAAAGGTACAGCTTAGCTCCTCAGAGGCCAGCTTGCCCTTCCAGGAGGAAGGGTGCCAACTCTAGTCCCTCCCCTAAGCATCGTAATACTATGCTTCCTTCATTAAACACTTATCACCGGGCCTGTGAAACTCCGTTACAAAGTGGCTCTCCCAAGGGGCAAGGGGTTCCTGAAAGCAGGGGCCTCCAAGGTCCAGCACAAGGCCTGCGCGGCGTTCACTAAGCACATACGCAGACAGGCAGGGTCGGTGCGGGAATGCGAGACCCTAGTAGTCAGAGAAGGGGCACACAAGGCAGGGCGGATCGAAAGAAACGTGCAGCTACGGGGGGCTGGGGCCGCGGGGGACCAGAACCAAACTTAAGAGGCATGGAGCGGCCCGGGCGGTGCAGGGTGGGCAGAGAGACTGGGCAGGGGTGTGCTCGGTGAGGGCGGGGCCTCTGAGGAGGATGCGGCTAGGGCGGGGCCAGTGGAGAGGCCTGAAGGAGGCGGGGCCGGCGGGGAGGGCGGGGCCTCTGAGGGGAGGAGTCGGGGCGGGGAAAAGCGGAAGGGCTGGTGAAGGAGGCGGGGTCGCGGAGGGGCGCTGAGGGCGGGGCCAGCGGAAGGGTGGCGGAGGGGCGCGCGGAACCGTTGGGGGTGCTTGAGGGAGGTGGCACCAGAGGAGGAGGCGGGGCAGGGAAATCGCGGCGGCCGTGGGGGGCGAGGGGGCGCGCAGACATCACCTCCCACCCGTGCTCCATGCCCGCCGCTTCTTCCCGACTGACCTCAGTGCAGTTACCCCGTCTAGCTCAGTCCGGAGCCTTTCCGGCTGGCAGCTCCGGACACTTCAGAAGGAAGGGTGAGCTCGGTAGGAGGAAGAGAAGTGGGTCGGCGCCTTGAGCACTACGAGAAAAGCCGCCGGAGTCCCGACTGCGCGGACCAATGAGGCGGTCTTCCCGCGGTCGGGCAGACGCACGCTGCCCAATTAGGGGAAGCCTCCTCCGGCGGCTGGGGGCAATGCTACGGGTCCTTCTTTGGGACAAAACACCTCGACGGCAGTAGTACGTTTCAGTTGGCTTTGTTTTGATTTAAACGGAAAGTCACCCTGTACGTGCCTAGTTTTTAATAATAAGAAAAGTTTGTTTGGTTATCTTTGAAGTTTCTGAAGCCATTCCACCTGTGTTTCTTACTGGTTCTTAATCACATCGCGGCCCTTAAGACAGACTCAGAGACATTAAATATTTTGCCCAAAAACACACAGACTTGCATTAAAAAAAGCAGCAGCAGCCAGGTCCCCGACAACGCTGTGTGAATTTCTGAATTGGGTCCTGGAACAGAAAAAGGACATGAAAGGGCCAACTGATGAAATAAGGTCCATTAACAATAATAGTGTATCAGCAGTTTTGATAATTGTACTATGGTTATGTAAGATGTTAACCTTTGACTATTCTGGGTGAAGAATATAGGAGAATTCCATGTTACTTTTGCAACTTTTTTTAAGCCTAAAATGATTTCAAATTGACTCCTTATTAAGGTGTCCAATACACACCCATGAAGTAATTAATAGAAAGCTTTGTGCAAACTGAATCATCCAAAATACCCTAAAACAATACACTCTAAAATAGGGCTCCTAATTTGAGGGAGATATCCTCAACTTGTGGTCCTACGACCACCTGAAATTGTCTGCAAATTGGTATATGTGCCCATTTTCCTAAGAAGCTCTTGGTTCAGGCTATCAAGAGTGAGAACTCCCCTGGGGCGCCTGGGTGGCTCAGTGGTTAAGCGTCGGCCTTTGCTCAGGTCAGGTCCTAGGGTCAGGATCCTGCATCCTGCTCCCTGCTCAGCAGGAAGCCTGCTTCTCCCTCTCCCACTCCCCCTGCTTGTGTTCCTTCTCTCTGTCAAATAAATAAATAAATAAAATATTTAAATATTTTTTTAAAATGAGAACTCCCCTCCCCAAATTTAAGAACAATTCATCCTATGGAGATCCTGCGGTGACTTGTATTTTTGTTTGCAGAGTGAATAATCTTACCTTAATCAGATTTGTGTGTTGAACAGCCAGCCAACTGGAGGATGCTTGTGATCTGCCTTAAGGGACAAGCCAGCACCCAGCAACAAAGCCTCTGCAAGGCAGATTCCCCATAAATATCTGTTAAATGAATGCTAGGTGAATGCATTTGCTTTTAGTTCTGTTTTTCTGACATCTCCCTGAAGCAAGGATCTTCTTCATCCCTGGTGGTGCTTTGTCCTTCAAAATTCACTTTGGGGGCGCCTGGGTGCCTCCTTTGATTAAACATTTACCTTTGGCTCAGGTCATGATCCCAGCGTCCTGGGATCCAGCCCCTGCGTAGCAGGGAGCCTGCTTCTCCCTCTCCCTCTGTTTGCTTCTCCCTCTCCCTCTGCAGCTCCCCCTGCTTGTGCTCTCTTGCTCTCTCAAATAAATAAATAAAATATTTAATAAAAAAATTTCACTTTAAATTTAAGGCTGTAATCCTCAGTGCTATCCAAAGATCCTTGTTTCTCTAGGCAGGTTACCCTCCCATTCACTAAGAGGAGCAATTCACATCTCTTTTCTCAAATACTCAACGCTCTCTTCCCTCTCCTGGCTCAGTTTATGACCTTGGTTCTTTTTTTCGCCTGAAAAACAGAAGCAGTCAGGAGCTGAGGACTCCTCAAAACAAAAAGAACAAGCAGAAGCAATCAAAAGAGACTTACACTCGTGTCCACCTTCAAAACGTACCAACAACCTCCTGCATCTGTACCTATTAAATGAGTCACTGATGCAGTGGGTCCCACTCTTCTAGCTTGGTAAAGCACTCTTCCTGCAATTACCTCCTGTCTCCCCTGCATATTCAAGCTTGCCTTCTACAGCCTGCTTTTATGCTTTCCTGGTTCTCATCGCCAAAAGAAAAAATCCTCTCAGATACCATTTTCCACCATTCAGATTGTTAAAAATCAGAAAGTTTGATCACAGCAAGACTGTGGGGAATGCATTGTTGATGAGGTGTAAATTGATACAACTCTTATAGATGAGAAATACTGGTCAATAATGCAAAAATATATACCTTCACTCTTAATCATAGGAAACAAACTGAGGGTGGCTGGAGGGGAGGTGGGTGTGGGGATGAGGTCACTGGGTGATGGACATTAAGGAGGGCACGTGATATAATGAGCACTGGGTATTACGTAAGACTGATGAACCACTGAACTCTCTACATCTGAAACTAATAATACACTATACGTTAATTAAAAAAAAAAGAACTTAGGGAACAGTGAATGACCTGCTAAAGTTCTCAGAAAAATCTGGCTCAATATATTCAGTAGTATAAAAAATATATAAACACCTTGTTAATTAGATATTTGCTGTTTGAACGGTAGAGAGTATCAATAAATTATAAAAAAATACTTTTAAAAATTTAATATATTTTTTTAGCCCAGAAATTCCACTGCTGGAAGTTCATCCTATCAATATACTTGCATGAACATAGTATTTAGTTTAAAAAAAAAAGCAAGGTGGTGGAGAACATTATGTATTAGTTTCCTGCCTTTTGCATAAAAAAAAAACAAAAAAAAACGAAAAAGTGTTACTTGCTTATATTTGCATAAAGAAAAGCATTAAAAAATGTGTAAGAGGACGCCTGGGTGGCTCAGTTGGTTAAGCAACTGCCTTCGGCTCAGGTCATGATCCTGGAGTCCCTGGATCGAGTCCCGCATCGGGCTCCCTGCTCAGCGAGGAGCCTGCTTCTCCCTCTGACTCTCCCCCCTCTCATGTACTCTCTCTCATTCTTGCTCTCTCAAATGAATAAATAAATCTTAAAAAAAAAAAATGTGTAAGAAATAGAATAGTTATCTTCAAGGGATAGAGGCGAGTCAGGCCTGGAAGAGAGACTTTTTATATATAACTTTGTATGTGTATATTCTAGAGTTTAAGAATAATTTTTGGGGGTACCTGGGTGGCTCAGTCAGTTAAGCATCCGACTCTTGATTATGGATTGGGTCATAATCTCAGTGTTGTGGGATCAGCCCCATGTCCGGCTCTGGGGTAGGCATAGAGCCTGCTTGGGAGTCTCTCTCCCTCTCTCTCTGCCCCTCCCCACCCTGCTTGTGCTTTCTCTCTCTCTCAAAAAAAAAAAAATAATAATAATAATTTTTTTTTGTAGTTAATACTACCTGAAATTGTCCCTTCTGGTACAGTTTTAAGGCTGATTTTCATTGATGTCTCTTTTAATATATTCACTCTCCTGGTTGTATATGATGGAGGGATATATCTAGTGGTGTCCTTGTTGGGAATATAGTTTGCATCTGTTAGGAGTGACTATATATATGGGTTAGTTACCTAACAATATTCAACAGGACTGCTCAGCGTAGCAGAATTTGGGGATGGTGTGGATAATGACATTTCTGTCTAATGGTACTCCCATTAGTAGTTTATAGTTCTTTTTTTTTTTTTAATTTATTTATTTTATTTGACAGGCACAGCGAGAGAAGGAACACAAGCAGGGGGAGTGGGAGAGGGAGAGGCAGGCTTCCCACTGAGCAGGGAGCCTGATGCGGGGCTCGATCCCAGGACCCTGGGATCATGACCTGAGTCAAAGGCAGACGCTTAACGACTGAGCCACCCAGGCACCCCCAGTAGTTTATAGTTCTTAAAGTATTTTACTTGTAAGGTTTTTGTTTGTTGATCCATAGAGCATACTGAAAGTATTTCTTAGCGGGAGGACAAAATCCATAGCTGTTTTGTGACTATTAAAGCATTCACCTTTTATCAAGGGAAAATCTTGATCCAACCAAAAGATTTACAAACTGTTATTAAACATATTTGAAGTTTTGAAGTAACTGAATGAAATTCACATAAAAATTCTTAAATGCCTTGAGGCATGGGTTTCGAGGCTTCTTCTACCCTTAGACTTTTTCCAGATGATGATAATTAGACATAAAACAGGATTTGGTCTTCCACTGTGTTTCCCACCAATATTTTTGTAAATTTAGAACAAATTTGTCCCTGTCGCTTGGGTTTTTTGGTTTTTTGATTTTTTTTTTTTTTTTTAAGATTTAGTTATTTACTTAAGAGGGAGGGGGGAGAAAGAGAGCGCGGGAGCGAGCAAGCATAGGGGTGGGGAGGGGCAGAGGGAGAGGGAGAGAGAAACTTAAACAGATTCAGCACTAATTGCAGAATCCAGCTCAGGGGCGGGCCTCAGTCTCATGACCTTGAGATCAAGAACTTGAGATCAAGACCTCAGCGGAAATCAAGAGTTGGAGGCTTAATCGACAGATGAATGGATAAAGAAGATGTGGTATATATATACAATGGAATATTATGCAGCCATCAAAAGGAATGAGATCTTGCCATTTGCAACGACGTGGATGGAACTGGAGGGTATTATGTTGAGTGAAATAAGTCAAACAGAGAAAGACATGTATCATATGATCTCACTGATATGAGGAATTCTTAATCGCAGGAAACAAACTGAGTGTTGTTGGAGTGGGGGGTGGGGTGGGAGGGATGGGGGGACTGGGTGATAGACACTGGGGAGGGTATGTGCTCTGGTAAGCGCTGTGAATTGTGCAAGACTGTTGAATCTCAGATCTGTACCTCTGAAACAAATAATGCAATATATGTTAAGAAAAAAAAAAAAGAAGAAGAAGGTAGCGGGAGGGGAAGAATGAAGCGGGGGAAATCGGAGGGGTAGACGAACCATGAGAGACGATGGACTCTGAAAAACAAACAGGGTTCTAGAGGGGAGCGGGGTGGGAGGATGGGTTAGCCTGGTGGTGGGTATTGAGGAGGGCACATTCTGCATGGAGCACTGGGTGTTGTGCACAAACAATGAATCATGGAACACTTCATCTAAAACTAATGTTGTAATGTATGGGGATTAACATAAGAATAAAAAAATTAAAAAAAAAAAGAGTTGGAGGCTTAATCAGCTCTGCCACCGAGGCATTTCACTTGGATTCTATTTATTTATTTATTTATTCATTCATTCATTCATTCATTCATTCATGAGCGCGCGAGCACGCAATGGGGGTGGGTAGAGGAAGAGGGAGGAGGGACAAGCAGACTCCCTGGTGAGTGCAGAGCCCCACAGCGGGGCGCTAGAGGTGGGGCTCCATCCCAGGACCCTGAGATCATGACCTGAGCCAAAGTCAGATGCTTAAACGACTGGGATTTTTCTTATAGAAGTATTAAAGGTCTAGAGACAGTTTGGGGTGACATTAAGCAGTATGAGCACTGTTTGGAATAACTAGTCTTTTTCTTTCCTTTCTCTTTCTTTTCTCTCTCCACTCTCCTCCCCCCCTTCCCTTCCTTCCCTCTTTTTTGGGGGTATGGAGCCAGTCTGTGGCAATTCAATGTCTTTCTTATTTAGAAATTAAACAGCCTTTTCTTCTTGTATTAATAAATATAAAATCAGTAATACTTCCTTATATAATATTTAGATACATTTCTCTTTAAGTTTTAAAAGTGTTATCTTTAGTGAGGGCTTTAATTTTGTTAACTGAAATTTTCTTTAGATGTTGGGTTGTCTTTAAGGAGCAATTACATTTCTTTTTAGAGTTTTGATTAAGGGATTTGAGAAAAATCAGAAAACCTCTTTGCTTTCGCAGCTTTAGTAACATTTTTTCTTACACTTAAGTGTATGGAGCCAAATTTCCTCTTTTTTAGAAGTATTTGAGTTTTTCTTATTTCATATATATTTTTAATCTCTATAAGCCAATCAGAATGGAGCTCCGCTAATTTTTGAGACCTTATAACAGATGTAACCTTTATTCTGTTAATATGGTGGATTACACTGATTGACTTTCCTATGCTAAACTAACTTTACATTCCTGAGATAAACCCAATTTGGATATGATGTATTGTACTTTTTATACGTATGTAACCTTGGTTGGTCTAGCAATAATTTTCCCGTGGGCTTGTCAACATGAAAATTGGTGCCCTCAAGACCTGCTGTCTACATTGTCACCTGAAGGTTTCCTGTCTGCACTGGTGCCCATTACCTCCATGGGTTCCTGTGTAGCTCACCTGTGGTCCAGAGACTTGCTTTCTGCTGGCCAGCAACCAGTTCCAGCCTGGGCACATCAGCAGACTTCCCTGCTGTGTGGTGGGCTGAACTTCACCTTCTGCACTGAGGTCCGTACCACAGTCTTGGTAAGGGGGCCTCTTTCCAAGTATGTCCTTCCTTAGGTAGGGTACCATATGGATTCCTCTAAGCCATAGGGTTCCATATGGAATTTCCTTTTATCTTAACATTCATTCATTTATTAAATCTTAATAATTCTTTGTATTAAACTTGCCCTGTACGGTTTCTGTCTCCTGTCTAGAGATCAAGAGGTCACTAGGTCTAGTCCACACGTAGGGGAAGGGGATTACACAGAGCATGAATAACAGGAGGTGGAGGTCTTGCGGAGCTATATCAGTTCCTGACTGTGGTCTGGACCAAATGACGCTTCTAAGTAATAATGACAAAAGAGATGGGATGGTGCTTCCAAGATCAGGTTACAAAAGACTGTGAGTTCTTTACAGCGCCCTGCTCCCCACCTCTCTACCCATCCCCTCTCCACCCCCCCACCCCCCCTCCGCCAGTCCCCACCCTCCCCTCCCCCATCTCAGGCTCCTCCTGTTTGCCGCTTGGATGAGCCAAACTACCATATTGATTGTGAGGGGCTCAAGTGGCAAGGAACTGAGGGCAGCCTTCAACGAGAAACTGAGGCCCTCATTCCAACTGCTGGAGAGGAACTGAATCCTGCCAACAATCCAGGAAGTAGGCTTGGGAGCAGACACTTCCCCAGGTGAGCAGGGAGATAACTGAGGCCCCAGCCAACACCTGTGAGACCGGAAGCACAGGACCCATTGAAGTCACACGCAGATTCCTGACCCACAGAAACTGTGAGATAATAGATGCTGTTACGTTAAGCCACTAGGTTTGGGGGTAATTTGTCAGGTGACGATAGATAACTAATGCAAGAGTTATTCCAATTTTCCTTTTGATTTTGTATCTGTTTTGGTAAATTGTACTTTGAAGGAATTTGTCCATTTTTAAGACTACCTAAGTCCAATTTATCCATTTCTTTCAGAGGTAGCCCAAGTACACCAATTTATTTGCTCAAAAAAATACGAGAAACAAAAAACGTATGTCCACACAAAAATATGTATACAAATGTTCATAGCAGCTTTATTTATAATAGTCAAAAATTTGAAACAACCCAAATGTTCTTCAACGGGTGAATGTTTAAACAAAGTGGTACATTTACTACTCAGCAATAAGAAGGAACAAACTATTAATACATGTGACAGTTTGGTTGGATCTCAAGGGAATTAGGCTGAGTGAAAAAAGCCGATCTCAAAAGGTTACATCCTGTATAATTTCATTTATACAATATGCTCAAAATGACAAAGTTATAGAGATAGAGACAGATCAGTGGTTGCCAGACCTTAGGGATGAATGAAGATAAGGGAGGTGAATGGATATGAATGTAAAGGGGTAGCATGAGGGATCATTGAGCGAACATTGTTACCTTTTTTTTTTTTTTCAGTTCTGTTATCTTGGGAGTAGTGGTGGTTCCACAAATCTATGTGCTAAGAGTTACACACACACACACATACATGCAAATGAGTGCATGTGAAGCTGATAACATCTGAATAAAGTATGGGGATTGTTAGAAATGTCAATTCCCTGGTTTTGCTATTGTACTGTTATGAAAGATGCTATCATTGGGGAAACTGTGTGAAGGGTGCATGGGTCCTCTAGTATTTTTGTAACTTCCTGTGAACCTATAATTACTTCAGAATATAAAGTTTAAAAGAAAAAAAAAACCCAGTTGAACTCACCCAGTCTCTTGGGTTAAAATATCTAGTTTAAATAGGTACCCCATCCCCTGCCATGGCTCTCCATCCAGTTTTCACTGAGGTTGACTTTTGAGTAAAGACCTTAAGAAAAGGAATATCTCATCATGAAGATATCCAGTGAGGGTGGGGGAAGGCTTTATCCTTAACAAGCAGAAAAGCCCTATGATGGAAGCACGCCTGGCGTGGTGAGCACCTAAGTGGCCAGTGCGGCCATAGCAAAAAACCAGAGAAGCGGCTTTGGCTTTCACTCTGATGATGATGCATTTGAAGGGTTTTGAGCACAGGAGTGAAATGATCAGACTTCACAGTTTAAAGGGATCACTCTAGCTGCTTGAAGGGAGGCAAGGGCAGAAGCAGAGAGAACAGGAGGCCATTCAGGCTAATTCACGTGACAGATAATTGTGGCTCAGACCTAGGTGGTGAGAAGGGGTCAAATTCTGAATATATTTTGAAGGTAGAACTGGCAGAATTTGTTGCTGGACTAAGTGGGAGGGACAGTGATCTAGGGGGAAGTAACTGAAACAGGGGGGCGGGGGAGAGACTGGAGGTGCAGTTTGGGGAGTGGAGGAATCCCAGACACTCCGTCTTTGACATGTTAAGTTTGAGATGTTTATCAGGGATCCAGACAGGGATGTTGGGCTGCCTGCTCTGCCTAAAACTGTCCACAGTCCTGAGAATTACCACTCCCACCTTACAATATCTCATCAGCTGGTTGTATTATATTCATTCTGGTTGTATTACTCCTCATGATCTAAATTCACCTTTCATTTGTTTTTTGTCTATGCCTCCAACTGTAATGTAAGTTTCATGAAGTTAGGGACTAGCTCACTCCTGTATCCTTTAGGCCTTACGTAGTAGATTCTCATAAAGATATCTGCTGAATGTCTCCGAGAACCACACGGGCCTGAACATTTGCTAACGGATGTTATTTAATACCTCGGCTAAGACAGGTCCCAAATCCATTTTCATTCATTACAGCAGTGGTTCCCCAATTTTTTGCACCTTGGAAGCACTCGGGGAGCTTTACAGGTACAGATGCCTTGGTGCCACCCCCAGAGATTGTGATTTAATCCGTCTGGGGTTATGTTCTGGGCTTTGGGATTTTTAAAAGATGCCCAGGTGATTGCACCATGCAAGTAAGTTTGGAACCACTGCACTGTGGAACTTTCAATTAAGGTTTTTACCGTCCTCTTTGTTACGGTGCACGCTCATTACTCCAATAGGTACAATAGAGGAGATAAAATCTTCCTGGACTTTCATTTCCTTAAGTTTCCTCTCCTTTGCTTGGATCCATTATCCCTGGTTCTTCCTCTTCTTCCTGATCTATGTTGTCACTCCAGGGCTTACACAATATTACACGTCTCACAAATACGGCTCTCTTCTCAGCAATGAGGTCTGGGACTCTAAGCCAAATCTGATCCACTGTAATGTGTAGATTTCTAGTATCTTCTCTCTACAACAAATCCTGTCAATTGCTCTCTCCTGCTTCTCAGATCCACCTCTCTCTCCCTCCATCCCTGCTGGGCCATGCTCCGAACACTTCTTACCTAGACTGCTGACCTGGCTTCCCTGCTGGTGGTCTATCTCCAGCTTCACCTCACTCTACCACCAAAGTGATCTTTCTTAAACCCCAGATTGTTCAGATCATCTAACTTCCAAGACTCCCTAAGTCTTTTTATTATGATATTCAATGTCCTTCATAGAGATCCCTACCTACCTCATCCAGCCATGTAAATTCAGGCAAATTTGCTAAGGTGTCTACCTTGGTTTTCTCACCTGTAAAACGGTGACAGTAAATGGTCCTAGATTTTAATATACCTTATAGTGCTTGGAACTGTGTCTGGAATATGGTAAGTGCTCTAAGAGTTAGTTAAGCTATTCCTTAAACACTCCTTCCACTGTAATACAGCTAAAACAGTTCCAACCCCCACCATCAATCACTACCTTCGGGAGGTAGAACAGACTTGAGTCCTGAATTCGGACTCCACTACTTTCTAGCCAGGAGGTCTTGGGTAAGTTACTTAACATCTCAGATACAAAATAGGGATCATAAGATCTACAGTGAAGGACTGTTAAGATACAGAGTGGATTGTTGTGAAGGTAGAATAGGTGTTCCCCTCTCTCTACCTGGTGACATATTATTCAGCCTACAAAGTCTAGCCAGGCAGGGATCATTTCTCAAAGAAGCATCTCCCCTGGCTCACCACCACTACCCCATAGTGTCCCTTCTCAAGTTTCCATACAGCCTACATTAGAACATAGCTCCCCTCAGCTGATGATTCAGATTTGTCTTTCCCAGTTTCCACACTAAGAACTTCCAGAGGAAGAGTTCGTCTTTTATTGACCTTTAACCTTAATGACCAGCACACACTGGGGCTTAAAATGTATCAGCTGAGTGAGCGAGTACAACTAGTCAGGGCCCAGTGAAAATGGTGTTTCAATCCACTCAGGCCATTATCTGTTCATATTCTGAGGTTCCACAGAAGTGTCTTTGTACTTCTATGACACATTAGTTATTTATGAATTTGTCCTATTTCATTCCTCCCCTAGATTGTGATCTGCTAGTATTATCTATGTCCTCATCTGCCATATAGAAAGTACTTTATCTGTATTTGAATAATTGAATTGACTGACTGGATTACAAAATATTTCAACCTCCCTGATCTATTCATTCTTTCAGATCCTTCCCAGGCATGTATGCATGACGTAGGTGATTATTTATTACATTTATTTATTTTAAAGATTTTTAATTTTAGGGGTGCCTGGGTGGCTTAGTCGGTTAAGCACCTGACTCTTGGTTTCGACTCAGGTCATGATCTCATGGGTTGTGAGACTGAGCCCCGCATGGATCTCCACACTCAGTAGGGAGTCTGTTTGAGATTCTCTCCCTCTGCCCCTCCCTCTCAAATAATAAATAAATCTTTAAAAAAAAAGTTTTTAAGTACAACCCACCCCCCATGTGGGACTCGAATTCACAACCCCAAGATCAAGAGTCCCATGCTCTACTGACTAAGCCAGCCACGTGCCCCAAGGCAGGTGATTATTTAAATCTCAAGGATTATCCTGGTAGCTTATTTAAGCCAAGAAGTATACCAAGGATATCAATATAACTAAAATGCACCATGAACTTAATATTGACACTAAAACAACTTTTAAGGTGGACAAATAATTTTATTTTGTGCATGCAAATACATGTCAAGTACTGCAAACTTTTTCCATCAATTTTCTCTCAAACACTGAAAATCATGATGCTCTATTCTGTGAACAGCCAAAGCTAATATCTCTTCACTTCAGTGCTACAGCAAAAACACACAGAATTCACTCTTTGCTATTCACTATCATCACAACCCTCATTGTTCCATCTCTGCCCTCCCCCCATATACAGGCCTTATAAATCCTAGCCTTCCCCCATTTAATCCTATTCCTATAGCACAAAGGGAAACATTACAATTTGGAATTCAAATTGAAATAAATGGAATAGAATTTATTCCCATATATATTCCCCATTTCATTGTACAGAATTATTTTAAATTATAGTTTTAAATAGAAGCTGAGTATATGCCTTAAAAATGAGCATTAAATCCATCTTAGAGATGGTGCCTGCTTTTTACATGATGGGTGTACACCATCTTTAATTTCATTTACATTTCAATCGAACAATAGATTTGCAAAGAAAATGTCTAATACAGACGTAAAAATATTCACACTAGAGCTTCACAATCGGTTGTACAATTGACAAACAGGCCTCTTTTCCCAAACTTTCCAGCTAAGCAAATTTATAAAATGTAATCAATGCAACAAGAAAAACATTTCTCTTTCACTTCCAGGGAAAAGAATATGCAATGAACAGTATAAATGCAGACAGCAGTTGCTGCAAGCTAACCACGACACTCCCAGTGGCTGTACAGTGGGTATGTGCAGTACAAATAGAAGCCACGTGTGTTGTATCACAACTACAGTATAATTGTTTGCCCAGCTAAGAGAATGCATGCACTTCCATGCCTTGGGTTATAAAGTGAGGCCTAATTCTCGACAGATTGATGGAGTATATGCAAATGACCTTGGCTTTTGGCAGTACTAAGTGCAGCCAGTGTCTATGTTCCACTGGTTTGAGGATATTTTTAAAATTTTATTTAAAAAAAGAAAAAAGTTGCCAATTTCGGATTTGGGGAGATAACTAACTGCTCTTGGAGTAGAAATAAGACTCCACTCAAATGTGGGCTGTTCTCATCAGTCGCCTTGACTCCTTGTATTCCCTTGCCAGCAAAGGGATACAAAGAAACTGCTAGTATGAAGGAATAACTAGCAAATGTATTCAATTTATCCAGAAAATGGGATACTCCTTGAGCACGTTCATTTGTGTTCTGCTTGCAGAAGGGGTTCTTATGAAGGAGTTACAGTAAGTGATCCCATCAATACTCTTCAATCACTAAAACACAAGGAAAGTTCTCCCAGGAAACTAATACATAGTTGCAACGCAACTTTTCCCTTTAACTGCTCAGTTACCAATACTGGTGACAGTCTGCTCAGAAAACGACACAGAGAGGCTAGGGAAGAAATATTCAGATTCAAAGTTAAAATCACATGCTGAACCTGATCATTACAATTCCACCCGTCAACCAAACAACATGGGCTTTAACATCTAAGATGCAAGAGCAAGCTAGATGGTTTTTAGAACAATGTTTTCAAATGTTTAAATGATCCCATTTTAAATTCCTAGAAATTGCTGTGCATCCTGTGATTTTCTCAAGGCAGCATGTAAAATTGGGATGTGCTTTATATACTTTGAATCAACTCGAAATTTGAGTGAAAGTGACTAGATCCATACAAATGGGATATTTCAGTTCTCATATAGGAGGTGAGGTTTCTTTTATTCTCTTGTGAGAGTAAATAACTACTAGGAAAAAAATCAGTGCACTGACCCAGTGAAGTACTACCTTCTCTTGAAAATTCTAACACACAAACTCCACGCATGACGCTGGCTTATCAGATGGTACCGAAAGGAAGTCATGGCAGGAAAGGCAAGGGAATCTGCTCTGCTCAGGTACCAACTAGACAAAATACATACATCACTTTCTCAGGCTTTAGAAAATGAACTGGACACTACAAAAGAGAACTACTGAGGCTACATTCACAGAACCTGAATGAGGCACACGGCCTTCAGAGTGGGACTCAGAAATGGAAAAACAAAAACACAAAAAGTAAAACAAACGCCCCACCATTTTCCCACTTTCCAGACCTCAGACCACTTTTTCCTAATTAGACCACAGGCACCATATGCAGTTTAATTACCAGCATTACACCTTTCCTCTCCTATTGCCTTATGTACTGATTTCAAACATATGTACATCACAACATGTTGGTAAAAGGGTCAAATGACAAGGAATGCACCCAATTTTAAAAAGTCACATCCTCGGTCTGATTTATATATATATTTTTTCCTCCATGACATCAGGGAGTAACTTTTTGAAGAAGGATCAGAAAAATTGCTCTTTCTTCTAAAGGGGCAGAGAACCAATGTCTTTCCTTATGTGAAACCCACCATGAGAAACAGAAGATGGTCACTACACAGATAAAGGATGCAATACAGAATAATCCCAACACAGAAACAATTCCTATGTTGTTAGTGAGAACGAGAGTAAGTTTTTAAGAACAGGGAGTTACTGTTTTATGGGATCACCTGCTGCAAGACAAGCATTATTTTAATATAAATGTTCTGAGACATACCTGGCAGGTATATACATACACTGATGCAAATGTAATTTCACTGGACAAGTAGGCAAACACCTAAGCAGTTTATCCCAAACCCCTCCAGCAGAGCACAACCAAGTTTCAAAATTTCAATTTTAAAATTAAAAAGATAAGGTTAAATACACAAGATCAATTTATGTAGTATATATTCACCCTCAGAACGTGCTGAAGATGTTTTGCGTAGTTCTGTTGCACAGAGGGTTCTTTCCCTGAGGGCACATAAGGAGCTCTCAAACTGTTAATAGGTCTCTATTTTGTAACAAAATAGCAATTTTAAAATCTTAAAAAAAAATACATTACCTTCAACATGGAAGATCTCACTATTTAAATATCCATGAAATAGACATACTGGTTTGCATATCCTTTTTGGAAATACAAACAGCAAATAAAGTACATTGGAAGCATTTTAAATGTAATAAGCGCATATTTATAGAAGGGTTCTGATATAAATTATATAACAATCATGTTCCTGTAATATCCTAGGCTAATTTATAATGTCAGAAATAAGTTAATGTAACATGGTTTAAAACTCTTGTTCCTATTCATTTCAGGTTACAGAGTGAAATAAATAAAATGTTTTGTAGGGAGAGGGAGCACTGGCCATGGCAAAAAGGTACAGTACTAACCGAAGGAAACGAAGTCAAGGCTACTGTGCTGTTAGGCTACAAACAAACATCTTCATACATCTGAATATTAAATAAATGTGTAAGATCTTCCATACTGACACCAGAATATCAAAACTACCCCTTTGTTTCTCAGGTATATTTACAACTTATCAGTCACCTTATGAGCATGTTCATTAAGACAGGTATCAAACACCAGTATTTACTCATTCTGATCAAGAAATTTCAGGGAAATGTCAACCCTCCCGCCCCTGGAAATGTGCACAAAACTTTTTATCAAAATCTTATCTGATACAATGCTGTGGTTTTGTAAAACAACTAAATAGCTCAGACGACCAATAACATGATCCTGTTTAAGCATCTTGCTAGCAGGAAAAGCCCTTACATACAGTACACCTGGTGAAAGATCAGCTTGGCTTAAAATATTCCAGTACAATTTTCAGAGTAAACAACTTCACAGAAGTTAATTAAAAAAATAATAATAAAAGTCAAACTAATCTCAAAGAAACCGGGGGGAAAACAAAGAGACAAACTATAGGTAAGATCACCAGAAAGGAATGCCCAGCTTTTGTTTCCAAATGTTGACTGAAATTTAGGTTTCAGTAAAATACCTCCCACAAATCTGGGGCATGGCTGGTTGAACATACTGCATACTTCCAGATGCCAGGTCCAAACACTTTTCAGTCACATTTAGCAGGGCAGAAATTATTCATGTTTCTAAGTATGAATAAAGGTTAGCCAATGTTCTATTATTACATGGTTCATAGTCTTATCAACCTAACAGTCAGAAAACAAGGAAAATTAAACCCCAACGTAAAGTAACAATAAACAATATTTAACCAAGATATTGCAATGAACATCCAAATTAATTAGTTTAAATTAAAAAACAAAAACAAAAACAAAAAACCAGCAATACCATCTTGTTAGTCAGTGCAAACGCTACATACAGGGTTTTCTCAAGAAAGCTGAAAGCACCTGATTCTTTTGCCAAGTCATCAGATTCAATAATGTACAGGCTTAAATCTGCATTTTAAAAAACTGCCATTACATTAGTGCATAATTTATCAAAATTGTAAAAACGATTCTGCATAACTTAGGAGAATTTAATATCTAGTACATCAGCTGAAAGACTTAGGCACTTGGTTATATATTTAATTACTTACTTCAACAAGTAGCCTGTGTATAAATATTAACAAAGCAGAAACTATTCTTGAAAAATGGAAAATTAAAAAAAATTTCAATGCTACAGATAAAAGCACTGCACCACACTCCTACATATAATGCAGTAAAGAAAGCTAGTATATAACCCTGTAAAATTCTATGGTAAGAACATCTAACTCCACTCTTCAAAGTAAAAGAAAGAAAGAAAGGAAGAAAGAAGGAAAAGAAAGAAAAAGAAAAAAAATCCATGCAAAATCCCATGAAAAAGATAAATAAAGCAGCTGGAATGAGATGGAAATTTCTCTCAGCAAAACATAAAATAGAAATAAATAAGTTAATTAAGTCTACTTTCACTAGATGTATCATTGTAGGATCCTGCTAGTTTAATAACTGAGTTGTTAATTTTCTATAGAAGCCATTTAAAATAGGAAATGGCTCAGTTACTGCACCGGATTGCTACAAACTCATAAAAAGCTGCTTGAAGCTTAAGTTAAATGTCCAAATTCCAATCACCTCTGGAAAGTGAACGTGTTACCCTAGTAAAGTAAATTTTCTTTTTTTTTTCATAATGCTAATGCAAGAGGGCTTGAGTATCAAAGAGTCCACAGGAAATGGATGCCCCCAGTAATATCTTTTTTTAAAAAAAATATACATTATATAATATATATTATATATATAAAAAGCTAGTGTAAATGCTTCCATGGTATGGTCACAAATTTGAAAGATGAACCTCCTTTCAGCTGTTAACCATCTTCCCATTTGCAACAGGTTTTAAAAAGTCGTTTTTATCTTCAGACATAACATGAGTTTTCAGAATGAGGTTGCCAACACTGACAGACGTGGTGATGGGGAGGCAACTTGCATTGCTAATGGACACTGGGAGTGGCTGGCTAAAGCAAGAAGTTACCGGCAGAATTGTTTTTTGCTCCTCCCTGGGAGAAAATAAATGACATTGAAAACAAATTAGCTTTAAGTGAAAACTTTAAAGAATAACCATACATGCTTAATACAAGTTGTAACAACCTTAAGAGCCCCTAGCAAAAGCATGTCTTTATCACTAAAAAGTATCAGCACTCACTAAAAAAGTTCCATTTTCCAAAAATCGTATTAAAAAAATTAAAGTACTGGTTAATTTAAGGCCAACAAACTATCAAATTCAAGACTAACCCATATTTTTGGCAGTAATTATATAAAATGGCAATATTAAATCCAAGAATATCTTAACATGAATTTATTAAAAAGGGAAACCCTACATCTAGGTTTTAATTCTCCATTTTGCCATCTAGAAATCTGCCTACCAGACTGAGAAGTATAACCTGATGCTGGATCATGAGGACAAACTTTCATCCCAACAAAAAGCAAGTTTCAGGTGACTTAAGTGGGCTACTTTGTTTGTTCAAATTTACCTCTTCTTTCCTAAAAATCCAGACTGACCCAATCATTGTCCTATTACACAGGGTCTTCCCCTTACAGGATAAAGCCAAAAATGCATTTAACACTGCATCTATTTCTCTTTAAATATTCAGAGCCTATGTCCACTGGTTAGGAATTATCTGTCTAACACTCACAGAATCACATGGTCTTCACCTAAACTCTGTCTCTTCTGCTCCAGTGGCTCCTTTTGGTGCTGCTGGACCGGATGCCCATTTTCCACTGCTGTTCCATTCAGCAATTGATCATTTTGAGGACTGATACCAAGCTGTATGTCCAGGATCTCCTAAGAAAATAAAATGTTAATCCTTCACTATGAAAGCACTTTATACTTTCATTTCCAATGGAATAAAGCCTCCTAAATACTAATTGTAGTACTTACTTCAATTTGTTCACCTTGTCCATCAGGTTCATCAGTATCAAGTGCCGAAAGCTCTAACTCAATATCCCTATCAGGCTTAGTATCGCTTGCATCTTCTGTATAATCACTCTGTAATTAAGAAAAATGCTGATTTTATACCTGTGGAAGCTGGGGTTTCCCTTTTAGATTAAAATGGGAATCCCAATGATTGAAATAAAGAATTATATAAGAAATCTGGTACTACAATTTTATTTCTATTCAGAGTTTTAAAAGCAATCATCCACCATAAAAAGGCACACTAACATGCACTAAGTAATGGCAGAAACCAACACAACAGCAACCAGCAAATACATTAAGCATGAAGCTGGGAGAAGTTTTACCTCTCCATTTCTCAGTTCAATTTCCTTGCTTAGAAGATTTAAGCTAAGGTGACGGCCTTCATCCAGGGAATTCCACTTCTGTTGCATGGCCAGAGCATTGGCCTCCCTCTGAAGAAGCAATGAGTTACTCTTGGCCTACAGGAAAGGAAAAAAAAAGGAAAGTTAGCTTCTAACTGCCATTTTTAAAGAATTCAAAGCTGAGCAACACAGAGCCTACCTGCTGAAGTTCAATGCTCAAAAGGTCTCCAGTACTGGAATGCTTTCGATGACCGGATAAATCGGTAACAATGAATCTGTCCCTTTAAAGAGAAACATGTTTACATTTATAAAAGTGAAATCAGGAAGCACCTAAAGCAGTAATGGCCATATACCATATGTGTTTTCAATAATGTATCAACCCTGAAAGTTTCAGTTGTCATTCCAAATGTAAATTTTTTTCAGAAATTTGTTATATAGCTAAAATCATAAAGCATACTTCATGAATAATTGGGGGGTAGGATCTATACTCTGAGGATAACGTACAGTCTGAGAATAGAGAATCCAAGAGAATTAAGAGTAACATTACCGTTCAATATAGTGTGCTGATGATGTGGCCTCGTTACCGTATGAACTCCACCTTGAATCAACAGCATTGACATAAGGAACATAATCTATAGAAATGCAGAAAAAAATAATGATCACAAAAGTGAAAAATCAGTATATAAATGTGAACATATATATATATATATATATATTTTTTTTAAAGATTTTATTTATTTATTTGAGAGACAGAATGGGAGAGAGAGCATGAGCAGGGGGAGGGGCAGAGAGAGAGGGAGAAGCAGGCTCCCCGCTGAGGAGGGAGCCCGATGCGGGACTTGATCTTGGGACTCCAGGATCATGACCTGAGCTGAAGGCAGTCGCTTAACCAACTGAGCCATCCAGGTGCCCTGTGAACATATATTTTTAAGAAAAGATCTCTATTTTATCTAACCAGCCATGTTCTTCTGGCTAAACCATGTAATTCTGAGTTTTCTGGGATTATTAATGGAGGGAAATGTTCTGTACCTCACAAAATGAAGATTAAAAAGCACAGTGTTAGAACATATCAGTATTAGTTAAGGGGGATTACCTGATACACTGATAGGCTTAGTGGCACTTCCTTGGGAAGCAGTGGCCTGGACAGGATCCGTGGTATGGTAACCTGTACGTGAAGATCTGGAAATTGCACCCCATTTTGAGATGATAGGTCCATCACTAAATGGAATTATTGGGTCTTCTTCTTTTGTCCTTCTCTGGGTTTCAAATAAATGCACTCTTCTCTTAACATCTCCACTGTCCAGGTCCTGCATAAACCAAAGAAAATCAATAAAGGGATTGCTGGCAATTACTTCAGCTAGTAGTACAGATTAATGCTTTCAAAAGACATGTAATTAAGTTTTCTGGTAAATTTAACACTAGCTATAGATCTCAATGGTAATCCAACATCTATTTTAAACCACCGAACTATGCTCAAATAATTTAAACATCAAATGCAATTTATTTCAGACTTACCTAAATATAACTCTGCTGCTTACAGAGGAGTTATATAGCAACAATATGAAGACGAAAGCATTCAATCACTCTAAAACTTCAGTCAACATGCATGATATCCCCCCGCCCCCCCAAATCATACCATTAATACAGCATTTGAATTAGCAATTACATCTCTGGGCTCTGAATCGATGGCATTTATACAGGAGCCTATGGTGCCACAAGACCAGGGAGAATAATGAGAAAGATGATCTTCTTCAAATTTTGTACCACTCACGCTCTCAGAGAACTGATTAAAAAAAAAAAGGCATAGTCAATTAGTACAAATCAAACTTACAAACTTGTTAACTAATACAAAGTAACAATTATAGAATATACAGGACTTCATATTGAACAGTTAAACCTTCCATAATTAATATAAAAAACTGTCATTAGTAACAAGTAGTATCTATATTCTTTGTGTTTATATTATTCATTAATACAAAATAGAATGACTTCTGTTTTTACTTTGTTCTTTCAGTACTCATAAGAAACCCCTGACCGATACCATCAAAACCAATCAACAAATATTTACAGCATGCCTCAAATATGGACAAGGTACTCCAAAAAATGAAAAAAACAAAAGAAAACACATACACACACCACAGTCCATAGTGGTAGTTTATCATTCTCTTGAGAAAAGACCAACATGAGACTGCGGGAATAGGGGCGCCTGGGTGGTTCAGTCGTTAAGTGTCTGCCTTCGGCTTGGGTCGTGATCCCGGGGTCTTGGAATCAAGCCCCGCATCGGGCTCCCTGCTTGGCGGGAAGTCTGCTTCTCCCTTTCCCACTCCCCCTGCTTGTGTTCCCTCTCTTGCTGTCTCTCTCTGTCAAATAAATAAATTAAAAAATCTTAAAAAAAAAAAACCTATGGGAATATAACGGATAAACCACGCAGGATTAAAAAAAAAAAAAAAACAACACTCAAAGGCAGCTTTCTGGAACTAGAAGAGAAAGTGGACAAATTTTAAAGGGACTGTCAAAATTATTATAGGATCAGAATATTAAAGTTGTAATAATCATTAAATCTAGTTTACTGATTGTACAGATACAGAAAGCCAAGGCCAAAAAGGTTAAATTACTTATACGAAGTCATATTGCTAGCAAACAGCTGAGCTGAGTGTCAGGGAAATAATTTTTTTTTTTTTTAACGTAATCTCTACACCCAGTGCGGGGCTTGAACTCATGACCCTAAGATCAAGAGTCATATGCTCTACCGGCTGAGCCAGCCAGGCTCCCCAGGGAAATACTTATTTCTTACAGTAAAGTATAAAAAAATGTAAATACATTTTTGTATCAAGTAAGTGGCAACTCATATTACACTGTTGTCAAGATGTTTAGCTGCTTTGAAGAAGTCTAAGGTTTTTTTTTGTAAAGATTTTTTTTAAATTTACTTACTTGAGAGACAGAACAAGTTGGGGAAAGGACAGAGGGAGAGACAGATTCCCCACTGAGCAGGAAGCCCAACAAGGGGCTCGACCCCAGAACCTTGAGATCATGACCTGAGCTGAATGCTTAACCAACCAAGCCATCCAGGTGCCCTAAAGAAGTCTAAGTTTGATGAGAAATTTGGACCTGGTTTAAAAATTCAATGGTTTATTGAACTACTTATGGATGAAAGTATATGTCTAGGATTACTTCAAAATAATACAGAGGGAAGAGGGGTTGTACAAATGAAACAAGACTGGCTAAGCAGATAATTAGGGGTGATGGGTACATGGGGTTTATTATATACTATTCTCTCTACTTTTTATGTGTTTGAAATTTTTCATAAGATTTTAAGAAGTTTTTTATATTAAAGCCTGTAGGAATGGGAAATAAACCAAACTAGAGGAAGTAAAAAAAAAAAAAAAAAAGTTTGTTCTACATATGAAAGTACTGAAAACAACAGGGCACAGGGCACACTGAAATGATCCTAGTACAAAAACTTGGTTTTGTAACAAGAACAACAGTTAACGGTGACAGAAAACTGCACAAATAAAACAGTAGGCATTTCTGCACCTTTTGTGAAGTAGGGAAGAAATGCCTCTGCCAGATTTACTACCTGGGCAAATTACTTAATTTCTCTGAGTAAGATTCCTAAAAAAAAATAGAGATTTAATACCTGCCCCCTAAGATTTTTGTGAGAATTAAATAAAATAGCATTATGTAAATGCTTAGTACAGTGCCTGGCACAAGTAGGTGCTCAATAAATGGTAGATATACATCTTATTAATTAAAACCAGAAAAACAATGAGAACTACACTGCTGCAAAGACTCAATTCTTGGTGGGAAGAGGATTGTGATTTCATGGTCTTCTGAGTCTGACAATGCCTAACTGTACTGCTCATTACATGCTCAGTGTTCACGGAACTAAGCAGACTCGACTGCACACCAAACCACTGCAAAATGGCCAACACAGCTAAGCCTGGTTTGAAGGAGTGCTCTGAGGTCAGGTGTCTGACCTGTCCTTGCAACATGAAGTGATTAAGACCTTTCTTACATCAGTGCGAAAGTCTACACTGAATAGAGGAGAAGGTGGTGTTGGTGACTGTGTTGCCACAGGAAGAGTTGAAGAGACAAGAGGTGCTTTCTGAGTGTGGTACTGTGCCCACTGCTCTGGCTTTCTTCTTATCTGCTCCTCGCAACTGGTCTTCAAATGACCACAAGGTTCCTAAGGGGGGATAAAAGAAACAATCTTAATCATCTAGGGAGCAGTAAATAAATTTAACTATGCTCTGCGGAAATAATGTTAACAGTTTATTATATCGTTGGGACCAAAAAAAAAGAAAAAGTACCGTAGGGAAGTCACTTTAGTCTGTTCTCCACACATTTAAATGGAAGGGTTAATATTGAGTCCAGTGATGTTAAAAGTAATATCCGAGCACTCAGTTTTTCTGGTTTAGGGAAGTCATTTCTGCCTACATGGGGATACTGAAAATAGGCCCTGTCCTATTTTGGAGATTTCTTTTACTTTGCCCTCAGTTTCCTATCCAAGCATAACATTTATTGAGCATTAATATGTATCAGGTCCCATTCTAAGGGCTTTTTCTGATTTAATCCTCACAACAGCCTTATGAGGTAGGTACCACTATCACTGCCACCAGACGTGAAGAACCTGACACAGAGAAGTCATGTAACTTCTGTCCGTCACACAATTCGTAAGTGGAGGAGCCAGGAACGGTACCAGGGTGGTGTCCCTGTGTGTGACAGCAGGCTCTTACCCACCACATGACAGTAGTGCTCTCCTATTTCCGTCATCACTTACCCTTGGTAAAGGCACACTTGTCCTTGGCTCGCTAGGTGGCTGACAAGCCACGGAGTAATACGCATCTAGTGAGTTATATCTGTCTCGCAAGGACGCCTGGTAAACAGACGAGGGCATCACGTCCATTGGAGGTAAGGAACTGCTCCGAATAATGTCGTCTCGCGGGTACACCGGCGGGCGCCAGATGCGCCTGCTGTCATACACAGGCGCGTACATTCCAGAAGGTACTGGAGGAACTGGTCCGTATGGCTGCGGAGGAGGGGGCTGGTAAGGAGAAGAACTCATTCGATCTCGAGGGGAAAATGTGCTGTACTGATCGGCATATGGCATAGAAGCAGGTGGGAGGGAGGACTCTGGAACATGACTGGACCTCACAAAGCGAGGAACACAGGGAGCCACACCGGCTGGCACCGTTGGAGGGGGTGCGTAGTAGCCTTGAAAATCAGAAAGAGGAATACATAATGTAATCTCAGTAAAATCCAACATTTTACAAAGGTTTAAGTCTAAAGCAGCCTTTAATGTGGGAAAAGGAAGTAAGCTTTGAACCTTAATTACCCCTGCTTTAGAAAGAAACTACATGCTTTCAAGACATAACTACTATATGAAAATCATTAAAGTTCACTATTTTGTTAAACTGCTCCTCAAAAACCCAAGACAGAGCTATTAACAGATGGCTGGTAAGTTTCCTTCTAGGGCATCTATTGCCACAGGTTTTGGATTAAGTAATTAGTTACATTATTGACTCCTAACTTTTGGGGAGCAGAGATTAAAGAGCTTTCAAAATCTATGTAAGTTGTGCATTGTCTTTCCAAAATTATACATAAGTATATATAAGCCAAACATTCTGCAAACTGTTTCAAGGGATTCACAAAACTCCCTGAAGTTCATCCATGGACCCTAAATTTGATGCATAGGAAGGAGAATCTTAAAACTACTGGCATGTAGAATCATCAATTCTTAGGGTAGAAAGAAAACTTAGTCCAAAGCATTAATTTTTTTTTTTTTTTTTTTTTTTAGTAGGCTCCATACCCAACAAGGAGCCCAACACAGGGCCTGAACTCATGACCCTGAGATCAAGACCTGACCTGAGATTTAAAGCTGGACGCTTAACCAACTGAGCCACCCAGGCACCCCAATTAATTCTTTAATGCAGATATTCTAGGTACGTGATTAAGTGATTCACTTACTTACCTAAGGACAACAAATGTTATATTACAGTTTTTTTTTCTTAGAACTATCTAAAATTACTTACCTGTCTGTGGGTACTGTGGGACTTCAAAGGGTATCTGAGTCCTTGGATCTTGAAAATACTGAATGTTTTCAGAGTGCTGAGGATATACTGGTACTCTAGTTATAAATGGGCTGGATTTTGGAGGCACAGAATTCAGCTCTGTTCCAACATTAGAAGGCCCAGCTGAGGTAGCCGCTACATTACTTACAGGAGTCTTGGGTGGAGAGCCAATTTTACTGGAGAGAGAATTTATCAAGAACAAAGAATAAATCACTGTCTGTAACTGTTGTCTTCCTCAGAAGGAATTTTTCATAAAATTATATAGTGAACCACTAATAGGAAAAACTTTAGGTACTTCCATAGCGAAAAATTAGGCAATGAATTTCATTGCCACCTTCCACTGCTCATTCATAGAATCATAGTAATAGATCTCATATTCTGGTGAAGGCAAAAAGAAATGCAAACAAATCCCAGGCACTAATGTGACCCATCAATCCCTTTTTACTCATTCTTAAACAACATATTTTTCCTAGAGAAAATAAAAAAAAATTACTCAGTTCTCAACAGAAGAAATATACAGTTAACCCTTGAACAACACAGGTTTGAAATGCACAGGTCCACTTACATGCAGATTTTTTTCAATGAATACAGTACTATAAATGTATTTTCTTTTTTTAAAAATACTTTTTGTTTTTTTTTAAGTAAACTCTACCCTCAATGTGAGGTTCAAATTCATGACCCTGAGATCAAGAGTTGCATGTTTTACTGACTGAGCCAGGCACCCCTCCTTATGTTTTCTTTTTTTTTTTTTTTAAGATTTTATTTATTTATTTGAGAGAGAGAATGAGAGAGAGAGCACATGAGAGGGGGGAGGGTCAGAGGGAGAAGCAGACTCCCCGCCGAGCAGGGAGCCCGATGCGGGACTCGATCCAGGGACTCTGGGATCGTGACCTGAGCCGAAGGCAGTCCCTCAACCAACTGAGCCACCCAGGCGCCCCCCTCCTTATGTTTTCTTAATGACATTTTCTTTTCTCTAGCTAACTTTACGGCAAGAATACAGTACATAGTATATATAACCTATAAAATCTGTGTTAATCAACAATATGTTATCGGTAAGGCCTCTGGTCAACAGTAGGCTATTAGTAGTTATGTTTTTGGGAAGTCAAAACTTGCACTCGAAATTCGGACTGCACAGGGGTTGTGTTGTTCAAGGGCCCACTGCAGTCCACCAGAATTCTTTGGGACAAAGAAGACAGACTGTAAAAGAAAGGTTGTTCTATTAAGAGCTAGACAGACATTTTGAAATGTAAACTCCTTGAGAAAAGGCCATTTTTGTCCTTTTGGGGAGGAAGGGGCAGAGGGAGAGAGAGAGAATCTTAAGCAGGCTCCAAACCCAGCACAGAGCCTGACGTGAGGCTAAATCTCACAACCCTGAGATCGAGACCTGAGTCAAAATCAAGAGCTGGATGCCTAACCCACTGAGCCACCCAGGGGCCTCATTTTTGTCCAGTTTGTTAATTGCAGTCTCTCCAGATTTTTGTTAAGTGTTATATCTACAAGAATTCCTGGCACACAGTAGTTCCTCAGTAAATATCTGTTGAACAAATGAAACAGTTCCTGCCACATAGTAGGTAGTCAGTAAATAACTAGTGGATGATCAAAATGCCAATATATGGTTACTCATTAAACTGAATACATAAACTTATTATTTTTTTTAAACAAAGGATTTTCTTTGTTGAGTCACCAAGCAATCAGTTCCAGAGGATCTCATCATGGCTTTCTTATGTCCTATTAAGAAGGACGTCCAACTTTAGGGCACCTGGGTGGCTCAGTCAGTTAGGCATCTGCCTTTGGCTCAGGTCATGATCCCAGGGTCCTGGGATCGAGCCCACATTGGGCTCCCTGCTCAGTGGGGAGTCTGCTTCTACCCTCTCCCTCTGCCCCTCCTCCCTGCTTGTGCTCTCCCTCTCTCAAATAAAATCTTTAAAAAAAAAAAGTCCAACTTTAAGAGCTTAGATATGTGGTGGCTCCAGAAAATGCATTTGTTAATGATGCAGGAATTCAGTATGCTGCATCCCAAGTAGAGTAGAGGGTTTTTCTCAAACTAGAGAAGCCCTTTTAAAGCTAGAATATAAACAAGGAGTATGGGCTGCTTTTAAGTCTAACACAGCAGATTAGTCTAGCAGATGTTTACTTCTATGTGTAAAATGAAAATAACTAAGGAACTGTGGGTAATAATAGTAGATACAAATTTACTGACTTACAGTTTAAAGATATTTTAGGGCTATGTTTATTCTTTGCAGTTAAAGGCAACAAGGAAAATAATTAGGATTTCCTTATAACAGTAATATACTAACTTACTGAGCAATTACTGAGCACATTCCAGGCACTATGCAATGTGCTTTACACAGGTTTTCTGGTCCTTCCATATCAAAATGTTATATACTATAAAATTTGGGTAAGTACTTTGAAATGGCGAATTTTTAGACTTGTCAGCAAAAAAGGTATCAAAATCCATGACAAGATTCATAGATTCATAGCCTCATGAGATCGTGCAAACTATCTGTAAAAATCAGACTTAAGGAAAACGCTAGCCTTCAGTCACATTCCAGTCAGGCAGCTAGATTCCTACAGCTGTAGCCTACAGGACTTTCAGGATTCTAGGCTCTTCCGCAGCATGCCTCTCCTGCGTACATGATTTTGCCTGTGATGCTTCCTGTACTGAGGAGTCCTTCCTTCCCAACTATCCATGTTTCTGGAACTAGCCAGGTATTCTCTAAGGAGCCTTCCACAGTGACTTCCTGCAGAATGGTATTCTTTTTTTGTGTTCTAATAATACTTGGAACACAACTCCATTATAGTACCTCTCAGAATATATTGTATGGTCTGTTTACATCTGCATCCCAAACCACACTGTAAGTCCCATCTTAGAAGCAGGGAGTAGTATTATCTAGTTCATTTTCATTACATTTCCACCAAGTGGCTGGTGTTGGGTACGTGGAAGATCCATAATTTTTGAATGAATGATTGAGATTTTTTTTTTTTTAAAGCTTTTATTTATTTATTCATGAGAGAGAGAGAGAGAGACAGAGGCAGAGGGAGAAGCAGGCTCTCCGCGGAGCAGGAAGCCTGATGCGGGACTCAATCCCAGGACCCTGGGATCATGACCTGAGCCGAAGGCAGACGCTTAACCAACTGAGCCAGCCAGGCGTCCCTGATTTAGATTTTTTAAAAGTTTTTTCCCTAGTCTTATCATTTAAAAAACTGAGATATAATTTACCTTTTGAAGGTATACAATTCAGTGATGTTCTGTATGTTCACAAGGATGTACAAGGACCATCACCACTAATCCTGAGACACTTCCATCAGCCCTGAGAGAAATCTCTCCTTGTTAGCATTCACTCCCCAGCCCCTGACAACCACTCATTTACTTTCGGTCTCTATGGATTTGCCTATTCTGGACAATGACATAAATGGAATTCTGTAATGTATGGCCTTTTATATCTAGCTTCTTTCACTTAACATAGTTTTCAAGGTTCACCATACTGTAGTATGTACTAGTACTTCACTCCTTTTTTATGGCTGAATACATTCCACTGTATGGTTATAAAACAGTTCTACGTTACCTTGCCAAAACCCTTCAAAAGTTCGTTTTCTAAACATATATGTAACACAAGGTCTCCATAATCTGGTGCCAACCTATCTATCTAATCTTATTTTAACCAGCCCCTAACAAAACTTTCAGTTCTAAAGGGCTGGTCTCTTCAATATTCCATACAATTACCTAGTATTACATTATCATATTACATATAATTTTCTAGAAGGCATATAATAAACACTGACAGGGGCAACAAAATCTGAACATGTTAAAACTCAGATTTTAAGACCCTACAATAATACCAAAGCATGAGATTTTAGAGGTGGAAATAACTTTTCAGATTGTTAGAAAGTTGTAAAACTTTTTTCTTAAAGCACCAAAACCCTTTCTTATGCTGAAACCCAACAATATTGGTAATAATAATAACAACAACAACAGATATTTATTGAGTGCTATTGGGCAGGCACTGTTCAAAGCATCACACTTAACAATTCACAAATCCGCACAACCAACATATGTAGTAGTTGCTATTTTTGTACAAATTTTATGGATGAGTAAACTGAGGAAGACAGATTAATTGGCCTAATATCAAACAGCTAGAAAACAGTGAGCCAGAATTTGAACCCAGAGAGTTCGGCTCTCAAGAGGCCCCTCTTAACTACCACACATCATTATGGAGTACAGAGAGGAACTGTTCTGACTGCAGCAGAGGCTGGAGGCTCAGCATCTCACCTTGCTTAGGTTTCTACTTAGTTCCTTTCTGGCCCTTCTATGGACTCAATCCTATTCCATAGAAGTTCAAAGAAGTAAGTGTGGGGAAAAAAAAAACAACAAAAACCAATTCTGGCCCAGCCTCTTTAGTTTATAGTCGAGGAAAACAAAACCCAGAGCTGAAGTGACTTTCTAAGGTCACAGAGCTATTCAACTGCAGACCCAGGACTAAAACTCAAATTTTTTGGCATTTAGTGCTTTTTCTACTATGTGGAACATTCTGCATAAAAATTCTGATTAATTTCTTTTCCTTGGGATAAATAAAAATACTCAAGCATTTCTAAAAAACTCACAGTAACCATTTTTACCTAATACTTACTTTTCAGTGACGGATTCTGCAGAAGGCCCAGTAGCATTCTGACCATTAGTGCCAACCTTCCCCACCTTCTTCACAGTCTCCAGAGCTCTTAACGTACTGTCAGTACTACGTGGGATTAGCTGGGAAACACTGTTTTCTGCATTTGAAATTCCGTTTGTACTTGGAACAATTTTCCCCGTTGTTTCAGTACTTCCTATGACAGAAATGACATTTCCGGCTGTGGTTGTGACAGTGTTGTTTACACCAACTTTATTTAGAAGAGGAAATGTTCTTACAGTTGCATTGATCTTTTTGTTCCTTAATCGATACCTGTTTCAAAAACAATCAACATATCAGTGAATATTTCACTAAATCTTACCCTGAAAGGAGAAAAAAAAAAAGACAATGGGAAAAGATTTAAATAGGAGGAACAGCTTTAAAGAAAAGTTTCTTCAGCTAAATATCAAATCAGTCTACATCAAACTCTGCTGTGATAGATGCCACATGAAAATACATATGCCCCCCCACAAACATATATGTAGGCACGTAATTAATACAGCAAGCAAAATACACATGTATTCAAAGAAACCTTTTGAGGGAATAAGAAGAGATTCTTTTGAAAATTTTATATAATTGGAATATAAAGTACATTATATAAAAATGAAAGGAACCATACCAAATTTACTTAGCAATGCAAAATGAAAAGTATGAAAAAGTTGGCAAAGTTCTGTTATTACCAAATGATTAGAGCATTATATAAATTTAAAAAATTATGAAACCAAAACTCATTCTTAAACGCTATACCAAAATATGGAAATTTAGTATTATATTTTTCAGATTAAGTTTATGCCTGAAGTAAAAAGGATTTGGATTAAAGACTTTTCCGATACTAATTTCAGGGTCTTATCTATAGTGGTCAAATATAACACTCTTAATATATAAAGCAATTTGATCTTGGAGTCGATTTAAGAAAATTTGTTTCACTTGTACAATTCAAAAACTTCATTATAATGTAGTCCTAGTCAATGTTTCCTCTAATACTTTAAAGTGATGAACAACTGTTACATGAAAAGAAAAACGACTACACACATTTGAAGTCATAATTACATAAGCCTAAATTAATCTGATATTAATGTTATACATAATCAAACATATGGTAATTAAATATAAATAGCGTTAGTGATGAGCAATGCCTTCACAATCCCTCCCTTTCAGTCCCTCAATATCTACAAACAGCCTTATTATTCAATCCTGCTCTTCTCCCTCCCTCCCTCTCCCTCTGTCACACACACACACACACACACACACACACACACACACTGACAGAGGCATGTGGAGCTCAATAAAAGACAAGTGTCCCCAGACGAGACTGGCTGGGGGTGCAGTGACAGAACACAAAGTTTAAAAAAAAAAAAAAAGAAGACAACAGTTATAGCCAATCTACATATGTCATCTCAGAGATATTCTGGGGAACCACTGATTATGAGTAGGGTACAAGCAGACCTATATTTTAGAAAGGCAGTTTGGTGATGTGGAGGGGCCTGCACTTTCCTCAACATGCTCTCTGAAACCTGCTCTTCATTCTTCATCTCAAAGGTTCTTGCACAAAATACCCAGCTGCTCCTTGCTTTCCATCCTCAAAGGACAAATCTCAGCTATCCTTAAGATTACTCTGGCAGGCAAAAAACAAAAGGTTTAATTGTGAGTACCTTAAAAGAGAAGAGTTGTAAGAAGTAAAACCTTAACTAAGGGAGGTAAAGTAAGTGACAAGTCAGGATACATATTGGACTTCTAGCAACTAGGAAGCTAAAGACTTGGATTTAGGATCTGGCCCTCACGCCTGAAACAGCCACTTATTTCCTATTCTTTTAAAATCATCTTTGAGCTCCCTGAAGTACTCACTCCCTGCCTCACCCAGCTTTGAATCCACTATCTACCATTAATTCCTCCCTTGTAAGTACCTTCAACTCCCCCTGTTGGAACTCACCTGGTAAAACCCTAATCTGATTCTTCACTTACTCTCTTATTCTGGGCCTGCTCCGTGGCAGCTGAATGTTGGTGGAGAAAAACTATGCCATCATGGCTCTCTAGACTCCCTTCAAAATTATGATCAATTATTTAAAATGGCCAAGCAATACATTATTACACTTCTCTACTAAATTCACTTTCCCATCTCTAACATCCTTTCCACCTCCACTCTCCACAGCTCCTCCACCACTGATGATACCACCTCCCACTTCAGAGAAAATAGTTGAAACCAGAGGAGAATTACTTCTTTCACCACCAAGTCCAGTAACCTTCCTGCATCTGTAACCACATGCTCCTCTGAAAAAGGGATGAAGAGCTCCTGGCTCCTAACTCAGGCCAATCTTGCCGCTTGGGTTCTACCCAGGGCCCATCTCCACTTGAGCCCCAGGTCCCAAGCCCATCTGCCTTTGCAAAGACTCCACTCCTGTAACGATCTGTTGTTCTAGGGCATCATCACTTCATTCAGGTGTCTCCGTACATGTCATATCCTCTGAGATACCTTCCCAGACCATCTTATCTAAAATATCTCCCCTTTCCCAATCGTTCTCTTTCTCCATACCTTGTGTTATTTTTCTTCATAGCACAGAGCAGTACCAAATATCATGCTTTCTAATTATTTGCTTTATGTCAATCTTCTCTACTACAGTGTAAGCCCCATGAGAGCAAGGATTTTTGCCTTTCTTACCCACCACTCTACCTTCAGCACATCATACAGTACCTGTGCATACTAGGTGTTCAATAAATATTTGCTGCATGAATGTGGAGTAAGCCTCTAACTTCATATGGCCAAGAGAACAAACTACTGATTTTCTACCCCAAAAGCATTTCCCATCTCAGTAAAATACACTACTTGGTTATGCAGGTCCCAAACCTTGGAGTCATTCTTGATTTTTAAAGTCCACATTCAATCTATCAGTTTTATCAACCCTACTTCCGAAATACATCCCAGTCTGATCACTTTTCATCATTTTCATTACTATGGTCCTAGGACCAAGATACCAATCCTGTGCCTCAACCACTGTAGTAATTTAATTGGTCTCCAGCCATGCACTTAGTGACATTTCTAAGACAAAATTAAAATCTCATTGTTGCGGGTTGGCTGGCTGGCTCAGTTGGTAGAGCATGTGACTCTTGATCTGATCAGGCTCCTGAGTTCAAGCCCCATGTTGGGCATAGAGCTTACTTAAAAAATAAATAAGATTTGGGGCGCCCGGGTGGCTCAGTTGTTAAGCATCTGCCTTCAGCTCAGGTCATGATCCCAGTGTCCTGGGATCAAGCCCCGCATTGGGCTCCCTGCTCAGCCAGGAGCCTGCTTCTCCCTCTCCCACTCCCCCTGCTTGTGTTCCCTCTCTAGCTGTGTCTCTGTCAAATAAATAAAACCTTTAAAAATAAATAAATAAATAAGATTAAAAAAAAAACCCCCCAAAATCCTCATCATTGCATTTGAATAAAACCCTACAATGGCTTCCAAATTCCTCACCATGGTCCATAAAGCCAGTATGATCTGGCCCTTGCCTACCTCTCCAATCTTATCTTTTGTTGTTCTTCTCATTCTCCATCTTCCAGACACACTGGTCTTGTTTCTAGTTCCCACGCATGCCAAGTTTGTTTCCACCTCAGATGTTCTTATTTTATCAGTAACTGAAATTGTATTTACATGTTTACTGTTCCTCTTCCTCCACTATAAGCATCTCAAATAGTACCTGGCACTTAACAATCATTTTTATAAATATCTGTTGAACTGGTTGATCCCAGGCTTTTGACACTCTCCAGAATGCAGCAACTCTTGGAAACACGATTCTAATACTCAGGAGACTGTTGGGAATTTACATTTAGTTTGGTTAGAGAGATGCATAATAGTTAAAGCAGGCTGGAGTAAAATTTATTTAAGTAAAACAAATGTTTGCTCCTGGTGTATTATGTGAAATAAGACAAAGGTTCTACCCTCAAAAACTCAGAGATAGGTAGCAACGTGTATTTTTTTAGCCAATAGGATAGTGACATCTTCCACCTCCTTAATCCTTGGTATCATCCTGTTTTTTCTTCTTTTTTCACACACCAACAGAGACTGTGAGGCTGGCTGGAAATAGGAATTATAGATTATTTGCTCTTTCAACATAAATATACTGAATTTACGTATCAGATACTTGCTAAGTGAAGAAAATATCAAGATTAATTACCCATAGGATAAATGAAGTCCAGTGAAAATACACACATGCAAATAAATAATTGCAGTATGACAAGAGAACTGGATGTTACAAAGTATAAAGCACTACACCGGCACAGTGAAGGAAGCAACTAACACTGCCTGGGAAGTCAGGGAAGTCCTCAGAAGGAAGCTGACATCAGAGTATGACTAAGAACAGGAGCTCTCCAAATAGAGAAGAGAAAAGCGTATGATATAGAGGAACAACATGTGCAAGGGAAAGAATGAAAGAATTTGTGTAGTAGTAAACAGTGATTAACAAGATGTACCTTAAAAAAATAAAAACTGCAAAAGGTAGAGTAAGGCTGGAAAGCTAGATTAGGACCACCAGATCCTGTGATATACTGAGGAACCAATTTAGAATGTAAAACAGAAGATGGACATGATTAGATGCTTATTTGCAAAAGAAAATCTTGGTAGCAATGAAATAGCCAGATTGAACATAAGGAGATGCCAGGTTAAAGGCCATTAGAGTACTAAATTGATAAATTGGGTAAACACATGTGAAACACTAAAAATGGTACCTCACACCAAATGAGACCAATTAATTTGGCTATGATTATTTTTATACTACTACTATTATAATTTCAGACAAGAGATAATAAAATTCTGAAGTAGGTAATGGAGATGGAGAGTAGAAAGCCAGCTTGAAGACATAAGAGATAAAATGGATCTTCAGCTGGGGTACCAGTTATGGGTCGAATGGCAATGAAATCACAGTTTCTCCTCTGACTTTGTTAAGTCTAAGTACACCCAAGCAAGGTCCCCTAAAAAGTTCTACTTTCGCTAAGAAGCTCTATTTCAGGTATGGGCAAGCTCAATAGATCTCCTAGAATCTCAAAAACCAGCCCAATATAAAACTCTATATACAGAGAGGCTTAGACTGGGTGCAAACAGCATCTTTTTGTCTTAGGACTCCTATAACCTCTCTAGACTCTTCCAGTAGGGGGAAAACAGAGAAGAAGCATGTTTCTACTCTTCTTTTTAATGCACACACACATATCACCTATCATATTGCTGCTGCTGCGGAGCTCATTACATACAGGGCCCAGTGCCCGCAACTGAGGAGAGGAGACTGTAATCAACAAGATAGATACAGTCCATTGAGCTTACACAGCAACAAGGCAGACAGTCAATAGATGAGGGGTCAGCAAGCTACCTCTTGTGGGCCAAAATTGCCTGTCTCTTGTAAATGAAGTATATAGCTATGCCCGTCTTATGCACTATGGTGGCTTTTTTGCTACAATGGCAGAATTGAGCGGTTGTGACAGTTCACTGCATGATCCGCCAAAATGAAAATATTTACTATCTGGACCTTGACATAAAATTTACCATAAGTTAACCATAATTTTGATAAGCATGATAAAGAGGAACCTGGTTTAGTATGTAATATTGGGAAGACCCCCCAAAAAAGTGAAGGATAAGCTAGGCAAAAGAAAAGCTCCAAAGGCAAGGCCCCAAGGAACAACATGACGTAGAAGACCTAAGGTGGGAAGGAACATGATGCATTCCAGGCACTGTCAGAAGGTAAGCGTGGCCTGAGTATAAAATATATTCAGGAGCACTGTGAGATGAGATCAGAAAGGTAGGCATATAGATGATGCAGGGTCCACAATCTAGATTTTATAACTTTATCCACAGGGTATGAGAAACCACCTGTTTCTCATTATCTGCAATGAGCTTAATGTACAAAATTCTCCCTGTTTTGTGGGGAATGATGGGTTTGGGGTAGGCAACAATAGCTGTAAGAAGACTAGTTAGAAGGCAATCACAGATCGAGAAAAGGGGATGATAATTTGGACTATAAGGATGGAAAGAAGAATTGAGAAACATACAGGCAGGAAGCTGAACTGACTTGTTGACTAAGTAAGACAAGCAGATGAAAGGTGACAAAGATGGTGCCTTTAACATGGCATGTATAACTGGCTGAACAGTACACTGGGGGAGAGCAGAATGAAAGGTGGGAGAGGATGTATGGGAGGAGAAAATTAGCTCAACTTGAGCTTCAAGTGTCTAAAAACAAAAGGGAGATGTCCACTAAGAGTTGATACACAGGTTGCTTCAATAGAAAGGCTGGAATCAATTTTTTGGCAACAGAGGCACCTGAGTGGCTCAGTTGGTTAAGTGTCTGCCTTCGGCTTAGACCATGATCTCAGGGTTCTGGGCTCCCTGCTCGGAGGGAGGGGGATGGGACAACTACTGCTTCTTCCTCTCCTTCTCCTTTGCCCCTCTCCCCCGCTCAAGCTCTCTCTCTCTCGCTCTCACTCAAATAAAGAAATAAACCCCCAAAAACAAAAAACAGAAACTTGGACAATACCTATGCTAAAAAGACCAAAAGCCATAAAAAGAAAATGTATCTGCTGTACTGTTTTACCTGGGACTTTGCCGTTATCTTCAACTGAACCTGACAAATAAGATTGCACGGAGGGGTGTTTTGTTCTGCACAGGTGCTTAACAAAAACATGGATTCCAGCTATACAATGCTTTAAAGTATGACCCTTGAATAAGGTTCTAAATCACTTATCATGTTAATCTTGCTCCCAGAAGTGAGAAGGTATAGTTTCAAAAGAAAAGATTATCTTGCAATCTAAGGAACTCTACAATGTGAACTTAATCACATCTGCAAAACCCACCATAAACTTTGAGACTACACAGGACACTTTCATAATGACCCCAAATTAAACCCATATGAAAAAGAATTTTCATAACTTACTTTTCAAGCTCTTCCTGAGAATGGGCAAAAGTACAATTTGTTCCTCGGGGACACCCTCCTTGCTGACGCAGATCTCGGCACATGCTAGTCTTGTATTTGCTGTTTGGCTGAGGCTACAAAAAAGAAAATCGGTGTGTGGAAAAGTGAGGACTCTTGGGATTTCAGAATTTTATGATTTACCGCTTTAATTCTTTTTCATGTTAGAGAAGTAATTCTTGTGCTGAAGCAACTGCCATTCCACCATTTCCCATTAGGCATTACACGGGGTAACTCTGAACTGCCATTTTAAATATTCCTTCTGAGGATTATCTGAAACTGGTTCAAATGTTATGTCTATTTATTTGTCAGGCAACATAATGCCCACAAAAATACAAGATTTTCTCCTCAATTCATTGCTGTCTTAAAATGATATCAAAACAAATGATTTAAAAAGCACTTAAAAAGCCATAAGCTTTGTCCACTTAAAACTTTCCCAGGAGAGGTAGAATATAATTTCCCCTGTAAGTAAAAATTTATGAAACTAATTTATTTGTCAGCTTGAGGGTACAGCTCTCTTCTTAGGCTTGGAGCTGTTTAAGTTCATAAAAACAATGAGGCAAAATATAAAAGCCTCATCATAACAGCTATAACTGCATCAAAATTTAAGATGGCATTGTAATTTCTGTGACCTTAATAAAAATGAAACATTTATCTGTCAGTTAATGTTTGAATATTATAATGTTTTCTAACAGAATAAGGGTAAAAGAGTGCAAAGATCACTTTGGAGTAGATTTGATCCCAGCTCTGTCACTTACTGTCACCAGGACCTTAGATTTGTTATTTAACCTCTTTGAACTTTAGCTTGGGAACAGCAATTATCTTGCAGGTGGCTGTGAGGATTAGAAATTATATAAATAAAATACTGAACATAGGAACTTGGCTCACAGTGACGTAATAAGTGGGCATAATTATTAGAATAAAAGATTATGCCTTAAGCAACTCCTTCTAAAGTACATTGCAAATATTTTAAAAATTCTAACTCCACACATTTACAAACAGATATTCATTTGTACGAGAGCAATGGAGAAAAAAGTGACGATTTCCCTACATTAGAAAAGAATTAGACAAAATATCTGGAAGGAATCATTGAGCTATACTTGGTCAAAACATTGACAGTGAACTCATATTCAAAATATTCTCCCAACGGGGGCGCCTGGGTGGCTCAGTCATTAAGTGTCTGCCTTCGGCTCAGGTCATGATCCCAGGGTCCTGGGGTTGAGCCCTGCATCAGGCTCCCTGCTCAGCAGAAGCCTGCTTCTCCCTCTCCCACTCCCCCTGCTTATGTTCCCTCTCTCGCTGTGTCTCTGTCAAATAAATAAATAAAATCTTAAAAAAAAAAACAAAACACTCTCCCCATGGTTGTGCCATGCTATGAATTATTTATCAGGTATACTAAAACTTGAGTTTCTCTCAAAAGAACAGAGATAATAGAAACCTAAAAGAGCAGAGTCACGTAAGAAGTCCATTAACCGAAAAGCTTGTTCAAGATGTTCAGGATGAAGCTCTGTTAGAGGTAACAGCAGTCAGAAGTGCAATGAATATGCTTACCTGAGGTGTCTCATGGCCTTTCCTACTATAATTTTGTATGAAGTCCACAAGGCCATGAACCACTGTTTTAACAGCTACCATTGCATTTTCTAGCTGCTCCCAAGTTGGTGAAACAGCATCTAAAATAAGCCGTCAAGGGGATGGGGAGAAGAATTTGTTAGCAGTAATTCTCTTGTGTTATTTACCTCAAGGGCAGAAAAAGTATAAGCAACTAAATATTTTTTCACATACCTGGATTAGGGTCTATGTTTGCAAGAAGCTCTAAATGAGGCCTCAGTCTATTTAAGTTAGCTGGGTCACCCGTTCGTTGCAAAACAATTGTCAATTCCTGGACACTCTTTGCAAATGATTCTGGAGACTGCAGCTAACAAAACAGACAAGAGAATGGCTTTTACTCTGCTTCTTATGACACATCTATATTCAGATGCTTCATTTAGTCAACATACTAAACAGGTTTTCAAGTGCCTTCAGATTCCATAGTAGGAGTTATCAATGATGAATGAAATTTTCACCTCAGAATCTGCCCTATGAAATTCATCATTAGACACTTAGAAAACTTACTTATTATAAGCTATATTAGCTCTCTGGGGTCAAAACACAGATAAACAACAGACTCTGAAAGCCAGGCTGCTTTTACGCTACTGTCCTATATGTGCTTCCCTATTGCCTCCCGTCATTTATTTTGAAAGTTAGAAAAATAATAAAAAGAAATAAAGATAAAATAATACACAGTCTGATACTTAAAACACAGGAATCTCCAACTAGTTGTCTCTTTAGTTCCTTTAGAAGATTGCAATGCTCTTCTAAGTAACAGCAATGATATAAAACAAACATCATTTCACAAACCTTATCAATGATAGACTGCATGTGTGATTTATGTGCCAAGTCACCATACAGAAGTGAAGACCACTGCTCAGGTGAAATGCGGAGTCCTGCTTCCATAGCAATATGAACAATTTGGGCATCATGTTCTCTGCGTAATGCTTCATAACTCCGAAATTCCTCCTTTAGCTGCATCAGAGAAGAATCTTCATCCCTTTTGGTAACCTAAGAAATAGAAAGGAGAAAAAAAAAACCCCATCAGAATTGGTCTGCTCTCCCTCCTTCTCCAATCAATTCTTTTGGTGGGGGAGAGTACAGATATCAGACACCAGACAAAAGAAGGTGCAAAGAGGAGAATGTCCTTATCACAAATTCTTTTTGGAACAAAGCAGACCTTACATAACCCAGTACATAGTTTTTCCTTCTTTCAATGAACTCAGCAGCTGATAGAGAAGACACTTGTAAACAAAAAATTATAGTATACGTGCTCTTATAATGCTCCATGGCAACATAAAGGAAAGGCAATTAAATCTGACTTGGGGGAGAAGGAAGGGATAACAGAGGAGGCTTCCCCATCTTGAAGGCTGCATGAACTGAGTCTTGAAGAATGAATAGGCATTTCCAGGTAAGAAACAGAATCCTAACAAGAGTAGCACGTGGTGAAATAGAAAAATGAAAGAGCAGAGCACATAGAATTAAAGACTAAGAGGCTAGAGAAGAATCATAGAGGGCCTTATAAACTATGGTGAGAAATTTATATATTATGCTGAAGGGAATGGGAAGCCACTGAGGACTTTTAAGCGAGGAATGAGAGATCAGTCCAATGGGTAGACATATATTAGCACTGCCACGTGATGATTAAGAAATTTTCTATACCACAAAAATGATCATTAGGGTATTTATACAGCTTTAATTTATACCTGACTTAAGTCATTTAAAAAACATAAATTCAAAAGCTTCCAGTTTCACATACCCTACTGAAACTGTCTAATTCTCCAAACATGCAAGTGTATGACTAGATAATTTTCCACAATAGATATCATTTATCTAAAACTTGCACAATGAAATTTGAAACTTGGCTAGGATTCAGAATACCTAGGACTAGTACAGATTCTATAATTCAGAATGAACAAATCAGTCAAACTGTTCAAAATCATGATTTTCTCATTGGCAAAATGAAAATATCTCCAAACCACCTCACTGGTTCTTTCTATTGTTGACACATGAGACAACAATAATATGACCCCAAGAATATGAAGATGGGAAAATCAAGTTACCATCTGAGAATTAATAGTATCAGTTCAAAATCTCTTTGGGAATATGTAATTACATTAGAGAAAAGTGTGGGACATCCAAAATTCTAAACATAATCTTAGGAATAATTTGGGAGCAGAGTAACTTAGAAGTCCCCAAAATCTATATTCTACTTTAACCTATTTAAAGAAACACTGAGGAAACAAAAGAAAGAATTAACAACCTAAAAAACAGAAGAAAGAAACCCAAGAACCAGACAACGGTAGCATCACCCAACTACCACGTAGGCTACAAGGGTGCCTCATAGGCAGCATAAGCATCTATTCACCTGAGTAGTAAAGACATACACAGGTGGCTAACAGAGCATGGTCATATTAAAGTTCTCACTACCATGCATCAAAATCACCCGTGAAGCATTAAAAACTACAATTTCAGGTAATCATAATTCCTGGCTTTGAAGACCACACGATTTAAAAAGTATGTATGAATGCTCAAGTCCCACATCAGATACACCAAATCAGAATATATCCGGGGATGGGACCCAGGATTGTATACTTTTAAAAAACCCATAAATAATTCTGATGCAGATCATTAGTTGGGAATCACTGCATCAAATGTTGGAATGATTAACTCCCTTGCGCTGAAGCCAGGCTACTCAAGCAAAGGTCTGATATCTTCGGCAGGAAAATATCTACAATATGATGATTTAAGTCATGTAAGAATTGCACTTCTCATTACAAATTAATAAAATAGATCATCCATTGTGGGTGACCTTGGTAAGGGTGTTCTATTCCTGAAGAAAGAATCTACTGTATGCACCCACAAAAATTCACATCTCTAAGCCTATAAAATCAAGGAAAGACCTTTGACAATTGTGATTTTACTAGAGTAAATGACACCCAAGAGAGGCCTTTTGGCAGTTAAGTCAGTACGTTATCCTTTTATTAATCTAAACACTGCTTTAACATTTTATTTATTAATTTTTTTTTAAAGATTTTATTTATTTATTTGACAGAGAGAGACACAGCGAGAGACGGAACACAAGCAGGGCGAGTGGGAGAGGGAGAACCAGGCTTCCTGCTGAGCAGGGAGTCCGATGCAGGGCTCAACCCCAGGACCCTGGGATCATGACCTGAGCCGAAGGCAGACACTTAATGACTGAGCCACCCAGGCGCCCTGCTTTAACATTTTAAACTAGAGTGCAGTGAGGATGAAATGAGAGCATAAAATTGAAATCACTTTCTATACTAGTGTTATTCAGATGTCAGATGTTAGAAACAACTGTAGATGACTATCATAAACCACAAATCAGTATGATTCCTATGAGAGAAAAAACACATTAAATCAGGAATACAGTGTGAGAACCTAGTCAGTCACCTGAGGATGATAAATGATCTCTGTAATTTGGTTGCTTAGCCAAAAACATAATGTTTGAGGAACCAGGGATTCATTTCTATTTTTGCCCTTAAGGGTACAAAATCAAGCACTATAACTATCAAGGAGATAGTGTCCAAACCTCATTAGTGGAGATAAGTGAGTTCATTTGAACATATTTCCATCAGCAATTACCTGTTATTTCAAACTAAGCAGTCTGCCGAAAAATTTTTTTCTGTCTGTACTGTTTTCACTATTGGGCTATAAAACCAGCAAAATAGCTTTGGCTTTCAAATTTTGATGTTTTACTTTTATAGAAGCCAATGGACTTTTCTAGTTCCAAGTATCTGGGCTTTTCTCAAGATCCAGCCAGCAGTCCCTACTCTTGTAACATGCAGAAACTTTTAAGGATTCAGCCTACTTTCCACCTCTCTCAGTACCTGTAACCACGCACAGGTCTATAAGACAATGCAACCACATTTCTAAGTATCTTGGGGTTTTTCTGTCTTCTCCACCAAAACAAAACACACACAAAAAATCACACCTCCTAAATGCAGAGTGGGGCAAGTACCTCAACTCTTCACTCTCTTGTCCTGAAGGCAACATTATAGGCCATCTTCAGATTAAAGGTCATAATCTAATCACAACAGGGAATAAAATAAAAATAACAATGGGAAATTGAAAAACCAACTTCTTACGTTCTTTTATATAATTTTCCCTTTTAAGATGGGAAATTCATTTGAATTAGACTTCTTTAGTTTACATTCATTATCCCAAGAGTCAAGTTTACCAAACTATTTCCTTATGCTCTGTTTTCTGTTACTGACACCTTCACATGTTTATTCTCAACAGGTAGTATCACAGATGCAAACAATGCAGAAGGAAAACAAAGTTTCCTTTCAACTCTTAGAAGCATTCTGCATTCCTGGAGCCTCTAGACCAGGTAACATCCATTCTAGAAAGCCTCTATCTCATACAAAGGCATGTAATGTCTAGATGGCTGCTTGCTACTTACCTTAAAACATGAAGCTCGATACAGTAGTTGCACAACATGACCAATACTTGTTTTTGATGCCTGAGGAAATCTTGGTTCTAGTCTTTGCACAACAAAAAGTACCAGTACTTTCCTTGAGAGAGCAGAGCCATCTTCTAATGCTAGCAACACCAGCTTCAAGGCCTCTTCTTGCATAGCTAGAAGTGAGAAACATGAATTCACAATAAATGAGAAACCCTGCAGATCATGTCTGTCAGACTTCTTTGGGTATTAGATTCATGGCGGTCCATTATCCACAGTCTGTATTTCATTAGCACAAAAAGAGGACACCACACATACAAAAATACAGTTTACTTAAAAAGCAATCAAACAAAATATAATTTCTACTAAACAACCATTTAGAACATAAATCAACAGAACTTAAAACATATCTCCTGCAGGTATTTAATAATCTAGATAACAATAATGTTACAGTGCAAAGAAAAAAATCCTCATTTACAAAATACATGGAGATACTGATATATTAAATACATATAAAGAACACATAGTAGCCTTATGGTAAATGGTAATTTTTCTTTAATGCTTAGGACTGTTAACTTTGCCTGACGACAATTTTGTACGATTTTAAAGTGATATTAACCTGTGGATGCAATACCTCAAGAAGGTATTAATTTATGTTGTTTTCTAGCCAGGGATGTATATAGTATAATCTGAATCTAATCATGAGGAAATATCAGACAAACTCAAATTAAGGAATTTTTTATAAAATAACTGCCTGTAGGGGCACCTGGGTGGCTCAGCTGGTTAAGTATCTGCCTTTGGCTCAGGTCATGATCCCAGGTCCTCAGATGGAGCCCCACGTCGGGCTCCCGGCTGAGTGGGGAGCCTGCTTCTCCCTCTCCCCCATGCTTATGCACGCGTGATTTCTCTAATAAATAAATAAAATCTTTAAAAAAAAAAAACTGCCTATATTCTTGAAGAATAACAACATCAGACAAAGAAGGGCTGAAGAAGGGTTCCCAATAAAAGAAGACTAAAAAGAGATGACAAATAAATAGAATAAGTGATCTTGGACTGGACTGTATTCTGAAAGAAAAATTCCATTAAAGACATTTTTGGAATAATTGACAAAACCGGAATATGAACTAGATTTTAGTATGGTATGTAGGTTAAATTTTCTCAGTTTGATGAACGTACTATTGTTACATAAGATGATATCCTTGTTTTTTGGAAATACATTGAAGTATAAAGGGATAACAGGGCACTGAAATATGCACCCTGTTCTCAAATGGTTCAGAAAAGAGGAAAAGGGCAAATAACATAACAAATATAACAAAATATTAAAAACTAGTGATTGCGGATAAAGAGTATACAGGAATTCTCTGCACTGTTCTTGCAACTTTTGGGTAAATCAGAAATTATTTTAAAATTAAAAGTTAAAAGTGCATTGGTTCTCAATTAAAACAGTGGAACTTCAAAACTGAGAGCACATCTAGAATCTGGATTAAAAATCAAACCGTAGGGCGCCTGGGTGGCTCAGTTGGTTAAGCGACTGCCTTCGGCTCAGGTCATGATCCTGGAGTCCCAGGATCGAGTCCCGCATTGGGCTCCCTGCTCGGCAGGGAGTCTGCTTCTCCCTCTGACCCTCCCCTGTCTCATGCTCTCTCTCTCTCATTCTCTCTCTCAAATAAATAAATAAAATCTTAAAAAAAAAAAAAATCAAACCGTAAAAAAAATAAATAAATAAAAAATCAAAATCAAAATCAAACCCTTTTACAAGTGAGGCACTGAGGTCAAGGTTCACAACTAGATAGCAGCAAAACTGTACTTGTACCAAGGACTTTTTAAAAAAATTGAGGTAAACTTTATATAAAATTAACCCCTTTAGAGAATACAATTCACATGAACAACCATCAGGTCTATCTAGGAAACCTACAGCCATTACGCAGTCACCTACCATAGCCTTACCTCCAGCCTCTGGCAACCACTAGCTTGCAGTCTGATTCTATGGATTTACCTTTGTGGATACTTCAAATATATGGAATCATAGAATATGTGACCTTTTTCCTGGCTTCTTTCACTTAACATAATATTACTGAAGTTTTATATAGAAATAAAAATATTTTATATATTTCAATTCTTTCTGTGGCTGAATAATATTCTATTTATGGACAAAGCACATCTGGTTATCCATTCATCAGCTGATGCACGTGTGGATTGCTTCCACCTTTGGACCACTGTGATGAATGCTGGTGTAAACACTGGTGTACAAGCATTAGTTTGAATCCCTGTTCAGTTCTTTGGGATATATACACAAGGAGTGGGACTGCTGGGTCATACGGTAACTCTGACTTTATGAGGAACCGACAAGTCGTTTTACAGAGGCTGCACTGTTCTGCTTCCCACGTTTCACCCACATCCTCACCAATTTTCCATTTTTTAGATTATGGTAAACCTAGCCAATGTGAAGTGATATCTCATTGTGATTTTGATTTGCAATTCCTTAATGACTAATGACACTGAGAATCTTTCCAAGCTCTTTTTGGCCATCTATGTACCTTCTTTGGAGAAATGTCTATTCACGCCCTTCATCCATTTTTTTACGTTGTGTTGTCTTTTTGTTGTTGAGTGGTAGAACAAAGGATATTTGATACCTTATCTAGTGCTTCTTGGGTCAGGTAAATAAATATGAGGAAATATCCAAAAACAGCATTTTTAAATTACATATAAATGTGGATTTTTCAAATTATTTTTTAACTTAACTTTGTATTATGGTAAATTTTCAACATACGTAAAAGTAGAGATCACATGAACCCGTAAGATAGCTGTTGCCAGTTCTTACCCACTTTTCTAGTTTGCTTTGGCTGGAGTGTTTTGATGTAAATCCCACACAACATAGCATTTCACCCTTAAATAATTCATTATATATTTCTAACATGTAAGGACTTCAAAAAAAATTGTACACCATCATCACATTTTTAAAAAGTAATATATATCCTTACTATCATCTAATATCCAGTTCACGCTGAATTTTTTCCCACGGTCTCAAAAATTTCTTCTTATATATACTTGGCTTCTTTAGTAAGTACCCAAATAAAGTCCATATTGCTTTTGGTTAATATGCCTTTCAGCTTAAAAAAAACAAAACAAAACAAAACTATACTAGCTTCCCACTACCCTTCACTTTCCCATTTAGGAGAAAATTCAGATTTTCTCTGAATTTTTTAAAGAAATAATCATTTTTCTAAACAATTCCTGACATTCTTGATTTGGCTAATTTTGTGCTTATAGTATTTCTAAATATGTTCATTTAGCCTCCTTATTTCATGTAAACTATAGGCTTGATTATATTCAGAATGAGTTTTTATTTTTTGAGGTTTTGTTTCTTTTTCTGCCAAGCATACTTGTTATTCCGTATATTCCGTATATTACATAAGGAGATACTTAAGGCCTAGATGTCTCACTTTTAGTAATGTTAGCGGGTTTAGTAATAATGATCAAATGTGTTCAGGCCTCATGCATCTATAGTAAATTTTCCCAGCAACCTTACATCTAATGGTTTTAATAGCTACTAATAATTCTTGTGTAGACCCACTAATTCATTTGTGGTTGTAAATGTGTGATTTTTCTACTTTTGACACTTTTTTTCTACTTTTGACACTTTTTTTCTAAATTTATTAGCTGGAATTTTGCTAAAAGAGGAAGCTACACTCAACACCCTGAGAAACTGTCCTTGAAAAGTTTGTAAAGGAAAGGCAGAAAAAACATGCTTGATTTTTATTCTACTCTTTTGCAATTTCTAGAATAATGTGTTGGCATTATTTAGCAACTGCCAAAGATAACCGATTAATTTTTCCTGTACCATCATTACAAAATCATGGATTTTCATATATTTTATGTTTCAATCCATTACAGTCATTATTCATTTTGGTGTTCGAACTGTGCCACACTTGGCCAGTGGAAGCCCTTTCAAATTTACTTCTAATTCTGACAAGATGCCAATGATCTCTGATAGCTTTTTTGCTTTCTAGCCCAAGAATTCCCAGGCTCAACTCGTATTTGCTATCCTAGAACTGGAATATGGCATTATCTAAAGACTAAACAGCCCTGCTTCTTTTTAATGGGCAATGGTATTTATTAAGAGTCATAATCTGGGTGCTATGGCTATTCACTGTTCCTAAGCCCTTTCAGTGGACAGATCTAGGGAATACGCGTTTTTAGAGACAGAAAAGTAAATGAGCCTGTACTTACATTGACAATTCAAATTTAAAACTAAAGGGTTCTTACATAAATTCTTTGATTTCATACTTTTTAAAAAAGATTTTATTTATTTGAGAGAGAACAGAGCGAGAGTGAGAGAGAGAGCACATGAGAGGGGGTGGAGGACCAGAGGGAGGAGAAGGGACCAGAGGGAGCCTGACATGGGGCTCGATCACAGGACACTGGGATCAAGACCTGAGCTGAAGGTAGACACCCAACTGACTGAGCCACCCAGGCGCCCTGATTTCATACTTGTATCTTTTCCTTTAAATGCTAAAAATCTTGGTTCCTGATGGCATTAACATAATTACTTACTTGCTTTATCCTAGTGTGTGCCTGATTATACCCTAGGATTATATATCCCACTAGGGATATAAAAATCAAAACACTGTGTTCCAAAGTCACCTGTAATAATTCATTCCTGATGAATATGCTACCAATTTAATGTAGTTTTAAATTTTTTGTTTTTAGGTATTGTGTCTTATTCTTTTTAATTAAACTTTTAAAATTTATTTTTACTAAAAATTGTTTTATAATTACATAGAACATTTACATGGGTCCCAAGTATAAAACAAGGTACATTCAACAAGGTCTAGTTCTGTCCTGTCTGCTTTCTCTTGGTGCCTCCTTCCTCTATATAAGTTTATTACTTTTAAATATCTCCTACCATTGTTTCTTTTGGAAAATATAAACAAAAGTAGACAATGGTTCTATCTCCCTTTCTTAGATAAAAAATATTATAATAAGCACACTATTCTGCACTTTGTTGTTCTTGTTTTTAAAGATTTTATGTATTTGACAGAGAGAGTGAGAGAGCACAAGCAGGGGGAGCAGCAGAGGGAGAGAGAGAAACAGGCTCCCCGCTGAGCAGGGAGTCTGATGCAGGGCTCGATCCCAGGGCCGTGGGATCATGACCTGAGCCAAAGGCAGACGCTTAACTGACTGAGCCACCCAGGTGCACCTGTTTTTTTCTTTTCTTTCTTTGTTTCTTTCTTTTCCTTCTTTTTTTAAGTAAGCTCTACACCCAACATGGGGCTTGAACTCATGACCCTGAGGCCAAGAGTCCCATGCTCCACTAACGGAGCCAGTCAGGTGCCCCTTTTGCTTTTTTTTTTTAACGTATAGAGATCACACCCTCGCAGAACATATACATCTTCCTCATTCCTTTCGACAGTTGCAGAGTACTCCACTCAAAGGATATACCTGTATTTTAAACAAGTGTCTTCTTCATAGACATTCAGGTTGCTTCCAGATGTTTGCTGTTAACAAATAGTGCTTTTGTAACTATGCATTCTGGGGGCACCTGGCTGGCTTAGTCAGAAGAGCATGGCTTAGATGCTCAGATTCACAGCCCTGGCTTAGTATTGTAACATGCCCTGGCTTAGTCAGGGCTGTGAATCTGAGCCCCATGCTGGGTGCAGAGATTACTTAAATAAAAACTTAAAAAAAAAATAACTATGCATTCTGTATTTTTTGCTGTATCTTTGGGATAGATTTGTAGAAATGGAACTGTTAGGCCAAAGAATAAGTGCATAGGTGATTTTGGTAGACGTTGTGGAATATCTCTCTTTAAAATGCGTGCCACTTACAAACAATGAATCATGGAACATTACATCTAAAACTAATGATGTAATGTATGGTAATTAACATAACAATGTGCCACTTAGTACTCCCACTGTTATTGGATGAAAAAGTACCTGTTTTCCCACAGCCCTGACAACAAAATATACTGTCAAACTTTTTAATTCTGCCAATCTGATACATGAGAAACGGTCAATATAATTTTCGTGAATATTTCTCTTGATATGAGAAACACTGAGTATATTTTATATGTTTGAGGGCCATTTACATTACTTTTTCTCGTGCATTTTCTGGTTATATCTTTTGCCAATTTTTAAATTGGGTGGTTGGTATCTTTCTCTGAGTTTTTAGACGTACCTTACATATTAGTTATATTAGTCCTTTGTGATAGAATACAAACATTTTTCTAAGTTTGTAATTTTTTTACTTTGCTGATATTTTCTGTGATGCAATTAAAAAAATATTTAGTCATATATCAGTCTTTTCTATTACTGCTTCTGCATTTGGAGTAAAAAAAAGTGTTTCCTATACTAAGTTATAGAGGAATTCACTCTTGAATTCTTTATTAGTTGTATGACGTATTTTTTAATAAGAAATATTTATGACCTACTCGGAATTTAAGTAGCTATGGTGTATAAGAAATATATCCAATTTTATCTTTTTCCACATCTATTCAGTTGTCCCAATGTCACTTATTTAAAAAGTTTCCTTCACACACACTCACACACAAAATTCTACCTGACTATAGTTCTAAATCAGAAAGGTAAAAGAATAAAGCTCTAAAAGGTAACAGAAAAGTGTACTTCATTCATAACCTAGTTATAGGTAAAGATTTTTTAAATAGAATTTGGATGGTAATAACTATGAAGGCCTCAACCCTAGTGATTATTTTTTTTGTGTGTAATTTCTGCTTTCCAAGTTTTAAAGACAATTTTTAAGTTTTTTTTATTAAAAAAAAACTTTCCTTTTCCTTTACTTACTACCTGTATAATCTTAGGCCTCTAACTCGGTTCTTTAAATTGTGAAAGCGGATCTGTGTCACTTCTTTTGAAGGCTGCTAAGATTAAATGAGAAATTTATTCTAAAATGTTACAGTACTATCACATGGATTATGATTACAAAAACTGGTTTATCTTTAATTATGTCAAGATTTGTGTGTATAACTAAGATGGGTTGAGTCTGGGGATTCTCAGCTAACTCTAGAAATTGGGATCCTCTCGCCCTGATAGTCAGTAAGAGAGACAAGATAGTGATCTATCCTACCTGGCCCTAGAAACTGGCATCCTCGAGCCCTGACAGCAGCCCACAGGTTGGCAGACAATTGCTGGGGATTCTGGTGCTGTAATATTAGTTCTGTTACAGTTCTTTCTCCAAGTGAACGGGCTGCTCGCATGGCTCTGACACGACCTTCTTCCTCCACCAATTGACAGTTTACAAGTGTCACCAGTTTCCTTTGCATTGGACGGCTCAGTGCACTCTGGTTCAAACTAGCTACACCTTTAAGAGAAAGGAAACAAAGTAAAGTTTTTTCTATTAAATAGGACAAGTTACTTTTCATTACCCATACTTAACTATGAAGCCATAATCTGTAATGAGTCCTTCCACTGTTTTAACAACAGGAGTATTCTGATTCTGCTTATTACTATTCTGTGGTAATAGGAGTCTAATTTGCAGTTACTTCAAATTTTATTTAGGTATCCTGTTCTCTGGGTTGCATGTGTCTCTCAGGAGAGTACTTCGGGTTTATTTAGTCTGTTCTTCATCCAGTTAATTAATGAAAAGTTTAGTCAAAAGTAATGATTAATAACAGCTCTAATTTTATTGTATACATGACGTTTAGAAATACAACTTAATGGCAAGCTCTTAGATCATAATCCCTTTCCCTGACTCACGGATATGCTCCAGCAATTCTTTCCTCTCTCCCATATCATTACTTCTTCCCTTTCTATTTGACTGCTTCCGTCAGCATACAATAAAAACAAGCATGCTGTTATTTCATCCATCTTAAAAATAAATAAATCTTTTTATTCATCCCTCTTTGCCTACCGGTTCTGCCCCATTTCTTTCTTCTCTTTTGTGGCAAATTCTCTAATATTGTATTGTAATTGAATATAGATTCAATATCTCCAAATTCCTTGCTTCACAATCTTTAAAACCTACTCCAATCAAGTTGTTGCTACTATTACTTCATCAAAACTGCCCATCATGACAATTACCTCTACTCTGCTAAGTCAATGGTCAATTCTCGGTCCTTCCCTTACTTCACCTTTCAACAGCCCTCAACACAGATGACCACTCCTAATTCCTTTAAATACTTTCTTTACACTACACCTTCCTGCTTTTCTTCTTTCCTTTTATTCCAGGTCTTTTCTGATTTCATCTTTTCTTCCTAACTTCTTAATGTTAAAAGGCCTCAGGACCCAGTTTTTCTTCTCTATCTACATTTATCATGTACATGATCTTAGCCAACTTTATTAATTGCTGTAAATACTACCCATATGTTAATGACTCCCAAAGGTACAGTTTCTATACCTCATTCCTTAACATATATCCATTGGTTACACAACAGCATCCAAATGAAGATTTGACACCTCAAACATAATATGACTAAAACTGAACTCCTGATCTTTTCATTTAAACTTGATCTACCTTCAGTATTCCTTGTCTAGGTTGATGGCAATCTCTTTTTCCAGGTGCTCAGACCCCAAAACCCAGAAGTCATCTTTGATTCTGCTCTTTCTCTCATACCCTACACGCAATAATTTAGAAAATCCTCTTGACTCTACCTTCAAAATATATGCATGCCATTCACTTCTTACTACCTCCACTGCTACTGTTGGCCCATTAGCCTATAAGCCAAAACCCTGCTCCTACCCTTGCCCTTCTACACCGCATTCTCAAGAGAGCAACTAGAGAGATCCTTTAAACATTAGTCATATTGTGTCACTCCTCTGCTTAAAACCCTAGAGTGACTCCCCAATTTCACTTGCAGTAAAAGCTCAAGCTTTTAAAATGGCTTGCAAGTCTGCATATTATCTGGTCTTACCACTTCCTTCCATCTATGTCCTTCTGCTCTCCCCCTAACTCACACTGCTCCAGACACACTCCTATTATTGTTCTTTGAAGATACTAGGCATGCCTTGGGGATTTTGCTATTGCCTCTCTGGAACTTTTTTTTTTTTTTTTTTTAAGATTTATTTATTTGAGAGAGAAAGACTACGAGGGAGAGAGAATCCCAAGCGGACTCCTTGCTGAGCACAGAGCCTGACACAGGGCTCAATCTCAGGACCCTGAGATCATGAACTGAACCGAAACCAAGAGTCGGACACTTAACTGACTGTGCTACCCAGGTGCTCGATCCTTATTGCTTCTCTGGCACACTCTTTTCCCAGGAACCTACATGGCTAACTATCTCACCTCTTTCATCTCAAGTTTAGAAGCTACCTTCTTAATGAGTCCTACACTAACCACCTTCTGTAAAATTGCAACCTGCCCTTGTCCCCTCACCCTGACATCTCTGATCCCTCTAAATGTATTATCAATTGTAACATACTATATAATTTTTTATTATGCTTATCGTTTACTATACTTTCTCCCTTTTCTAAAACTTAAGTGCTATAAGGGCAAGCATTTTACTCATGTATGCCAAATACCAAAATAGTGCCCAGCACTTAGTACATGCTTGTTAGATATCTGTTCAGTAAATGAATGACTGAATGAATGAGGTAGATAAACTAAGTTTCTCAAGGAAATCACTATGTCCTCAATATTTGCAACAGTGCAAAGCACAGAGCAGATATAAAATAAATACTTGATAGATTCATCTGATGCGTGGGTCACTGGGTATGTGATGATGAACAAAATAGAAATCCGTTTCTGTCACAACACTTGAAATAATTTATTGCACTTATATGCCTATCTCCCCCAATAGACTGTGGGCTCTGTGAAGGCAGGGACCCTAACCACGACTAAGTGCTCAATAAAATTGAATGATTAAATGAATACATGAAATTGTCTTAGTAGGACTTATTAAAATTAATATTCTGCTATTATTTTAATGAATACAAACTGTAGATATCTCAATATGTAGTGTCTGATGAATTCTTAAAATAGTAACAATATTGGTTATTTTCAGTTTCCAAGAATTGTCCAAACTTTTAAAACTTAAAATTAGGGGCGCCTGGGTGGCTCAGTCGGTTAAGCGTCTGCCTTCGGCTCAGGTCATGATCCCATGGCCCTGGGACTGAGACCCACATTGAGCTCTCTGCTCAGCAGGGAGCCTGCTTCTCCCTCTCCCTCTGCCTGCTGCTCTGCTTACTTGTGCTCTCTCTCTCAGTCAAATAAATAAATATCTTTAAAAAATTAAAACAATAAATCTCAAAATTTAATAGGGTATATTAGCAAATCCTGCTCACCAGTAAAAAGACTTTTTATGAACTTACCTTTACCTCCACTTAGTGGTTTCAAGTAGAGTGCCAAATCCTCAACACACTTCTTTGCAACCTCATAGTGTTTGTTCTCACCTAAATTACTTAACTTTATTGACTGATGATCTGGTACCTAAAAACAAAGAAAAATCGAGGAAATACATTCATCCAGCTCATGGAACTGTTATTTATATGTTTGATAATAATCTTGGTGAGTATAAAAATTATAATACAGAGACAATACATCAAAGTAGTTTAAGTAAAATTAAAGCCAAACACCTAGCCAAACTGCTTTCCAAGAACCAAGGTTACTATACTTAATAGCAGGGGCTCGGTGTATTAATAAATGGAAAAAGCAGCAAGTAGTTAATAATACTGTATCAATGTTAATTTCTTAAGCTTGATAACTATGCTATAATTTTGACAGATATTAACATTAGGGGAAGTTGCAGAAAGTTATACAGGTTCTCTGTACATTATTTTTTGCAACTTTAAAAAAAGGTATTTCAAGATAACTAGGAAAAAAAGTACTTAGCACCTTCTCACTATGTAATTTACTTATTATATTTATTGATAATGGTCTGTCCCCTTTTTGTAGAATAGAAACACCACAAGACACAGTACTTTTTTTTTTTTAAGTAGGCTCCATGCCCAGCATGGAGCTCAGTGTGGAACCTGAACTCATGACCCTGAGATCAAGACCTGAGCTGAGGTCAAAAGTCAGACACTCAACTGACTGAGCCACCCAGCAGCTCCAAGACCTTAATGAAAGGTCAAAACCTGGGCATAAACTGCAGCTCTGCCACTTCCATGAGTGATCTTGAGTAAATCACTTAACTGCTCCAACTCATGGTTTTCCTATTTGAAAAATGGAGATGAAAATCCTTATTTCATACTGCCACTATGAAAATTCCATTTAATCCAACAAATATTTGTATTTATTAAGTATATTAGGGCGCTCAGTTAAGTGTCTGCCTTCGGCTCAGGTCGTGATCCCAGGGTCCTGGGATTGAGCCCCGTGTCTGGCTCTCTGCCCAAGTGGGGAGCCTGCTTCTCCCTCTCTCTCTCTGCCCTTCCCCCCGACTCGTGTGCTCACTCTCTCGCTCTGCTCTCTCTCAAGTAAATAAATAAAATCTTTAAAAAAATACTTGTATTTATGGAGTACTTAACATGTTCCAAACACAGTTTTGGGCATTAGGCAACTATCAGTGAGCAAAACAGATAAAATTTCTTGCCCCTGAAGAGCTTACATTCTCGTGGAGAGGATGGAGCCAATAAATCAAAAAACATAATAAATAAATACGTAGTATGATAGAAAGTGATCAGTAAAAATTACACAGCAAGGATAAGGGGGATTGGGAGTGCTGGAGAGGGGCTGCAATTTTAACAGGTGTGGTCAGGATAGGCTTCCTTGGGAATCATGACATTTGAATAAAGACTTGAAAGAGGAGAGGTAATAAACATTCTAGGCAAAGATAACAGTCGCTACCAAATCCCTCAGGTGGGAACATGTTTGGCATATTTAACAATTGGCTAGGAAGCAATATAGCTTAAGCAGAAAGAATGACGTCAGTAGTAGCAGGTGGGGCTTTAAAGGTAACAGAAATCATACTGTATAAGCCTGTAGGCTATTAAGCCCAATTGAGAGGACATTTATAAATGACAAAACATAATACCTGACCTATATAGCAGATGCTAAATAAATGGCAGGTAGCTAGTATAGTATTTATGGATCTAAGATGCCACTGTTTGCAAAAGGCACTGTTATTTTACATGCCATTAAGAAAAACTGCTGCCGGGCGCCTGGGTGGTTCAGTTGGTTAGGCAACTGCCTTCGGCTCAGGTCATGATCCCGGAGTCCTGGGATCGAGTCCCACGTTGGGCTCCCGGCTCCGCGGGGAGCCTGCTTCTCCCGCTGACCCTATCCCCTCTCATGCTGTTTTTCTCTCTCTCACTCTCTCAAATAAATAAATAAAATCTTGAAAAAAAAAAAGAAAAACTGCTGCCAATTATGACATACTATTGATTATAGATGCATCTTGATTTCACAGTGTCTAACTGGATTATGAACATTGAAAATAAATATGTTTTAAAAGAAAAACTTCAAATATCAAGACACTAAAAGAATGGGATATTTTTAATTCACTGAATTTTCTAAGAAGTGGTTAAACAGGGGCGCTTGGGTGGCTCAGTCGGTTGAGCGGCTGCCTTCGGCTCAGGTCATAATCCCAGGGTCCTGGGATCGAGCCCCACGTCAGGCTCCCTGCTCCGTGGAGAGCCTGCTTCTTCCTCTCCCTCTCCCTGCTGTTCTGCCTACTTGTGCTCTCTCTCTCTCTGTCAAATAAATAAAATCCTTAAAAAAAAAAAAAAAAATCTAAAAAAAAAAAAAAGAAGTGGTTAAACAGAAAAGTCCTTTCTTGCTTTAATATATAGTGCATGATGTACAGAATTTCATCTTCTTCCTCACCTGTAAAATGCAAATAACTATCTCAAGAGCTATGGAAAGAATTAGTAATAATAATTGTTGAATACTTACTATCATACCTAACAAAGTAAGACTTTATTAAATGGAAATTATTATAAGTCTAGGGTCTTGGTCTGATTTCAGTAAAATGATTATAAACAAGAAATATTAATTTTATAACACATAAGCATAAGAAACTGTGAAGAATTTGGTACTGATACTCTGGAAATTGGTTCATCCCTAAATAGACCTTACTTTCTCACTTGTAATATTATCCTGAAAGTCAAGTGAAGTTAAAAAAAGACTCCAAAACCTCCATTTGAGGGTTCCAGTTGATTAGTATCTAGCCAAAGCTTTGAATAGATTTCTTTTCATATCACCTAATGAATATGCTTATTTAAAAATGTTCCTTATCCACCAAATTATAAACATAAATTTTGACCACTGCACTGAACACAAAGAAACACATAACTATAATGGAATTTATGGTTTTGCATAAGGATTTATGACATTATCTAAAGAACATTTTTGCAGAATACAATGACATCAGATATACTGAATATTTTTGAGGTCTCAAGTATCACTAGACACACTTTGTACCCCTTAATGAACAAAGGTCTATAATTATTACATACACCAAATTAGTAAAACCTTGAAAGCTTACCTGGGCTCCAACTAACTGGAGAAGTGCAAAGTTGACAGGAAGCACATCAATGTCTGTGTTGATGGCAGTCTGGTCAAAAGGACAAGCTTTTCGGTGAAGTTTATTCAAGCAGGTCTTGCAAACAGTGTGTGAACAACCTAAACTGATGGGTTTGTGCACATTCTCATCAAATTCATTATAGCAGATTGGACAGGACAGAAATTCTGTCCATTGAGCTGCCTGCACAGGCATTGTGGAAGCTGGATGCTCGGGTTAGCAGTCTAGCAGATCATTATTTTGCTGTGTAGTGTTTTGTAAGCTGGAAATGGACAAAAGTAAGAATTAACCCACATAATATTCATCATTCACCTTTTAAGAGTTAACTGCTTAAGTCAACCATCACAGCTTCAAAACCTAAAATACTCTGAATAATTTTATATGCTTTGGATGTCTTTTTCTTTAATCTATTTGCTGAATTTGTTAAATTTCTGAAATTTTGTCCAGAAACAATATCTGTATAGTGTCCTTTTCAACTAAACATATTTATATTGGTTGCTCAAAGAATAGTCGACTATCAAAGCTTTTATGTATTTTTCTTAATGACCACATCAAATAAGTAGATTAACTTTCCACGTTTCATTCTTAGGAACACAAATTACTTTGGATTGCTTGGGTTTTTTGGATAGCTACTACCGCCAAATATATTAAGAAATGGTCTAAGAGTTATTGGACTTTGAAATCTATTGATCCAAAGAATGTTATAGTGAGTCAAGTGTGAAGAAACAGCCACCTGAAATGACCAAGTCAGATAAGGATATGTTCAACTTGGCAGCTTCACGAAAGAGGAAATCTCTGGTCAAGATTTGACTAAGAGGCTAACAAAGGTACTGAAAATCAAAGTACATGAGATGATGATGACAGAGCAGTTTGTCCAAAAATTAAAAAAAAAAAAAAAAAGATGCTAACCTTAAAATACAGAAATACAGTGCCAAAGTTAAAAAAAAAAAATTGTCTTACAAATCTAGAATGTGGTCCCCTACAATACTTTCGACAAAACATATCTTTTAGTGAGAGAGGTATACAGATACACAACCCCAAACTGTCAGGTCCAATGAGCAAGATATGGAAGAATAAAGCAATATTCTCACCTAATAATTCTAAACAGAAAAAAAAAGCAAAATATAAATTTTTATCTTTACATATGATTAAAAGGCACATGGAAAAAAATGATAGAATTCTTTTTCCTAAGATTAAAATATTTATTCCATGATTTGTAATAAAATATTTGGCATCAAAACTATACTGCACTCTAGGGGCCCCTGGGTGGCTCAGTCGTTAAGCGTCTGCCTTCGGCTCAGGTCATGATCCCAGGGTCCTGGGATCGAGCCCCGCATCGGGCTCCCTGCTCCGCGGGAAGCCTGCTTCTCCCTCTCCCATTCCCCTGCTTGTATTCCCTCTCTCGCTGTGTCTCTCTCTGTCAAATAAATAAATAAAATCTTTAAAAAAAAAAAAACAACTATACTGCACTCTAAAATCTTTAGATACCTAACTTGAACACTCTACATTTCACAAATTTTTCATATTTTCCAATTCAAAACTTACATAAGTCTGACAAAGGTTCTCTGGTGAACAGATATCTAGGTATTTAGGGCAATTAAATAGCCACTACTTTACTTCATAAGAATGTTTACCAATCCAAATATCTTAGTTCCACAGAAATTAGATGTTTAAAACTATAGTCAGATTCAAGACAGAAAAGTATATAACTGATTCTCCAATATCCCCACATCCAAATGAAGAATTCTGTTAGCTTTTATTTTGCTTTTATGTTCACAAAAACTAAGGTTTCAAAAAATATCTTGGTAAATGAATCACAGGGCTTGTTATATAAAAAGCACCCTGTACAAATTTCTCCTCAAACAGTTCTAATGTAAAGTATCTAATATCTTTATTTTTAAACTAGCCAAATCTTGCAAGTTATACTTATTTTATACTTTTTACCCTTGCATTGCCACATCTATTAATGCCATCAATCTTAAACCCAGTTAGTCTGCTTCCAACTTTAGAGATGAGCACTGAACAGGTGAACACATCACTTCTTGAAGCTATTTAACATTTGAAATGTTCAGCTTTCTAGGCTGTAGGATTATACAAGAAAAAGGCTTCTGAGGGAGAAGGCATTTTATCTTAAATCTACTGAGAGCCCTAATTTAGTTAATAACCTGAACCAATAAAATATTTATCAAAACAAGACACTGCATCTATTTTTTCATAATGGCCACCTGTTTGGAAATGCTAATTTTGTGGGTTAGGGTATCACACTGTGTAATAGGAAACTAGTAGGAAACACTTTTTCCTTATTTCGTTTTCCAAGATCACCCTGAAATGCTTTACATTAGTAAATGAGTCGGGGGTGGGAGAAGCCGTTTAAGTTTGAACTAAACATAAAAATGCTATCTTTCATATTTTCTTTCACGTGTTAGTTTTCAAGCATTTCAAACTACTCCAGAATATACTTGATAGTTTTACGTTATAATATCTCCCATGTGTTTCTAGGTCTACAAACACCAGATGCTGTAATATAATTAATACTGAGAACTTTAATTTCTAATAGAAACTGAATACCTTAAAAAAAAAAAAAAAGAAAATTCTGCCAAAATTGGTCAGTAATTCTGCCAAATTCTCCTGCTATGTGTCAGAGTCTAACTTTCTGACAGGAAAAGTATGTACTAAATTCTCCTTATATAATAAGTCATAGGAAAAGTTTTTTTTTTAAATGTTTTTTTCAGTACCATTATCAATAAATTCTAGATTCCTCAATTAAGATAAAGACAAAATAAAATTTTATCTAAAACACAGAAGCAGCTTATATAGTCCACCGAAATTTTTAATTCGGGATGGCAAAAGTGACTTTCATTTCTTCCTTTTTTTTGACTTTCATTTCTTTAAAAAAGGCACTTCGTAAACATTTACCTAGGAAGTATTTTTATAACCAAAAATGATAAATAGCCTATTGTCTTTATTAATTCCATAGTAACTTACTTGACTCTCTGGAATTCTAAATTGCTAATAGCACTTAGAGTTAACAGTCAAGTATCAAACCTGAAGATAGTCCCAAAACATCTCAAAGTGAGATAAAATGGATTAAAAAGCAAAACTCAAAACAAACAAAAAGCCCACAACTCTAAATACATAAAGAGACTATTTAAGAAAAACATTCTAGGGCGCCTGGGTGGCTCAGTCGTTAAGCGTCTGCCTTCGGCTCAGGTCATGATCCCAGTGTCTTGGGATCGAGCCCCACATTGGGCTCCCTGGTCTGCGGGAAGCCTGCTTCTCCCTCTCCCACTCCCCCTGCTTGTGTTCCTGCTCTCACTATCTCTCTGTCAAATAAATAAATAAAATCTTTAAAAAGAAAAGAAAAGAAAAGAAAAACATTCTAATTAAATTACTTGTAATAACGAAGTAACTTTCAGTTACTAGTTAGTAAAATTGAAGAAGAATAACAAGATAAAGCAGAGAAGAAACACTACATTATAGGTGCGACCTTAAAGATTTTCCTCAAGTAATTTTCCAGGCTGTAAGTTCCTTGTTATGAATACTAACTTGTAAAATAGAAAGAGTAATTAATAGACATCTCTGATATGATGCAAATTATGCATTGCTTTATTAAGAGCAAACTGCATACCAGCTAAGTACTCTCATTTTTTGTTATTAGTCCACCATGACATTATGCAGCCAGTTCTGGACTATGCCACCTGATTTTAAAGTGCCAGAATAAAGTTTATGCTTCTTTCACTATTGTATAATAAAAAATATCTAGTATTTTACAATTCTCTTCATAAAAATCTAGACATTAGGGCTCAAGTCTGTTAATTAAGACATTCATTGCTTTCATTTTAGTTCACCCATGTGAGGAATTTAAGCTCCTGAAATGAAAAGTACTGAAAAGTACTTCTTAGTTCAGAAACCTTACAAATAATCAGTTTTGGACTTCAAAAGTTATTATTTAAAGCATCAGGTACAATTGAGACCTTAGCCTATAAAACAGCAAACAAAACCAATGGAAATAATCTACAAACTCTAAAACTCGGCACTCAAACATACTGAAGGGACTGGAGGAAAAGGAATTGAAGTACAGTTTTAAAGACTGCTATTATAAGTGACTTTAGTATAAGTTAGGAAAGATACAGGACTCAAGTTTTTTCTTAAATCCACCCTGAGCCTGAACTCAGTTTTTTAATCAGTATAAGATTTAATTTCCCATGTCTTCTAGTGTAACACTAATGGGATAATTTTCTATTTTAATTAGCATATCCAATAAAGTTTTGCTTTGGTGATGACAAGATATGAACAATATTTATTTTTGAGACAGAACTTACTCACTTCTGCCTATCAAATAATGGCCACTGGATAACTTTATTCTTCATATTATCAAAGTCCTTAGCTTTTTGATTATTCTGATTGCAAGATGATACTGTCAGGAAATTTTTGGTTTTCATGTGCCTACTTTTATTCAGGTAATTTATTTCTCAGAAGAGCAGTGCTGTTTTAAACAGTGCTGTCTAATAAAAACACAATGTGAGCCACAAGTAATTTAAAGTTTTCTAGTATTCATATTAAAAAAGGGAAAACAGATGATATTAATTTTAATAATAGAATTTAACCCAATTTATCCAAAATATCATTTCAACATGTAATCAATATAAAAAATTATTAAAGTAGCTTAAATTATTTTTTTTTTGCACTAAGTCTCTGAAATCTGGTGTGTATTTTATTTTACATTGATACCACATCTCAATTCACACTAGCCACATTTCAAGTGCTCAATTGCCACATGTGGCTATTGGCTTGTATTGGGACAGTGCAACTCCAGAGTACTTAAAATTATAAAGTAATAATCAAAACTAACTTTTATTAAGAATTTGAGGTGAAAGTCACAACCACACTTAAGAAGTTTTCATAAAACTAGAAAACCTGAGAAATATAAAGATGTAACTTACAACAGTTAGGAGACTGGATGCAAAACATTACTTTTGATTTTCAGCTCGCTTTATTTTACCACATGCTTCCTTTTTCAATAACTAGAAAGTGAAACTTCAATGCAGTCCAACCAAAACAATAAGTGCTTATTATAATAAGGCCTTGTTCTAAGTTTACTTAGCATTCTTAGATACTGCATATAGCTTCGAAGTTTGATTTCTGAACACAAAATTTTGTGTTAAAAGAATACTTCCCCCCCAAAAGAGTTCTTTCTTTTTTTTTAAACAGTTCTGTTTCCTTTTTTTTTAAAGATTTATTTATTTATTTGAGAGAGAGGATGAGAGGAGAGAGAGAGCACATGAGAGGGGGGAGGGGCAGAGGGAGAAGCAGGCTCCCCGCCGAGCAGGGAGCCCGATGCGGGACTTGATCCCGGGACTCCAGGATCATGACCTGAGCCGAAGGCAGTCGCTTAATCAACTGAGCCACCCAGGCGCCCCCCCAAAAGAATTCTTGTTAGCTCTTTCAGACTGGAAGATATAGCAAATTACAAAAGCAAAAAGTGAATTAATGAAAACATATGAACAAATAATGAAAACATATGAACAAAGGACATTAAGTCTTATATGTCAGGTCAACACAACAGTAATAACAGATCAGGAGTAACTCAAAAGATCCACTAATGAACAGAACTGCAATTAAATCTTCAAAGAATAGGAGGCAATTTGAATTTTAACATCTGCTTTTTCTAAACATGTTTGGAATATACGCTTAACATTTTGTCCTTCTAGCAATTTTCCAAACTCTAAAATTTGGAAAACATGCATCTCCAAATTAACAATAATAGCAACATTAAAAATTTTGACAGGATTTAATGGCCTCTATTCCTTCAAAAACTAATGTGGAATGAACACAGGAAAAGGATGTTGTAACAGTGGTGTTGCTTTTTAGATAGTAAAAGAAGGTAATAATGGCAAAATACATGAACTTTTCTTAATGTTTGAAAAGCCTTAACTAAATTTGTGTATTTAACTAGAAAAAGGCTGCACAGGGTAACTAAAACATTTGTTTCTTTGCTTTTGGGTGAAATTCTATCAGTGTAGTGTAGCAACGTTTGCATTCTCGGGTTAATCAAAAGTTCCTATTGGAAGTTAATAGACTAATACAAAAATGGAAAAAAGATTACTTAAGCACTTTGTAATAAAAAGTTATTCTAGTCACAGCGGTTTGGGGGGAGAGTAGGAATTAAAAAGGGGCCCAGGTAAGGAGAGAGTAGGAATTAAAAGAAGGGAACCTAGGTGGTTATTTAAAAATAAAACAGGCTGGGAATCACGAGATTAGATCTACTTCATGTCAGTGATTACTTGAGACTATTTTGGTGTCAAGGTTCTACCTTGCCGGTATCTTAAACTCCTCTGTGATTAGAAGGATGGAAATGACAGCTACTCTCATGTTCTCCCTTCCTGAAAGCTAAGGGCAGAGAAAAGTAGAGCTGCTTCTGAGAAACAAAGATGCTTTCTACCATTCTTCTAAGATGGTGGAAGAGTCTCCTTAAGAGGCTTCCCGAAGAAGGAAAAATGAAAGAGGGAAAGAAGAAAGCCACAGCAGAATTCCCTGGCCGTGTTTCATGCCATTGCTCCGTCACATCCACTGTGCAACCACTCTGGTCCGGCCATTTCGTTCCCAGGAGGTTAAGCCCTCCCAGGGCATTGTTTGGCCGCGGTCCCTATTTACCACTCAGATCGCCTCCACCATCCCTGCTCTGGGATCTCGGGAAGCCCCAGGACAGAAAGCCGAAAAGCTAGGAGAGGGCTTGGTTTCGAGGACCTCCTCCAAAACCCCTCTTGCCAACTGGTGTAGAAAAGGGAGAGAGAACCCTGGCCTCTGCTTGGGTAGGTTCCTCAGGGGTCAGAGGCTTCCCCTCCGCCGGTGTCGAAGGGAGGTGGCCATTTGCGCCGGGCGCTCGGTATTGAAAAAGCCCTACCAGAGAGAGGGGCCTCCGTAGGCCCCGGACTCCGGGCCCCGTCCGAGCGTCAGGTGCGGCCCTCAGTTCCCAACCCTCAGGGCACCGGCGACGACAGCACACAGGCCCCGGGCTAAGACCGGTCTCCCGCCCGACCGCCGAGGACTTAGGGACCCGAGCTAGGGCCCGAGCCGCATCGTGCCCGCCCCCGCCCTACCTGTGGGGGCCCGGGCGGGGTCGCTAAGGGCCGCTCCCGGGAGCCCCGCGACGGCGCGGCTCGGCGACGGAGGCGCCTCGTCTCGCCGGGGCAGAGCTCGGCGGCGGTTTCACGACCTCAAACTCCATCGGGAGCTATAGGGACAGCCCCGTTGGCGGCGGCGGAGGCCGCGACGGGGCCTCCTCCTCCTCCCTCCGCCTCCGCCTCCTCCTCCTCTCCACGGAGGCGGTCCTGGAGGGATCCCGACCTAGCTCTCGCGAGAAGATACTCCCCCTTTCACGCGAGATCACGCAGGATTGGGAGTAAAGGAGGTGGAAGGAAAGAGTAGCAGCCCCCGCCACCTGGACTGCGCATCAGCTTCCCTCTGGTCGAGTCTAACCACCCCTGTCACGTGACTGGGGAGCCCCGGAGCACTGTGGGAGGTGCTGTTAGGAAGCTTAGGCAAGCCGAAAGGGTTGATGGGAAACTCCCCGCACCTTCATCAGCGTCTTGAGCCAGCCTCCTAAACACTGATGTGAGGCAGTGTCTGACTCTCCTTGAGAAAAAAGTGGTCTCCATTGAGCATAATGTGATACATCTGTATTATATTCTATGCACTGTCCTGTAATTAATACTGACCCGTTTCCTCAATCCCTCCACATATTTGCCAAGCAAACTCCCTATTTAAAAAAAATAAAAAGAAAAGCATTTGCTTGGCAGGCACTAACACAAATCTCTTTATTAAAAAGAAAGCTCCTCAGAAGCTGGCAGGGATCAAAATTCAATTAATATCTCAATACAATATTTGTTGAATGAGGGGCACCTGGGTGGCTCAGTCGTTACGCGTCTGCCTTCCGCTCAGGTCATGATCCCAGGGTCCTGGGATAGAGCCCCACATCGGGCTCCCTGCTCAGCGGGAAGCCTTCTTCTCTCTCTCCCACACCCCCTGCTTGTGTTCCCTCTCTCACTGTGTCTCTTTCTGTCAAATAAATAAAGTCTTTAAAAAAAATTTTGTTGAATGATTTTTCACAGCAAACTGGAAAGCAGAAATTATCATGTTTTTATATATGAAGAAACAGCCTGGTAAGAAATAAGGGAATAAGCATTTACGAAGTGCTTACCATGTGCCAAGTCCTGTGTAAGGTAATAAAAATTTCATTTCTACTATTGATTTTAGTTTTATTTCATTCATCAAAATAATCCTAAAAGGCAGATACTACGTACTCTGTTACTTAGAAACTGAAAAACACAGATTAAGAAAATGGCCATGAGTTGTAATTAAACTCAAGGCACTTTCCAATGTGAAACCAGATGTCCAACAAAGGCATGTATGAAAATAAATCCACTATGAATTAAAAAACATATGAACAAGTAGTTTATAAACTGTAAAGACCTATATATATATACACACAAATATATATGTATCTGTTTTATTCTACTGCACAGTGTATATGACAGTCTGCTAAGATTTTTCAAAGGTGGCCTGACCATCACAGTTAAAATTACAATCCCAATTTCCATTTCCTGGCACTCCCTATCCCCGTTTTATTTTCTCCAACTTTGTTTTCAAAATTTCATATACACTGATTTTACTTGTTTACTGTTTTTCTCCTTCCACTAGAATACAAGTTTCATGAGAGCAGGGATTTTGGTCTGCGTATCTAACTTCTAATACTACGTAAAGACTCAGTAAATATTTCTTGAATGAATGGTCAGAAGAAATAGTTTCCTTCTTTAAAATTCAGAGATGTAGACAAAACACAAAGTTCTCCATTCCCATCTCCAGTTTATTTATTTATTTTTTATGTAAAGATATAGAATAGTTACATCCAAGGAAAAACAGCACGGGTTTTCTCTTATACCAAAGTAACAACTACCTTTCCAAGATCCTTTATACATAAATGCAGTAAATGAAGAGGCTGAACTCAAACATGTTGCATTTTTCCCCATCATATCAGAAACACAAACAACTAAAAGTGAATATTTTAAATGAATAAATTCAACACTTTACTTTGCCATACCTGCATTTTTAAAAAGATTCCATTTTCCCGGAACTTTTTATATACATCATGCAAACAGAAACTGTCCTAGGAATGTTCTGAGATCACTCTGTGCTACTGGACAGGAATAAATAAAAATAAATAACAACCATCACTTGCACAAAACAACCGTTCCCCCCCAAGCAAATATCTCAAAGTGCTTACAAAAAATGTCACAAGAATCTTACAAGGCACACATAAAACTTAAACATAGTTCAACCATAATTTTTTTCAAACATCAAGGACAGTAGATACCAATGCCTAAAAAAAGTTTATTACTATTCTTTTACCCTTCCCTCCCATCTCCATCCCTTCCCCACAAAATTTCATCCTAGGAAACAAAAATAAGAAAAGTACTTCAGGGGCGCCTGGGTGGCTCAGTCTGTAAGCGACTGCCTTCAGCTCAGGTCATGATCCCAGGGTCCTGGGATCAAGCCCCGCATTGGGCTCCCCGCTCGGCGGGAAGCATGCCTCTCCCTCTCCCACTCCACCTGCTTGTGTTCCTGCTCTCGCTATCTCTCTCTCTGTCAAATAAATAACTAAAATCTTTAAAAAAAAGAAAAGAAAAGTACTTCAAGCACAAACTATTTCTGAAAGGGAAATGTTTTCATACCTAGAAGTGGCCAATCATAGGTCAAATGGGAAAGAAAATTAAATGCTGAACTATCATGTTCTCCAGTGGAAGAAAAACACTATTTACTTTAGAAAAATTCTGTCTCCAAAGTAGTACTCAAATAGCAACATTCATAAAGACACAAAACTCTCCTCTCTTGCTTTCCCCTCTTCTCTGTTCTTAGAAACTTAGGGAGATTTAAGTATAAAATCATAGAACTTTGGACCTGGAAATGATCTTACAAATTACCAAGTTCAAAGTTACTGTTTCACACATAAATTTAAGAAAAATTGATAGAGAGGTGACCTGTCCAATGTCACTAACAAGTGACATGGGGAGGGAGGGGGTTACGAAGTTGGTTTTCTTATCAAAGATGAGAGGTGGATTCCTTAAAGTGTCTCCCAGAGTTAAAATTCTATGGAGAATATGTTTTTCACAAAAGTATCACAAAAAGGATATTTAACATTTATAACTATCAACGTGTGATCAATCACAAAATTCTTATAAATGGTACAAAGTACATTACATTTTAAAATGTCGAAGGGCTTCAGAACCTAAGTATAACAGAAATTCTACATAAAGCTGAGGTGAGTAAGAGGAGGAATAGAACAACTTGAAAGTAAGATGCATCTAGTCAGCCTTCTTTAAGAGTAGTTCCTGCATTTTAGAGAGTATGATTTGCCCTGCAATAGATTTTAATCTTTGTTTTGACAACAAAAGTTTTGTGTTATTTGTACACAGGGATAGAGAGCAATGGCTCATAACACAATCAGAAATATTACTCTCACTAAAATAACCATATAGTCATGGTTTTGCTTTTGGCACATTTCTGGAAATACAGAATAAAACTCTAGGGATGGTTAGGGTTTTTGTCAACATGTGGTAAATGAAAATTGCATTAATGTAAATGAAAAAAGTTAATAATTAAGAGAACACTAATAGCCAACCATATTTAAACTGTTCATCTAGTGGCAGCAAGATAGTATATATTGCCAATTCAAAGTAAAAAAGGAAATGAACTATGGATACACACAACATGGATGAATCCAATGGCATTCTGTGTGGTAAAAAAAATCATCTCACAAGGGAACATACTACAAGATTCCACTCATGTCATTCCAAAAAAGGCAAAATTATAGCAATAGCAACTGTCGCCAGGATTTAAAGATAGGTGGAGGAGCTGATTATAAAGGAGCATCATAAGGGTGTTTTTAGGGATGATGCAATGTTCTGTATCCTGACTGCTGTGGCGGTTGAACAAATCTACATGTGTTAAAATTCATGGAAATGTAGACCAAAAACAAAGGTCAGTTTTAGTATATGTTAACTAAAAAATAAAAATGAAATAAATTTTAAAAAGGAAACAGTAGAGTATCTTTGGTAAAGTTGATATTTCTAAAAGAAAATTTTCAGAGCTTCATGCCAGTGGTGATAATTTCACTGGTCAAAAAATTATTAAATACAACTTCATGAAATAAAATCAAGAAACTTGGGCTTGATTAATCATTTCTAAAATATGTATACTAAAAAATCATGGAACCATTATTTTAAGGAATATTAGCCCATGTAGAAGGAAATTCTACTACTCCCAAGTGAAGTTGAAATGTGTTCCCTTACAGTTTAAAACAAGTACCTTGGTGCTTAGCTTTAGAATCCAACCGCAGTTTGTTTAAAAAAAAAAACAAATTCACTAGTCCTACAAAGAATTAATAATGGATTACAGCATGTTTTTAAGTCTATTTTCTCTTCCTGTTATCCTAATTCATTAAAATTATTATGTGGTTGGGATTTTACACGTACATTATTTATCTAGAGAGTCAAAATCAGAATCTAGAAATACTGCTGGATCCTCTGTCACTAGAGTCAAGAATATTTAAGAGAGGAATATTATTTCTCTAGATATACCACTGGGACTTACATATACTATATGAGATAAGACAGCATCCCATTAGCTTTATCATGTCTCCCACACTTTAGAACTGTTAGTAGAAGTTCAGAAAGAATAACATGTGTAGGCAGACCAAAATTAAGACCCAAAGATTGGGGGGGGGGGGATGCAATATAACAGATGCTGCATTTCTGTAGAAAAACTTGCCTAACAGAATTATATAAGGCTTACGTAGCAAGGTGTGGTTCTAATTATAGTAGATTTTGCCTTTTGAGATCATGCCTGGGTAGTTTTTCACTACTGCTTCTGCCATGGACAGAGGTTAAGTGCTTTTTGAGGGCAGATTTGTGCTTGAAATCCATGTCACAACAGTGGCATTTGTATGGGCGATCTCCACTGTGTATGTTCAAGTGGTCCTGAAGTGTGCTTTTAGCAGTAAATGTCTTCAAGCACACAGTACACTGAAAGGGCCGTATGCCCATGTGCCCTCGAATATGCCGGTTGAGATTTTTCTTTTGCGTAAATGTTTTCCCGCACTGTAAGCACAAGAACAGCTTATGCATCTTAAGATGGCGCAGGTAGTTTTCAACATGAAGAAATCCTCGAGGACACCTGGGGCACTGGTGCCTCAGTGAATAAGCATCCTCCAGATTCTGAATCTCATTCACTGTACCCTGGTTTCCTTCAGTATTCTCACAAAATAAGCTCTGATCTTGGTTCCCAGGAACTTCTGCCACTCTGCTCTCAACCGTAGAATTGATCAGTGAATGCTGTGTTTCAGAGAAATACATGCTTGCTTTTGAAGAGGTACAAGGCTGTGAAAACTGCCCATTTTCTACACCAGCAGTACTAATAGATTCCACATGGAGGATACAAATTTCATTATCTTTAAAACCAATATCTACTGAAGACAGCTCTGGTGACTTCATTTCCTTTCTCTCTGATGTCAACTCTACTGTAGACTGTAAAACATTGCTTTCCTCTTCTTTTACGTGAAAATCTATATTTATAGGACTATCTTCTGAAATTTCAATTATCTCACAGTCTTTATCTGAATTTTCTTCTTCATTCTTAACATCTGGATCAGAGGATTGACACAGGTCAGTATGTTGATTGTTATTTTTCATTGAAAGATCAATTTCCAGATACTTTGACAAAGCTTCTGTGCACTTTTCCACAATGTGAACCATCTGCAGGTAACTAGCAGCAGTCAAGTATTTCAAAAGCTCTTTCCTTTTAACTTCAAGTGCTCCAGTATAGCAAGAGAGCAACAGTTTTCTGCCAACTTCTGCACTCTGCAAGATGGTGATTCTGACATGTTTTGACTGTGTGAGTAAAAACTGATCTCTCATGAAAGTAGAGCAAGCAGCTAAAATCACCTTGTGCCCCTGGAACTCGGTGTCATTAATATAAATTGACACATCACAAAATAAATTCTGCTGTCTCAAGAGATTCATTTTCTGCAAGATTACATCTCCTTGCTGTTCAAACTGGAAGTGCAGAACATCGGATTCAGCAGCCATGGTCACAATCTATGCAAAATAAAACACAAACGTTGATGTAAAAGGGAATGCTTTCCTACATTGTGATGGTAAAAAACAAACAAAAAATCCCAAAGCTGAATTGGGTAAAAGAAAATTCTAATTCTAATCTAGGTGCAAAGAGTGAACTCCTATGCCACCATCTCAAAACTGAGAAAATGAAAATGCATTTCTTTTTGACTTCATGTCCTGTTCTTCATATTTTTCTTATAGTACTTATTACACTGAGTTGTACTTAATGGTTTCTGTTTTTCTCCTTGGCTAAATTTTATCTGTTCTGTGGTCCAAGACACTGCTAATACCCACTACTAAGGGGACTTAACATAGTTTCTCACATTAGAAACTTTAATGTAATCTCCAAGTTTCCTATTCTCCATCACTACTACAGATCCTCATTCTGTTCCCTTGGACTATTGCAAGGTCTTCCAACAGGTTTCCTTGATACCACACCCTCCCATATTCCAACCTACCCTCCTAAGTGCCACCAGAATTAACATCTTTTAAAACTTTTTAAAAAAATTTCTCTCTTCTACTTTATTTTTTAAAATCTTTTTATTTATTTGAGAGGGAGACAGCGAGCTAGAGCACTAGCGAGAGTGAACACGAGTGGGAAGAGGGGGCGGAGGAAGAGGGAGAAGCGGACCTCCTGCTGAGCGGGAAGCCCAATGTGGGACTTGATCCCAGGACCCTGGGATCATGACCTGAGCTGAAGGCAGACGCTTAAGCAACTGAGCCACCCAGGTGCCCCCCTCTTCTACTTTAAATCCTCCATTGCTCTCCTCTACCTCCAGGACAGCTTACGCTTCTTAGCAAATGCAAGATCCCTCATTATTTGGTCCTAACCATCTTTAAGGCTTTATCTTTGTATCCTCTATTCTTTTTTTCATCAAAGCTCCTTCGACATTGAGATTTTCACCATTGCCCAGGCAAGAAGACCGGAATACACTTTTGTACATGTTACATTAAAACTTCAGTTCCTCTTTCCAGCTAGCGATTTGGCTCCTTTCAGACCCAAATCAATTAAGACTGCTGTGACTCCTCCTCCTGTCTCCCCAACAGAGAGTCAGTTGCTCCCAGAGCACCACGAAAAGGTGCCTGGTTCCTCTGAGTCTCTGCAGCGAGCACAGGGGCAGGCACAAGAGCAGGCACAGCGGAGGGAACATCGGTTGAACTGATCGGGACCCAAGGTGGCCTGGAAGATCCTGCAACTCAACCACACACGGGTCTTCCCGAGTAAGCCTCCCATAGGCCCTGTCGGCCAGGTGGTTGCGGCACCAGGGTAGCCTCCCAGTCCGCGCCTGGCTGCCCTCTACCTCCTCCTCCTCCTCCTCTTCCGGCTTCCCCACCTGCCCGTCTCCAACGCGCTCACTCACCGACTCAGAGAGCCAGAGCCCAGCTTTCCGCAGCAGCGGCGGCCCAGGCCGGAAGGTGGACTTAGCCTGGGAGGAAACACATCCGGTGTCAACTAGCTTTACTCCTCACTGGGGTGCGCTTGGCGTCCCGGAAGGACATCCTGAGACATTCTCCCTTCCTCACAACCCCCGCTCCTGGAATGGCAGAGAGGCACCCGTATTCCGGCAAATCCCATCTCTCCTGCCCCAGTTTCGGCACGCAAGCCGTCCCCTTCGTGAGTTCTCCCCAGCGTCCGTATCGCAGACGGGTTGAGAGGCTGAGGTACAGCGCGTCCATCGGAATACCCTGCAACGGGACCACTGGGAGGCCCTCATGGGTTGTTACGGGCCGGGTTCTCTCCTCACTGGGCCATCTACAATTTAAAAGGTGGCAGAGGAAAGGAGACCGCCATAAGGATCGGCATTCGAGATTTCCTAGCTAATGACCATCAGGATCTGGCCCCTACCTCTGGATCTCATTTCACCCATCTGTCGCGACATCGTCCCCCGGCCCCCTTCTCCCCCCCCCCCCCCCCGCCAGTTCTAGGCAAACCCAGGCCTATCTGAACTCTTGGGGCTGCCTCTTCCCACGTGCCCTAACTCTCCTCCCACTTATCCTTCAAAATCTCGTTCATAAATCACGTCATCCCTGAAGCCATCCTGAATTGCCCTTGAATTAGTTGGCCCCCAGTTGGGAGCCTGTAAGCCCTTTGGCTGCCTTTATTATTGCAATTATCATACCTGTATTGGAATCTGTGACCCATCTGGGCGGAGGTATTTAGGACAGTGATTTACGGTCTTTGCATTACCGAAGTCTAGCACTGAGTAGGCATCAAGTATTTGCTAAATGAAGGAATGTCTGAACCAGTTCTTAAAAGCAGTAGCTCTACCCCCTCAGTAATTGACCCTACTAACAATTTCTAGTTAACCTGATTTGCTTCAGAAGCCATGCTTAGAATGCCTGATGAATATGTGTTTAAACAAGAGGAGTGAAGAAAGCTTTCCTTATTCAAATTTAGGCAATCGAAAAGGAAAGCAGGAGGGAGAGAGAAAAGAAACCACTGACACCAGAGATTTAATTGTCACACTTTTATTAAGGAAACTTCCCCATAATAAGTGAAGAGGTAGTTCATAGTATGTCTAACATACAACAGACTTAGAACAGCTATTCACCAGCTGAAATAAAATATTCTGGTTTGTTTGTTTAGGACAATATTTTAGAAGTGATGACATTGGTCACCCTCCATTTATAGATCTTCTAATAAACTAAAACAAAACCACATCTGATTTACCTCAGAGCCACTTCAGTTTGGAGTTTGTCTTTAAAATTAAATAATAAATAAATAACGGTGACGTGGTAATTTTTTAAAAACCAAACTATGGTAAAGAGAGTCCTTTTTAGTTATCCTGGGGATCCATAAAATACAAATGTAGAATGACTAAGATTTTTAAAAAATTTACTCCTCTATAAGAATATGACTAGTTTTGAAAGTCATCTTCCCTTATAAAATGTAGTTGATATCAGTTAACTTGAGCACTTTGCAATACAATCTAAGAAACATGTATAAACAAAGAAGAAAAGTCAGGTCCCACCAAATTAAGAAAATGTCTCACAGAAACAGAACACCTCTCCAGCCAAGAAATGGAGGAGACTGTAAATCACTTCAGTGGTTTGCAGTTGCAAAAGGTGGGAACTGGAAGTTTTACTGATAAAAAACCATCAAGATGCTGATTTTATGTGATTAAGTGATCAAAGGAAGCAAGGCATTTTCTTTATTATTCCTAGTTTAAATCACCTTATCTAAGACTACAATAGACCGTATAAGCTCTGTGAGGGCAGGGACTTCAGCAATCTTACCTTCATATCTTCAGTATCTAGCATAGTGCCTGGCAACAAAGGTGCCCAATAATTGAGTAGCTTCTCAACTACTGAATGAACCCAGAAAGTCTCCAACCAAAGAGACCAACCTTATTTGAACCCACGCCTTTTAGTCTTCAAACCAGTAACAAAAACAGGACATGAATGTAAGCAAAGGAAGCACTTCAACTTGAAACTTCCCTATGATGAAATGATGTTCAGAGAAGTATTGGTTAACATATTACTGTCTCACTGTTGCATAGAATTGGTACTCTTTGGCTGGATAATATAAAAATCAGAATGCTAGGTAGCATCATTAGACCATAAAAATGAGTGACTTTAGGCATAAGATACCTATTAATCTTATCACTCAATTTTATTCTCATTGTAAGTGTTTTAACAAAAGGTAGAAATTAGAACTCAAATCAGATTCACATGTCAATGCATCAAATTATAACAACTTTAAGAATTCCCTGTGATTACTCAAGTTAAACTTCAGTTTTGGTTTATCTGTACATGCATTCTCATAGCTCAAAAAAACCCCAGAAAATCCTGATGGAAACTAAATAAACACTGCTTTCAGACAAAAATCAGTTTCACATTTGGATCCTTCTCACACTATTCTTACTCATCCTTTCCCTCCCTGACCACCACCTAGCAAGTCAGTCACTTGCTTGAGAAGAATGTAATATTCATTCTAACCAAAAAATAATTGACAAAAACACATCCTTCCTGTGATGTTTTGTTTGCCAAATCCGGGCTGTCTCAAAAAGCCAACAGGGATTCCCAAAAGTGAAGCACAAACTGGGAGCTTTTTGTTAATATACTTTTGATCATGTACTAAATCTTTTTAAGCCAAGAGATAGTGAGAAATTAGAAGACATTAGCTCATTCTTAGTCACTTCTCTACTTTGGCCAAGGCCACCTCTTCGAGCTTTGGATACCCCAACTTAAAAAAAAAAGAGGTGGAGTAGATGATCTCTTAAGATTCTCTAAGGACTCTAAGACTCCTATTACCTAAATCTAACTCATGAGTCAAAAGCTACTGAGACTCAAAATTTTATTTCTTAACTCTAACATGTGCTTTAGAAAAAACAATTGTGTTTTTCCATCTTGGAAGATCAATTTTGTATTAGTGATCTATGAAACATGGCAAGATGGGACTGTGTACCTTTACAGGAATATCTGAATGCAAAAGCCTGATTGCTCCTCTGTGATCCACTTTTTTTCATCCATTTTAGAAACTGGAGTACAGGAAGAAATGAGAATGCAGAGATTACATTACACCAGACAAAACTCTGAAGGCCAAACTCACCTTTCTGATGGCTAGCCTCTAACACAAAGTCCAGAGACGGACTCCCAGATAGCCCCTTTTTAGAGAGACCATTATACTTTAGCACATTTTAAGTGTGCCTGGAGCAATCCTGACTTAAAAACATCCACAAGAAGTTACACATTAATTATAAGCATTTGGCTTCTTTTTGGGAAGAACTCCTATGTAAGTGCTATTGTACAATTGTACTTCTATCCTTTGTTAATTATGTTCCTCATGCTGATCCATGTTGCTGAAAAGATTGTACTGTGGTCTATGTGAACTACTCAGTGACATGAAGTTGGGCCATAATAACTGTTGAAAAGTACAGAACAACCCAAAATACTTCATACCAGCTCCACGACAAGTACAAATGGTAGGAGGCAGATTCATTATCAGTAGGCAATTAACAATAGGCAACCAGAAGTTCTAGCACATATTCAGGCCAAAAGCAGTATCACCTTATATCTCAGCCTATTTTTTGCCAAAGAAAAATACTATTCACTTCTCTTAGCATAGCATCTATTAGTGGACTGTAGGTGATGTTATTAACTTATTAGTACCTTCAGAATGTGCCCAGTGAAAAGCCTAAAATAGTTTCAGTCTAAGACAAAAGTCAATGTTAGGTAGACAAATGGAATACTCCTTGAAAAAGGAAAACAGACATCACAGGATAAATAATTCAAAACACAAAATGGGAGAGGGCAAAAGGAAGGCAAGACCACTCCAAGTGGTAAGTTGCCTGGTCTGTTAGTGCTTTGACTCACCCCTATAACCCACACAGAGGCTTTGGAGAAGTCAAACTAGCAAAATCACTCCTAAAAAGACTCGAGACTATTGCCATGTTTTCAGTCCATTCTAAGTTGAAAGCATAAAGCCCCTACTCAATTCACACAAGTACTATCATTTCTTAAGTTCAAGACAGCTTGGGCCAGTTTACCTGCATCCAGGACCTGTGTTGCATCAGGCTGTGGCTGACACCCTTTAGAGTCTGTGACTGTTGTACATGCAAAAGAATCAAAATCCACTGTGAGGTCTTGCACATTTCTTTCATTGGCATTATCAAAGCTGTTTTTGCCATGCAGCTGTTTAAGATGTTTCCTCAAAACTGGCTTATGTGCAAAAACCATGTCACAATAGTTACACTTATGGGGCTTATCTCCACTGTGAAGGTTAAGATGATCCTGTAAGGAACACTTCTGAGAAAAGGTTTTCCCACAGATCTTACACTGGAAAGGTTTAATGCCGGCATGCACACGCATGTGTCGATGAAGGTTGCCTTTCTGAGTAAAAGTCTTGCCGCAGAGTAGACACATAAAGAGTTTGTGCATTTTTAAATGGTTGGCGTAGTTCTCCAGGTGACGAAACACCCTGGTACACTTTGGGCACTGGTGATGCCACTGTAAGCCTTTGTCTACACCTCGAATATTAGGCCCAAAGACATCTTTTGAGGCCATGATGATATTATCACTGCCTGCGTAAGAGAGGGCATAATTGTGGAGATGGTTTTGTTCTATTTCACTTACTCTGTTTTCCACAGTTGAATTTATCAGGGAATGCTGGGGCTCTGATGAATGTAAAGCAGTGGGTTCAGAAGAAATAAACTGGTTCTGATCTTTTTTACTTCTAACCTCGGATACATCCCCAATAGATTCTACCTTAACAATCTGAATATCACTGTCCTCCATATCCATACTGTCTTCAGATGGATGAATACAAGGTGAATCCTGCTTTGGGGAGCCTCTGGCATCTCCCTGCTGTTCTTTTGACTGGGGAGAAGCACTCTGCGGTTCACATCCCTCTTTACTATCCATTGGTTGTTTTGGCTTTATAAACTTCCACAAGGCCTGTGTGCACCGTTCTACAATGTGGCTCATCTGAAGAAAACTTGCAGCAGTCAAGTAATTGACCAGTTCCATCTCAGGGAATTCCAGCACACCACTATAACAGGATAAGAGCAATTGTCTCCCCACTTCGGAACTCTGCAATATGGAGATTTTCACCTCTCTGGAATCATTCAGTAAAAACTGGTCTCTTAGGAAGGGGGAACCTGCAGCAAACACAATTTTATGCCCCTGTACCTCAATATCATCTATGAGAACTGTAACATCACAAAATTTATTCTCTTCTCTTAATTTGTTCATTTTTTGTAACATTGAATCTCCATAATTTTCAAACTTGAAGTGAAGGAGATCTGATCTTTCAGACATTTTGGCAGACCTAAAGAACAGAAATGTAAAAAGGATGAATTTAAGAAAATTCAAACAATTAAGATACCTGGATTTTTCCTTCCAAAAACAATTTGTGTTGTCATATCTCTTTGTATGTATCCAAATGAGATTTTCCTTGAAAGAGGAAGCTAGTGTAACAGCTTTCAAAGGCTGTGAAAAATTATTCCACATCAAGTGTCAATTGCACCTAAGGAGTAGACTTGTATCAGTGGAAATAGTTTGGCATCCATTCAACTTTTTAAGATACTTAATACAAGAACAGAGCTTGAGCTACTTTAAGAGCATTTTTTCGCTTCTCAAATGAGAATTCGATCAGGTTTCAAAAACAAACTAAAAACATCCCAACAAGTAATAAAGTAACTATTTTCTTTAACATGATACTGTGAACCTGCTTCTTCAAAGACAAAATGTTTTCCTTTGCTTTCTATTTTAAAGAACTGCAGTGACCTTGCTTGCCCCATTTCCTGGGTAAATCCTCTTCTATTTAAACTGATGTGCATTTATTCATACAAGCATTTCTGCAATAAACTGAAAGTAATTGACTTAAAGGGACAATGTTCAGACAGTGTCAAAGGCACAGGTCTTTATCCTGTGCATTTTGGACAAATCTAAACTCTCAAGCAAGATTTCTTGATATAGAAAGTAAATAAAATATTTTATATAGAAAAAACATGAGGCACTTGGTGGGAATCTGAGTAGGAATAAAGTCAATCAAATTAACAGCTTATAGATTCTGTTCTTTCTTTTTATTCCTGTTTATCCATCATTACTCATCAACTGGACTACTAGAACAGGATCATAAATGTTTCTTGGGTTCCAGCTTCTGTTCCTTCTAATCCAACTTCTATACCAAATGTCAACTTTCAAAAAAACTTGATCTGATTATATCCAACCCCTGCCTAAAATCCTTCTGTGACTTCCCATTGTCTCCTAGGTGAAGACTAACCTTTGAGGATAAACTAATGAAATAAACCAAATAATAATTAAGGTAAACATTGGCATAACCCATTCAACCATGGAGAAGGTGTATGCCAAACTCTTTCCCTATCTGTCCCTTTATATAGCAGTTCCTTTGGAGAAAGTTCCTATGTTCTGATTCTATACTCTCTAAATGATTTTCTGATAATTTGTCTTCCCATGTTTCTCTCTAAAGGGAAGGATGAATTACCTATGTGAACATGATAATTCCAGTCCACCAGTCATTGTAAAAATAATAAACTGGCACAATGTTTATATACCAGCCTTCTGGAAGATCAGTAGGTGTATCAACTCTATCCTTGAAAAACAGCTCTACAATCTCAGTGCATCAATAAATTCACCTTGAACTTTGTGCATTTATCAACTCCATAGCTGAGAATCACAAGAGACAATCAGCTGTAATTGGCCACATATAGATCCTGAAGCCCAATCTTTATAATCTTCTATCTTTTGTAACAGTAACTGACCAAGGCTCATAGAACACCAACTCCTTAAGCAGAGTCCAGGTCTTACTCATACTGCTCAGTGCCTGGTGCATGACAGCACTCTATTGACTCCAGGCCTTAGTACAGTTAATTAATTCTCTTTCTTTTTTTTTTCTTCTTTCCTTCCTTTCTTCTAAGTAATCTCTACACCGAATGTGGGGCTGAAACTCATGACCCCAAGACCAAGAGTGCGATGCTCTATCAACTGAGCTAGCCAGGTGCTCCATCGCTCCTTTATTTCTTGAGATGCCCCTATCTAACTTCTTAGACTAGAACAGTTGTCTCTACTGGACCCATAGTATAGCACTTCTACCATAACACTCAAAATATTTTAAGTACTTGTTCCTTCCCCTCCAAACTGCAAGCTTCATGGCATTTGAGGGAAACATCTCCATCTCACTCAATGAGGCTAATGCTGGGAACCTGCATCTTCTAGGACAAAACACTTTTTCCTTTTGCTTCAAATTCTACTTCCTACAGCCATATTACTGGCCAGACCCTCTTCTGTTCAAACTGGTCTGTCTTCCCATCACCTAATATTGTACTAAACATACGGCAGGTGCTCAGTTTGTGTTTGTTGAACCTATAGAATTTGTTTGACAGTGGAAGGAAGGAAGACCTGCTGTTAGGAAGATCAGCTCAGAGTCTGTAAAAGCATTATGGGTCTGAGGCCATGAGAGCCTAGAAAGGAATGAAAATGGGAATAAGGAGCAAGAAAAAATAGTAAAAGATATTTTAAGAACTTGGTGATTGACTAGATACAGAGAATGAAAAAAAAAAAAAAAGGAATGTGTAAAGGTTCCAAACTTAAGAGTTCAGCTGAATGAAAATGTCACTGGAAGAAAGGTGAAATGTAGGAGGGAGAAATGGCATGCTTTATTAACCAAAATAGACATACAGAAATTATAAGCTTTTCCTTTGTATGGCATTCTGAATGTATAGGTAATGAATAATCACAATAAAGATGAGAAAGGAAGGATATAGAGAAGCAAATGCAGCATCAGAGAAAAGATGGTGAATATCAAATAAAAAGGAAAAATCTAGGAGATACAAGAAACATATCAATAAAGAAAGCAGCAAAATTGTATTATCACTGGTTAGTTTCGGCAATTACAGTGGCCTCATACATTCATTCTGGAAACAGTGAATGCCCCAATTTATAACCAGAAGTTATAAAAATGATTGTTGTTTCAAGTGGCCAAACAAAAGGGGCATTCTTTTTTAGAGTTTAGCTTGTCCTCAGTCTACCCTCAGGTTAGTATTTTCCTACACACACAAAAATGATCATTGATTCCTTTCATCTATAGGATGATAATACTCAGAGTGCTTTAGACAAACTATCCTTAGGGATAATTGTTCCCTGAAGCTCTAAAGATGAGGAGCTGGAGTACTTCCTATCAATCAGTCTCAAGAAACTTAACAGTGGGAACAGCCCAACAGGTAGGTACCCCAGGAAAGTGCTTGCTTTGATTTCTCTGCTATAGTCCAAGAATGTGAGGAAAATTTGTTCTGTTTAGGAGGTTTTGCCTAATATATGTCAGTGTACTCTATTGGCTGTCTTTGATAAACTCTTATTTCTGGACCACATAGTTTATCCCTTTAATCGATTCCTGCCACCAGTTTCTCTTTTCAATACAATATTAGTTATTTGAGGGCAAGGACCAAGTGTTACTTTATACACAGCTCATTCAACAAAAACCAGCAGAATAATTAACTCTTTAATGTCCCCTATGAAATTATTATTGTTCTATGATAGAGAGGCCCTCGTTTGAGTGTCCTGGGGAAAATTCCTTTCTAGCGTTTGTTACCAAAATAGTTTTGACAATGTAAAACCAAATTTTAAACAATTTTTTTTTTACTTGTAAAAATGTCAAAATTAAAAAGAATAATTGTGTTTCTTATAAACTGGCTTAATGATAAGAAAAAGGATAGCTAATCTTTATTGAATCCTTGCTATGTCCCAGGTATAGTGCTAAGTGCTTTACCTAAATTGACCCACCTAATCCTCAAAATCCTTAGGAGGTAGGCATTATTAGCATCCCCATTTTGCATATGAAGAAACTCAATCTTGGAGGATATAAGTAACTTGTTCAACTTATGAGAGGTGGAAAGTATTAAGTATTAGAGGTGCAACTTGGGCCCAAGCTACATGATGCCAAAGTCCATGTATGAAACAATAAGACTAGGTGAGGTTTTACCTGATGAATAATGTTAACTGTGTAACTGTTCAGACTTCCCTCCTCATATCCATTCAGCTGTACATTTAATGTTTTTCATACTTTTGTGTATTCAGTTATGCTTCAATAAAAGGTTGTTTAAAAACAAAGAGTACGATGTAAAGCCAAATTTGTGTCCAGTCTAGAGGACTTTAACAGTAAGCCTTTTATGTACTAGTCATATTCTTTTTCTTTTTTTTAAAGATTTTATTTATTTATTTGACAGAGAAAGACACAGTGAGAGAGGGAACACAAGCAGGGGGGGTGGGAGAGGGAGAAGCAGGCTCCCCGCCGAGCAGGAAGCCCGATGTAGGGCTCGATCCCAAGACCCTGGGATCATGACCTGAGCCACCCACGCACCCCTATTAGCAAGCTTTGAATGACCTATTTCTCAAACATCAATGTAATAGGAATATTCTCACTTAAGATCACTTTCTCTTTGTTATATTTATACAGTTCTTTCATAATTATCTCTGTAACAAATGTGCCAACTGATCTGAAAACTTCCCCTTGTTCAAACAGGAGTAACCAAAAAGGATCAGTGAATATTCTAAGTTGGACAGTGTTTACTGCTATGCTACAGGCAGTGAGAAAATACCCAAGTTTCTTATTTCAAATACCTCTAATTACTTATAAGGAAAATTTTTCTATTCTACATAATAAACTCCCAAGCTATATGTCAGTCTATTTTGTCATCTACCTCATAAAAGTACCCTTATCTTTCAACTTAGCACGCATAACTACCTGGAAATCTTTCTTTGTTTCTCATTAACACCATACTCCATTTTTCAAAAAGGTTGCATTACACCACAACCTTTCTCTTTACAAACCTCAATCTTTTTCTTCATTTGGGTAACTTTCATGACACAACATTCTCCAAGTTATCAATCTTTTGTTTTGTTTTTACTTCTAACTATAAGTAATATATACAGAAATATATCCTTCCTGGAAAGTTTTTCAACATCACAGATACTGTAAAAGTCTCCTTTCCCAAACATCTTCCACTTACTACTGAGTTTAACTTTGGTCCTTTTTGACTCTCCTTCCTTCCATTTGAAAAACAATACTTCTATATGCCTAGCCCCAGAAGATATAAGACTATGTTTCTTACACATAAACTATACATATGGTTTGGCAACTTTCTTTTTTCACATATTGTTTTTGACAGCTATATATGTTGAATAGAGATCTAGTTCATTCTTTTTAAACTGTTGTACAGAAATGGCCAAGTTGCTTAACTACTGGCCTCAGCTTTCCACCATTCTTTTGCTTGTTTGCTCTTCAAGGTCCAATAAACTGTGTAAAGCTAAGTATATCCTTCTCAAAACTTAGTCCTTGATTTTTTGCTGTTTTTTCAAAGCTTACTTCCTCTCAGAAAGCCCATCTGGTTTCTCCATGTTTTACTTACATGCTCTATTTAAAAAAAAAAAAAAAATCCCTAAATCTCCATCCTCATGGCCAACCTTGGCCAAACTTAACTTTCCCTCAAGTTACTCAACAATACCTGCCCTAGGCCACTATTCTATTGCTTGAAATGTGTGATGTCTAAACTCCTGCACTGTCTAAAACTCAGTAAGTCAAAAATAAAAATTAATGGCGAATGGCTCTAAGAACAGTGGACATGAAGGCAAGGATACCTGTAGTATGCTATTACTCTAGCAGATCAAGATCGAAATAATGAGGGCCTGAATACTGACAACAATCATATGGACAGAGAGAGGAAACCAGATTTGAGAGATATTTCAAAGAACTGATGGACTTGGTGACCAAGGGGGGTTCAAGAAAGGATAGTTTGAGATGACTCCAAGACCTTTGATTTGAATGACTGGATTAATTTGACACAGTGTCACTCAATAAGCTAGGGAATATTGGAGGGATGATCATGGGTCTGGTTTTAAAATGTTTAGTCAGAGAATCTTACATGACATGAAGCGGAAGATTTATTAGCTAGTTGGATATGAGTCTGAAGCTGAAGAGGAGACCTGATTATAGATAGTAAGTGATAGATGAAAGCATGGCATAAATTGACCTGATTGTGAAAGAAATTGACCTAAAGTGGCATTGATTGGAAGAGGATATAAGACAGAGAGAAATAAAAAACAAATACGTAATATAAACATACATCCATTACTTACCTTCTCAATTAGGTTCTCCTTCCAAGCCTCTCCATTTTTTATCAATGAACCTATCTTTGCTTAAATTTTTCCCACTCCTTTCACTCCTATATTCAGTCACTGCTTAGTGCAGTGGATAAAACTATGGATTCTGGAGCCATATCTCCTAGGATGAAAACCCTGCTCAACCACTTACTAGCTGTGTGACCCTGGGCAAGTTACTCAACCCCTTCTGTGCTTCATTTTTCCCATCTGTCAAATAGTAGTATTAATTCATAGCATCGTTATGGGAAATTAAAAATTAAATTAACGTTTAAAAGAGCTTAGAACAGTGTCTGGAATGTGCTTGATAAGCATATTAGGTGAATAAACAAAGCCCGTCAATTTTCTTCGTGAAACACTTCACATGTGGCCTTTTCTCATTCTCATTTAACATCAAACCAGTTAAGGTCTCCCATTATTTCATAAATCGTGACCTCATCACTCTACTAAAATTGCTTTTGAAAAGGTCTCTCATGATCTCTTTTTTAAAAAGTAATCTCTATGCCCAACATGGGGCTTGAACTCATGACCCCAAGATCAAGAGTTGCATGCTCTACTGACTGAGCCAGCCAGGTGCCCCACTAATTATCTCTTACTACGGAAATGCAATCTTTTTTCCCCCCTCTCATTCCCCAAATGCTCTGCATGAATTGTCCCAATGGACCCTCCTCAAAATTCCCTTCTCTTGATTCTGGGTCTTCTTGGTTGCTGGAACCCTGTACTTTTATATGTATCCCCTACCTCTGTCTTTGCTATCCCACAAATTCATTCCCCTTTCTGCTTCATAAATGCAACCACTCCCCCAAAATATTCCCATCTTTCTCAATACTTCCTTCCTGATGCCAAATATTACTACAGCTTCTACTTCTATGCCAGTGACTCGAACTTTTACCTCTAGCCACAGCACTGAGGTTAAGCTGCAGATTTGCATTTCCAACTCTATACTGGACAGTCCTTATGTGGCTGTTCCATTATACCTTTAATTAAACATGTCCAAAAATATAAATTTGTAATATACAAGGTTATGGTTTTATTGCTGATAATAGCATCAACGTTCTCCAAATGCCAAAGGCCTAAAACCTAGGAATCAGCTTTGCTATCTCTTTCTCCCTCAACATCCAATTTATTACAGTTTTCACACCATTCACTCCAGCATACCTCCCTTCTTTCCAGTAACACTGTCATAACTCCTTAAGCCTTCATTAACTTTCACTAGGCTGATTCCATTACTCCTTCAAAAGAATTTCCAGTAAGAGTACCCAGACATTAATTGAAGTGTCCATAATCAGCTTATAGACATTTCTTTTCTATAGGCTGACTTCTAGAACAACATGGCTTTCTACAGTGCAAATCTGACTGTATAAGTCTCCTGCTTAAAACTCTTCTAAAACTACCCATCTCTTTTAGGATTAAACCTTCCACTATCTGGACCTCAGCCTACTTTCCCAGCCTCGTATCTCATTCTACGCACAAGAGCCCCCAATTTCCCCCTCTTCACACACAAGTTACGCTCAGTCATTCCTTCAGAGCCTTGCAAACTCCTCCTTCTGCCTGAAAAGCTCCTCTCCACTTTATCCTCTCCAAGAAGTATAATTCAGACCTCACTTTCTTCAGCCTTCCTAGCAACTGCCCGTTGGGTAGTTCACACATATATGACTGATACATAAATCGCAGGAGCAATTATGTTTATATCTGGCTCCCAAACTTGACCCTGGAAAACTGGAAGGGTATCTTAAGAAGCCCCAGTACCTGGCATAGCGCCAGTAATAGAAAAGGTGCTGCGGCCAGAGGCCGATTTGGGGGAAACCCTGGCAAAAGGGTAACCTCGGTCAGCACGCATAGTGAGCCTAGCGGGCCGGCACTGAGGCCTTGCCAGGGCCTCAGCTCTGGCACTTCCTACAAGATGCCAGAGTCAGGCGTCCAAGCCAACTGCTGGGCCCTCGGCTGGGGTCCCAGGAGGAGGTCCCTGGGGCATAGTTAGGCTCCCGACTCCAGACGCAAGGAAGGGAGAGGGGCGGGGCACAGCGTGGGCCGGACCAAGGGTTCCTTAAGTCCCAGCGGGCCTAGGCCAGCTCCTCGCCCCCATCCCAGAGCAGGTCCCGGCCAATCCAGGGCCCCAAGGGGGCTCCCTCTTGAGAGACCCCGTACCCCTGCCCGGCGCTCCGGCCGCCTCCGCACTTACAGACCCGGGGGAAGGCCACCGTCAGGATCCGGCACCGCCAGGAGCTCCGGCCCCTCGGGGCTCCGGGAAGGGGGAGGGGCAGGGAACCCGAGCCAAAGGGGGACCCAACGGAACCGGAAGGGCAGCCCTTGCCGGACAAAACAACTTCCAGGTCCCTTGGTCCTCTCCACCAATCGGAAGAGTCGGAGGGTGACGGGGCCCGGCGAGGGACTTTGCGCGCGGAGGAAAGGGTGCAGAGTATCCGAGAAGCCTCCTGCGAGCTCCTCGCCGACGACTCGAAGGTGTGGCGGTTCCTTCGCGTCCCGGGCTCTGCTCTGCGCGCTTCGCCCGTTTGCAGCGGCTCCTCTGGAGCTGGGCCTCCGCCGCCTGCTGCCCGCGTGGGCTTGAAGGGTGCCTCCGCACTAAGCCTTGGTAAGACCCTCCCGCCCAGGGATGTGGACTCGCGGAGCCGGGGCCCTGAAAGCAGAAGGGGGTTTACTCCCCTCGCTTTTGGATGTTGGTGTTTCCCAGAGATCTCTTTCATTCCCGTGGCTTCCGTCACCTACAGCGTGCTGACCATTCAGAAATCACTCTCGCCAGCCGAGACTGGTCTCTTGAGCTCCAGGGCCAGCTGCACAGAAGACATCTCCAATTGGTTGACCCAATCTTAATGTACCTTTTAATTATCTCAAGTTCAAATGCAGACCTGCTTCTTATGGCCCTTAGACCACAGGTTGGTTGGTAAACGGCATCATCCACGCAGTCCTGCCGACCAGAAAACTTGATCGTCATTCTAGAGTCCTTTTCCTTCTCATTGCCAATTCAGTTGCTCGCTGGGCTCCTTTTTTCTTGGGGGAAAGGTATTATTGTGGTCAAACACAGTATTTATAATTTTAATCATTTGTAAGTGTAAAGTTCGGTGGCATTAAGTACGGTCACAGTGTTGTGTAATAGTCACCACAGCTGTATCCAACTTCATATTCTTTTTATGTGGATATCGTTTTTCCAGCACCGGTTCTTGAAAAAACTGTTCTTTACCCTTTGAATGGTCTTGACACCTTCGACTATATATGTGACGGTTTATTTCTGGGCTCTCTGTTCTATCACATTTGAGGAAGTGTGAGTCCTCCAACTTTATGCTTTTTCAAGGTTGTTTTGGCCCTTTGAAACTCCATATAAATATGAGGATGACCTTTTACATTTCTGAGGAAAAAAGGATTGTAATTTTGATATTGTGTTGAATCTGGAGACCACTTTGGGTGGCATTGCTATTTTAACAAATCTAAGTCTTCCTACCTGTGAATACAGAATGTCTTTCCATGTACTTAGGTGTTCATTAATTTCAGCAATGTTTTCAAGCTTTCAGGGTATTCTTTCTGATAATATTGTAAATGGAATTGCTTTCTTCATTTCCTTTTCATATTGTTCATTGCTGGTGTGTAGAAACTGATTTTTGTGTGTTGGTGTTATACCCAGCAATATCGCTGAATTTTTGTTTTGTTTTGTTTTGTTTTTGCTTTAGTAGCTTTCTTGTGGGTTCTTTGAGGTTTTCTCTCCATATAATCATGTTGTCTGTGAATAGAGATAGTTTTACCTCTTCCTCTCCACAATTTGCCTTTTATTTCTCTTTCTTGTCCAATAGTTCTGGCTAGAATTTCAGGTACAGTGTTTAATAGCAGCAGTGAAAGGAGACATCTTTGACTTGTTCCTGATCTTAGAGGGGTAGCTGAATTATTGAGTATGGTGTTCAGTGTGGGTTTTTAACAAATACATTTATCATGTAGAGAAATTTTCCCTCTATAACTAGTTTTCTGAGAGATTTTATTATGAAAAGCATTATGGTCTGTCACATGTCTTTTCTGCATCCATTGAGATGATCGTGTTTTTTTCTCTTTGTTTTATTAATGTGATATATTACATGGATTGATTTTATGTTGAACCATGCTGCATTCCTGCGATAAATCCCACTCGGACATGGCGAATAATCCTTTTAATATGTTGTTGGATTTGATTGTCTTAAATGTTGTTGAGGATTTTAGCATCTATATTCATAGGAGATATCAGTATGTAACTTACTTATGATGACTTTACCTGGCTTTGGTATCAGGATAATGAAGGTCTCATAGAATGAGTTAGGAAATATTTCCTCTTTAATTTTTTTGGAAGAATTTGAGGAGGACTGGTGTTACTCATTAAATGTTTGGTACATTTCTCTGGTGGTCATCTGGGACAGGACTATTCTTTGTTGGGAGTTTTTTGATTACTCACTTAATCTCTTTACTTGTTATATGTGTGTTGAGATTTTCTATTTCTTCTGAATCAGTTTAATTTATATGTTTCAAGGAATTTGTTTCTTTTCTAAGTTAATTTGTTGGCATACAGTTGTTCATAGCATTCTTTTATAATCCTTTTATTTCTGGAATGTCAGAAGTAATACCCACTTTCATTTCTGATTTTAGTTATTTGCATGTTGATTTTGTTGTTCTTTTCAAAGAAACAATTTTTGGTTTCATTGATTTTTCTCTTTTTCTGTTTTCTAGTTTATCTCCACTCTCATCTGTTTTCTTTCTTTCCCTCTGCTAGTTTTGGGTTTATTTTCTAGTTTTTCTTGTTTTGTAAGGTATAAAGTTAGGGTATTATTTTGAGATCTTTCTTCTTTTTTAATGTAGCCATTTTCAACTATAAATTTCCCTCTGATCAGTGCCTTCATTGCATTCTATCAGTTTTGGTATGTTGTGTCATCATTTTCATTCATTTCTAACATATATTCTAATTTCCCTTTTGATTTCTTCTTTGACCCATTGGTTGTTTAAGAGCATGTTGTGTAATTTACATGTATTTGTGTTACTGATTTCTAACTTCATTCCATTGTGGTTGGAGTAGATACTTTGTATGATACCTGTCTTTTAAAATCTATTGAGGCTTGTTTTGTGGCCTAATTATATGGCCTGGCCTGGAGGATGTCCCATGTGAATGTAAAAATAATGTGTATTCTGCTGTTGTTGGGTGGACTGTTCTGTATATATCTGTTAGGTTTAGTTGTTTTCTCAGGATGTTCCTCTGTTTCCTAACTTATCTCCTATCTGGTTGTTCTATTCATTATTGAAAGTGGAGTATTGAAGTTTCCAACTATTGTAGAACTGTTTATTCTTCCCTTTAATTCTGGTCATTTTTGCTTCATATATTTTGAGGGTCTCTTACTAGGTATGTTAATGTTTATAATTTTTACATAATCTTGCTTTATTGAACCTTTTATTAATAAATAGTGTCCTTCTTTGTCTCTTGTAACCTTTTTTTTGGATTTAAAGTCTATTTTGTATGACATTTGTATAACCACTCCAGCTCTCTTTGATTACTATTTGCACGGAACTTTTTTTTTTTTTTTTAAAGTAAGCTCTAGGCCCAACATGGGACTCAAACTTAGGACCCTGAGATAGAGTTGCATGCTCTACCGACTAAAGCCAGCCAGGAGTCCCTGGAATATCTTTTTAAAAATTCTTTCACTTTTAACCTATTTATATCTTTGGATCTAAAGTGAGTCTTTTCTAGACCATAGATGGTTGGATCTTTTTTTTTTTCTGAAATCCATTCAGCTCATCTCTGTCTTTGACTGAAGAGTTTACACCATTTACATTTAAAGTAATTACTGCTAAGGATGGAATTATTTCTGCCATTATGCTATTTCTTTTCTGTAGGCCTTTGTGCCTTTCATTTCTTTTATTACTGTCCTTTTCTGTGTTTATTTGATTTTTTTTTTAGTGAAAAGTTTTAATTCACCTCTTATTTCCTTTTGTGAATATTCTATAGGTATTTTCTTTGTGGTCGTCATGGGAATTATATTTAACACCAAAGAGTTACAACAATCTAATTGAATTGATACCAACTTTAATAGCATACAAAACCTCTCCTGTATAGCTCTTCCCATTCTTTCTGTTATTGATGTTACAGATTATATCTTTTATACACTCTGTGCCCAGTGACATAGATTAATATTCTGATGCACTTGTCTTTTAAATCATATAGGAAATAAAAGGTGGAGTTATAAACTGGAATTATAATAATACTTTTATAATTCCCCACACATTTATCTTTACTAGAGATCTTTATTTCTTCGTATGGCTTCAAATTACTGTTGAGCATCCTTTTATTTCAACCTGAAAGATTGCCTATAGCACTTCTGATTGCCACGTTTAGTGGTAAACTCAATCTCTGATTTTAAAAAAGCTAAGGATTTTAATTTCTCCCTCACTTTTGAAGGACAGTTTTGCCAGATACAGAATTCTTTGTCAACAGTTTTTTTTTTTTTTTTTTTTCTTCTAGCACATTGATAATATTAACCTACTGCTTTCTGGCCTCCAAGGTTTAAGATGAGAAATTGGCTGATAATCTTATCGAGGATCCCTTGTATGTGAAGAATCACTTCTCTTTTGCTGCTTTTAAGAGTCTCTCTTTTCTTTGGCTTTCTACAGTTTGAATCTTCTTCTTTTATTTTTTTTTTTGAGATTTATTCACTAATCTTAGAGAAAGAGAGTGTGCACACAAGTGCAGGAAGAGAGGGAAAGAGGGAGAGAGAGAATCTCAAGCAGACTATGTGCTGAGCGTGAAGCCCTATGCAAGGCTCAATCCCAGGATCCTGAGATCATGACCTGAGCAGAAATCAAGAGTCAGGCACTTAACCGACTGAGCCACCCAGGCACCTCTGATTATTATTCTTTCTCCCCTTTCTCTCTTCTTCTGGAACTCCCACAGTGGTATGTTGTTTCTCTTGATAGTGTCCCACAGATCCCTTAAACTCCATTCACTGTTCACATTTCTTTTTTTCTTTTCTTTCTGTTCCTCAGATGGAGTAGGAAGCACAAGGAATCCATCTCTCTACCTAGACAACAGTTGTACTGGCAGAAACTGTCTGAAGTAACTCTGGAGTCTGTTTGAATTCTTGCACCTTCCAGGAGAAAGTTTGGTTGGTAAATTGAGGTTAGTTTCAGTCAATGTCAGCCTTTAGCATGATAGCACCTCCCTGCTTCCTACCCTTCAGCCCTGTGGCAGGCAGCCATGTTCACATTCCTGGTGTGGCTTGCTGGAGCTGTGGTGGGAAATAAGAATTTTGTTCACCAAATACCAGAGTTCTGTGTTTTGATTGCTGATTACGCCTTTTGAGTTCTGAGATTCGGGCACAGAGTCACTGCCATTGTTTCAGCCCCCATAGGCTGAGCTGGCTTCTATGGGATTTGAAGGAACAGCTTCTGTTTTGTTTGTTTGTTTTCCCTTTTACCCCATTTGGGAGCCAGAAATTTAAGGCTTAGGACATTCAGAAGCAACCACTTACATAGGGAAAATTAGAAAGCCACTGTGTATAACCAGGAAAAGATGCAGGCTCAGAAAAGAACTGAGGAGACCTTAAGCTTTCACCTTAGGCTGATCCTGATTCCTGGCATAGAGATATCCTTCAACAATTAAAAAAACAAAACAAAACAAAACAAACCATACACACAAAAACCAGCAATCCCTGGGATAGGGGGAGAATTTGATTTCCACAGTTATCACATAAGATTCAAATGTCCATTTTTTAGCAAAGAATCAAAAGGCATACAAATAGGAAAGTATGGCCTGTTCAAAGGAACAAAATAAATCAACAGAAACCTTCCCTGAGAAAGATGAGACATCTGACTTACGAGACTTTAAATCAACTGTCTTGAAGTTGCTCACTGAGCTAAAAGAAAACATGAAGTCAGAAAAACTATGAAAAAAAAATGGAATTAGTATTAAAGATATAGAAATTATGAAAGGAACCAAAATGAAATTCTGAAGTTAAAAAGTACAATAGCAGAAATGAAAAATTCACTAGAGGGATTCAAAATTAGGTTTGAGCAGGCAGAAGAAAATCAGCAAACTTGAAGATATTTCTTTTTCATATGTCTCTTGAACGCTGTTCCCTCCCACCCCATCCCCTTCTGCCTTAGTTCAAATCTTTCTGATCTTAGTCGGCCTCTAAACTGTTCCATTTACCCCATTTTGCCTTTTCTACTGCTACCAGAATAATCTTTTAGAAAATCCAAATCTGATATTGGCACTGTCCTTAAAAACCTCTGAGGGCACCCATGGGTTTATAGATTGAATTTCTTTTTTTTAATTTTAGCATTAGTGGATTTTCCCATTCTGGCTCCAACTTACCACATTAATCTATTGAGCCTTGAAATAGAACTTCCAGTTTCCAGGAAATACCAGGTCTAAAGGAACAAATTCAGTAACCTCTTGGGGAAGCAATCATTCAGATCCAGAGAGTGGGAAATTTTGCACTTCAAGTGGCCTTGTAAGCCAGTATCTTAGTATTTTTCTTAAGTGCTAGAGTAAAAAATATTTAAGGGATAGAACAACCAGATGTAGTGTGTGGTCCTGGATTGGATACTGATTTAGGAAAACTAACTTTAAAAAAATATATTTCAATCAACAGAATATTTGATTATAGTAGATAATAGATGAGAGGAAAACTTAATTGAAATATTACTGATTTGGGAAAGCCAACTGTAAAAATACTTTCAGGTTGATGGAAAATTGGATGTGATCTAGGAATTAGATGTGAGGGAAATATACTGAAATGGTAAAGTAGATTTTGTTAATTGAATAAAGCAGATTGCTAAACCATGTGATCTCATTTTACAAAACAATATGTTGGCACACAAAGAAGGATATGCATTATGGTATTAACATTGGTGGTGGGAATGTGATGTTTTATTTTTTATTGTAGCTTGTCTCTGTTTTCTGTTCTCCAAGGCATATACTGTACAATCTGTAATAAAATTTTATTTAAAAATTTATGTTAAGATTTACATACATATTTGGTGTATACATATGAATCAAAGAATCATTGATTGTATAGTCACCAAAATATTAAAAGTGCATCAGGATATCAGGGGGTTTCATAATACTGCATCTATTATTTGATACTACTACTTTAAAATGGGTGTGTATTATTATGTAACTGTATAAGGAGAAAAGGAACAAAGCTATTTTCCTGTGGGAGTGCAGCCAAGTCTATTGTAATAGTAGACAAGTCACATAAAGGACTGCAACAGAGCACAACATTTTTGTGTTTTCTCTGGTTGATTTAGATACATTATGCACAGGAAAACATTACATGACTCATTCACCAGGAAAAGAGCATAGGCTATTTGAATAAAGAAAGGGGAAGAGTAAGGGATAGGCTGTAGAATTATAAATTATGACTTATTAGCACCTTTAGTAGCCATTGTTTCTGTTACCAACTACATTGTAAATTCATTCAGGACTTTAAATCTCATTGCTTTTGCTCTATATATCCCTTTTGAATGATTTAAGATTTTATTTTTAAGTAACCTCTATACCGCAATGTGGGGCTTGAGCTCACAACCCAGAGATCAAGAGTCGCATACTCCAGGACTGAGCCAGCCAAGTGCCCCACTTTTGAATAATTTTAAAATAAAATCCCAGCCCCATCTTTGGGTCTAACACTCTGAAACAAGCTATTTCTGATGTTCTGTGTGTCTCAAGTACCTCAAGGCAGCTGTGTCGCAGCCAGTAGCCCTTGGACTTGAGTCAAAAGTTTTCGACTTTTGGATTGAACTGTTACTTAGGTTGGACTCCTTTATAAAATGAGAAAAATCGAACATTCTCACAGGTTTGTGGTAAAGCCAATGAGATACCCATAAAAAGACCTATCATAATGCACGCCTTCGATAAAGGCCAGGTGAGTTGAGTAACGCTGTTAAGGGCTGCTTTTGAAATAGTACTTGAACGTGAAAGGTGAGCAGATTTCTTGCTGTAGCACCAGTGGTCTTTGCATGTGTACCTCCTTTTAGGCGTAACAGGTGCTAGTTAGCCTGATTCCGCTGCCATCCTGCTTCCAGTCCCTGAGGCAGTCAGTCACAGAGCCACTGCCCGTCCAAGTCTAAACAGACCACAGTGCTACTCCACCTTAAAGAGTGCACACTCGGCGCAGGCGCAGACTCCCTTGGCAGGGTAAAAGCCCAGGTGGAGCTTCGAGGAAAGGAAGTACGCCCTCGCCGCCTGTTGTTGGGCCAATGGGGCTGCTCGGCTTAGCAGCAGGCCTATGAAATAGGGCGGGAGGCGGGGCGGAGGGCGGAAGAAGCTACTCTCACGTGAGTAGGGGGCGGGGAGGGCGGGGGCAGGGCGGCTGGGGAGGCCCAGGCGGCGGAGCCTCCGGGACGGCGAACGGCGGGCGGCGGAGGAGGAGACGGCGGGTCGGGTAGGGCCGCGTTTCCCCTCCTCCTCCTCCCACCATCCTATCCATCAAGCCCCGGGGGATCCTGTGACAGCCCCTGCTCGGGGCCAGGCTGTGTTTTTATCCCGCGGGGCTGGGCCGGCCAGACTGCGCTCACCTCCCTCGACGAGCCGGGTTCTGAGGGGAGCCGTGATTGGGGGGAGGGGGAACTGTGGCGGAGGGGAGAGGGCGCATGCGCAGGCGGGAACGCTCTCGCAGCCCCTGCCCAAACCGGTTCCCCCTGTCTGGGTGGGTGTCTGTCTACCGAGTCCTGCGCTGGCGGCAGTCCCTCTAACCCCCAGGCAAAGCCGGATTGTCTCTTGACTTTCATGTTTGGGGCCAGGTCCTATTTGGGAATCTGGCCTCAGTTTCTCCCCATTGCCAGCTGGGCCTGTATTTGTGACTTCAGCTGCCTTGGGCCTCAAGCTAGCTTCCTGGGCTGAGCCAAATTTGAAAGACTTGCTTTCTTTTATTGCTGGCCTGCCAACTTGTACTGATCCTTCTGTCTCATTTTCCCCACCTGCAGTTAAAGTGTCTCACTCTCCCCATGTCCTTTAAGTATCTGCTCCCAGTACCTCATTGCTATGTCTTGATTCTCAGCAACCTTCAGGGTTGGTGTTGAGCCAGAGGATAATCCCAGACTTGCAATAGTTCGCTGTCCATTGCCTAGTACTACTTTGGTCGCTACTGTTCTAATGACTGTTAGCATCTGCACCTGTTTTTACAGGCATCTCCGTATTTAAGCTTTCTCGGGGATTACTTTATCATGGAAGCAAATGCCCTAGAAGACCGTATTAAGTGATCATGCTACTAGTGCTTAGTTTAAAATCGTGTTCCAACTTGAATTTGAAATCTTTTGGCTTTTGTGGTTTTCATTAGTTGGGGGGAAAACTGTCAGGGGCGGGTTTTCACCGTTCATTTGATATTTTTTCATCCATATAAACACCTGTGTTCATGTACATGTGACTGGAATAGTGTAGTAAATGTGTTTCCAGCTGCTTTGTTTATTTAAAAAGAAAACAATGGAGGGTGAATTGCACTGTGTTTATCACATTAAACTGATGTTAGAAAAGTTGAAAAAAAGCTTAGATGCCAAGGAAGTATACATTTAACTTTTTTTTTAGACGAAGGACCTGTTGGCCTTAATTCAACATGTATAGGGTGCTATTTTATATATATTGAAGGTTTTTAAGTAGAGTTTACTTACAAAAACTGAAAATGAATATGGGAGAGCATTATGTTCTTTATAGACCTCAGATTGCATTATATTTGCATCCATGATTGATTTGTATTTACTAGTAACATTTAAAATTCACATGTACAAATAAATTTTGAGTTAATACAAATTAACTCAAATTACTAATTAAAATTGAACTGCTGTGTTGTAGTGCACTTCTTTTCATTGTTTCAATCTTATAACTCAGTTTACAGTTGATTAACTTATGTCATTGGTGTTAAGGTATATGTTTGGATAGTTAACCTACCAACTCTATGCATTTTGGTCTTATTGGCGTAGTATTTTATTAGCAGTTTACACATGCTTAATTTGGGTTAAATGGTAATTTAGTGGGACACTATAAAAGTGAAGACACCTGTTTCCTACCTTTTACATTACATATTGAAAGAAGTGTATTGTGCACATTACCTACATGAAGAGACATGAGTTTCTCCAAATATATCTCAACTTTACAGCCCAGATTCTTTAGAAGTCATTTTC